TGCAATAAATTAATCCAACAACTGCTACATGATGCAAAAAAGACTAAGAGTAATGAGAATTAGGGAAAAATCAGAAGACACAACAAAGGACATTATGAATACCTGTTTACAGAAGTAATACCAGAAGAATTTCCACACATGGAAAAAGAATTTATCATGCAGTAAGTGAGGCATATAGAACCCCAAATAGCCACAATCATAAAAACCACTCCAAAACACATCATAATCAAAATACCAGAAATTCAACACAAGAGCTTAAAAGCTTAAAAGCTTTTAGAGATAGCAATGATTCTCTTATAAAGGAAAATCATCAGAATTACAGCAGAATTCTTAGCACTAATCTTAAAGGCAAGAACAACTTGGAGTGAGGTATATCAAGCCCTCAAAGAAAACAACTTTCAACTTAAACCAATTTATCCTGCAAAATTATCTTTCAAAATTGATGAAAAAATAAGGTATTACCAATACAAATAGTACCTGAAGAAATTTATGACCAAGAAACTAACATTCCAAAAAATTCTCAAGGAAATCCTAGAAACAGACAATCAAGCTAACCAAAAGTTCCAATACAATCAATGCCAGTAGGGTAAGCAATTAAACAGAAGGGAAAGAAAGGAAAATGGTAACAGGAAAATAATACAATGACAGGAATAGGTTAGTACTTATGAATTATAACTATCAATGTGAATGGTCTCAATTCACCAATTGACAGACAAAGATTAGCAGAATGGAACAGAAACCAAATTCCTATGGTATGCAGTACATAAGAAACACATCTTTTTTTTTTTTTTTTTTTTTTTTTTTTCCGGTACCAGAAATCAAACTCACAACTTTGTGCTTGCCAGGCAGGTACTGTACTGCTGAGCTAAATACCCAGCCCCTAAGAAACATATTTAAGCCATAAAAAGAAATTTATAGACTGAAAAGTTAAAGAAAGGAGAAACAATATTCCATGCAATAGGAAGTCCCAAAATAAGGAATAGTAGCTACCCTGTTTTCAGATACAAACCAGAACAAAAATCAATGAAATGAAGACCAAAAATCCCCCAAAGCATCAATGAATCAAAGAAGTGGTTTTCTAAAAGAATAAACAAAATGACAAACCTTTAGTCAATCTTACCAAAAATAGAAAAGAAAAGACACAAATCAATGTAATTAGAAATGAAAAAGGTGAAATTATCACAGATAATGCCAAAATCCAGGAGATTATTAGTAACTACTTCACAAACTTGTACACCAAAAATTGGAGAACTCAAAAGGAATAGAGAGATTCCTAGATATATATGAATTACCAAAACCAAAGAAGGCTTAAAAATTCTGAACAATCCAATAACAGCCAATGAAACTGAAGCAGTAATCAAAAATAATTACTAAGAAAACCCCAGGACCTAATGAATTTACTGCCAAATTCTACAAGAACTTTAGAGAAGATCTCATGCTAATACTCCTCAAAGTCTTTAATTAAACTGAGAGGGATGAGTACTTCCAAGTCATGCTGGGAAGCTAGCATTACCTTCATCCTCAAATCAGACAAGGGCAAACAAAAAAGATAACTACAAGCCAATCTCTCTAATGAACATAAATACAAAAATCCTAAACAAGATACTGGCAAACAGAATGTAAGAAATCATCAAAAAGTTCCTATTCTGCGACAAACTAGGCTTCATCCCAACACTGCAAGGATGGTTTAATATATACAAGTAATATAATCTATTACTTAAACAGAAACAAAGACAAAACTCATATTATCACTTCAATAGATGCAGAAAAAGCCTTGGATTAAATCCAACATCCATTCATGATTTAAAGAAATATCCCTGAAGAAAATAATTATACAAGGACCTATGTCAATCTGATAAAAGCCATTTATGACCAGCCTACTTCAAACATCATATTAAATGAGGAAAAATTTTCCTTTTACAATCAGAAACAAGACAAGGGTGTCCACTGTCACCACTCTTATTCAACATAGTCTCCAAAACACTAACCAAGAGAAAGAAATAAAAGGGAGACATACAGGAAAAGATGAAGTCAAAGTATCATTATTTGCAGATGACATGATGCTCTACATAGAAGACCCAAAAAATTTCACCAAAAGATGTCTAGGGTTAATAATCAAATTTAGTAGCATAGCAGAATACAAAGTAAACAGACAAACATCAATAGCATTCCTATACACTAATATGAGTAAGAAATAAGGAGCCAGGGATGTAGCTCAGTGGCACAGTGCCTGCCTAGCAAGCTTGAGGTCATGAGTTCAATTCCCCATACCAAAAAAAAAAAAAAAGAAAGAAAGAAAGAAAACAATATCATTCACAGGAGCATCATGAAAAATTAAACACTTAGGAATTAGCCTAACTAAGGAAGTGAAAGGCTTCTGCAATGAAAATTATGTCACTCTGAACAATGAAATCAAAGAGGACATCAGAAAATGGAAAGATATCCCTTGTTCTTGAATAAGCAGAACAAATGTAGTCAAAATGGCTACACTTCTAAAACTGATAAATATATTTAACAGTTTCTATCAAAGTGCCAATATCATTTCTCACAAATCTATAGAAATCAATCCTAAAATTCACATGGAACTAGAAGCGACCCAGCATAGCAAAACAATCCTAGGCAACAAGAGCATAGTAGGAGGCATCACAATCCCAGATTTGAAGTTATACTACAAAGCTATTGCATTTAACACATTCACATCATGGCTGCAACTTGTATGCTAAGTGACTTAGCCCATCAATGGTATATGTACAATTGTCTCATCAAGTGGCTTTTTTTTTTGGTGCCAGGAATCAAACTCAGAACCTTGTGCTTGCCAGGCAGATGTTTGTGCCACTGAGCTATACCCCTAAGCCTTGCTTTTTATTATTTTTATTAGTAAAAAGACTAACGAAAAATGGTTAGGTCCATTTGTACCACCAGTCACACCAGCTGCCCAGTAAAAGTCATGCATGTACCACAGCTGGTTCAAGCTAGTGAGAACGTGTTAAAACAACGTGGTACTGGCACAAAAACAGAGATAAGGATAAATGGAACAGAAGAGAAGAAGTAGAAAAACCCCAGACACATTCAACTATTTGATCTTGGACAAGGGGGTCAAAAATATACACTGAAGGAAAGACATCCTCATTAATAAACGGTGCTTGGAAAGGATAGCCATATGCAGAAAATTGAGTCTAGACCCATTTATCTCACCATGTGCTAAACTATGATCAAAATGTCTGAATGATATAAATGTTAAAACAGAAATAATCTGCTGGAAAATAAAATAGGTAAAACTCTTGGAAGACCAGGGATAAGCAAGAATTTTCTGAACAGATTCCCAATGGCACAAGAAATAATACCAAGGATTGGGGCTGGGGATTTAGCTCAGCGGCAAAGCGCCTGCCTGGCAAGCGCAAGGTCGTGAGTTCGGTTCCCAGTACCGGAGAAAAACCAAAAAAAAACAAAAACCAAAAAACAAACAAAAAAAAGAAATAATACCAAGGATCAACAAATGAGATAATATAAAATTTAAAAGCTTTTGCATATCAAAAGAAACAATCAGCAGAGTGATGAGACAATCCACAGAATGGCAAAAGATTTTTGACAGCTCTTCCTCAGAGAACTAGCATCTAGGATATGAAGACCTCAGAATAATTACACCTCCCCAAAATTAAAAGCCCAATAAAAAAAAAATGGGCATTCAATGTGAATAGACACTTCTCAGAAGAAGGAGAAGTACAAATGCCCAATGTGGCCAATACAATACAGGAAAAAAAATGTTCAACATTGCTAGCCATTAGAGAAATGCAAATTAAAACAACACTGAGACACCATCCTACACCAGAAAGAATGGCTATCATCAAGAAATCAAATAATAACAAATGCTGCAAAGACTTGAAGAAAAAGGAACACTTCTACATTGTTGATGGGAAAGTAAACTAATACAACCACTAGGGAAATCTCCACTGTGTGGAGAATCCTCAGAAAATCAAACTTAGAAATTCCATTTGATCCAGCTATTCCTGTTTGAAGTATTGTTTCAAAAAAATTAAAATCATCCTATTACAGGGGTATATACATACCTATGTTTATAGCAGCACAATTTCTAATAGATAGATCTCGGAAGCAGTCTATATGCCCATCAAGAGACAAATGGACAAAGAAAATGTGATGCTTATACACAATGGAATACTATTCTGCCATGAAGAAAAATAAACTTAAGGTATTTGTAGGTAAGTGGATGCGACTTGAGAACTTAATAGTAAATGAAATAAGTCTGACAGAAGCTTAAATATCACATGGTTTCTCTTATATGGGAAACATGTACATAAGGAGGAAGGACAGGAGGGAAGGAGGAAGGGAGGGAGAGAGAGAATAAATAAATATAAGTGGGGGAATGTTTCTCAAGTGGATCAAGGAACAAGAGAAGGGGCATGGGGCAGGGGGTGACGGGAAAGGGAATGGAAAAAAGAATTGAAGGAGAAAATGATGAAAATAGAGGTTTTGAAAGTGGGAAGGCAACAAGCAGGGAGGGAGAGAGTCAGGGAAAGAAAAAAAAAACAAGAATTAAGATGTGTATTGCTATGAACCAGCTTCCCACAACAAACGTAATCATTATGTACAGAAAACATGTACTAAGTAAATAAAAAATAAAAGCAATTAAAATTAAAATCCTGCCACCTCACAAGATTAATGTAATGCCCAAAAGAAATATGGTAAGTGAAAGAATTCTCTTAAAAAGCAGTAATAAAGTGGCCTATTTTATATTATACTAAGGAACTCAAAGGCCAAAACGGCTTCTCTAACTTAAAGAAATAAATTAATAAAAGTGACACAAGGAGTTTTTCCTATTTTCCTTCAGTCCATCCTAGTTGAGGGCCACCTTTCCTTAGGTAATTTGGCTAACTTCCTCTTAAGAATCAATAAAGCCACTGTCTACCAAGTCACCATACAGACAGTCCTGCAGCTTCCCTCAGGTCCCCAGGGATGGCCACCCAGGCCAGGCTGGGGCTCACCAGGCTTGCGGTAGATGTGCGTGGCCTCTTCATGGAGCAGGAGCCGGCAGTTGTGGCCTTGCAGGCTATGTGTGCAGCTCTGGGTGTCAGGGTAGAACACACACCGCACGGCCCCAGGCCTGGTCTGCAGAGTGGTGGTGATGCAAGCCTGGTGACGGAAACACTCTGCAGGACAGAGGAAGGACAGAGAGGTGTGACCTCAGATGTCAACTTCACTAATGCAACTACGTATGATGGTATGAGTCCATCCACCCGCATAGTCATTCATCCTCTCTTCCATCCACTCATGGAGCCATTCTCCTATTCAACATGTCCCCATGAACTCTATATATCGTCCACCATCCTTCCAAATAATGACAAAGGCATGAATCTATGTAGGCATGCATCCATCTACCCATCCATCCTTTTATTCACCCACTGGCCCATCAATCAGTTGGTCCATCCATCCTTCTATCCAACCATGCATGCCTCCATGAATCGTCCTGTGTCATCCATTTATCCTTCCATCCAATCATGTCTCCGTGCATCCAAGCACCCATCCTTCCATCTATCTCTCCATCCTTCCATTTGTCCATTCACTGTGAAATCACTCATTTGAACACCTACTATAAACCCTGTGCACTGTGCTAAGATTGAGAATAACATGGTGGTAGTGGTTGGGGGAGAACCGGTGCCCTCACTGATCTATTTTCCATCACAACAGTCACAACTCTTACTGTTTGTATAATTTATAAGTGGCCCTTGTCATTCCCTGCTGAAAATATTCCTGTGGCTCCTCAAAAGGTACGGGTTGAAGTGGTACTAGATGGGCTCTCCTTGTTCCAGCTCTTGCCTTTCTCTTCACCTAGTCTCCCTCTGCCCTGTTTTCAATACCTGCTCACCCCACACTCGTGCATGTTCCACTGGAGACTATCCCCTCTCTCTTGCCAGTTAATTGCTAGACAATCCACTTAAACTATCTCATGGCATTCAGTACTAAGAATGCCTTTAAAAATACTGCTGCATTGTTTAATTGGGCAAGTTGTATAGGCTTGAGTGCTCATTCAAATCCAGGCGTTGAGGGCTGGGGATTTAGCTCAGCGGCAAAAGCGCCTGCCTGACAAGCGCAAGGTCATGAGTTCGGTTCCCGGTACTGGAGAAAAACCAAAAAAAAACAAATCCAGGCACTGGTGACACCAACTAGTTGTGCAGTACAAAATTGGTACTTCTGTACGTGCTGGCCTGGTCTGAGTGATAAACATAGCTTTGTGAATACTAGTATCCAACCTTGTAGGGGAGATTCATTGAACTCATAGAATATTAGAGGGCTTCAGAATCGTGGAAGGGTGTAAATGGTAACTGAATTTAGCCACTTTTAGAAGCTAAAAAGTCTTTGCAGAACATTCCAAGCAAGTGGCCACCTAGTTATTGTTTGAACACCAATGATTAGAAACTTTCTAGAGGAATTATGCATCTCTGGATAACTTTGCCTATTAGAAAGTTCTTCAAATTGTATTGAAGAAAATCTCTTGAAATTCAAGTTTACTCCAGGCCTAAGCTTAGCCTATGAGCCTGACCACAGCAAGGGCTATGCAGTGGGACAGTGAGGAGACTCACTCAGATCTCCTCCTCTCAGTTCCTACCAAGCACACTCCCATGTTATTTATCCTCAAATGTCTGTAAGCCTCTGAAATCAGGACCTTGAGCAGCTCTGCTCACTCTCAGCAGGAGACCTGCTGCACTCTTCCTGGCATGTGGACTCCTCTTACCCTGCAAGCAGAAGTCACGGGTGGCTGAGAAGTTGGTGGCAGTAGTGCTGATGTGGGCAACGTCAAAGTCCCTCATGGATGGATCTATAGCCACTGAGGAGACAGTCAGGGACTGCCATGAGTCCAGAGCAACTAGGAGAGAATGCAAAGGACAGCCAAACAGTTATGGCCTGGTTCATAATGGAAACAGTAGAGGCAATGTTCCCACTGCTAACAAAGGCAGCCCGGGGCACTCTTTACAGGTTTCCATTCTTATATGACCCAATGCCTTTATCACCTGCATCTGAGGTCTCTGTATACTACAACCAGTTAAGTTCTGTCTATGAGCCACATTTTTGTGCTACACTGGGGAGGAGGCTGCAAAGTTTAAAAACCTAGACAAATAAAGCAATTCGCAGTGGAATGGGAGAAAATTCTAGAAGACAAAGAACCCATGGAGATACAACTGAAACAATTCAATAGCCATATCAAGTAATGATGGTAGGAATCAATGTAGCAGGTCCCACCTGGCACTGTGCTGAGGTCTCTTTAGATACCATGTCTCTTCATCCTCCCTACATGGCCTGCAGGGGATACTGGCATGCTTCCCAGATCCCACCAACAGGGGCTCTCATTTCTCAGTCATTAGGAAATTTGTGGCTCGTAGTTTTCATCCAAGGCCTGTAAGAATTACCCTTGATCTGAAAGAGGTGGATCCCTGATCCAGGGACAGCCTGCATCCAAAAATCCAGTCATGCCGATGAACAAGGCCCAACCTCTGACCTCAACATGGATGATTCTGAAAGGCAGCCCACTTCCACTCCCCAGGGAATCCCAGGGCCTTTGCTGGACTTGCACTGAGGCTCTTCCATTGTCTGGCCTGGCCCCCACTTACAGCTGCTGGTTCCTGGGGTGCTCTGCATGCAAAGCCCCATCTCAGAGTATCTCCTGGGAAGACCCAGCTGAGATGTACTGTTTTAAAGGTGAAGGTAATGGGGCACAGAGACACATAGATGACTTGCCTGGGTCATGGCACCTCAGCAACAGGTAAGAACAGAGCTTTCTCGTCCCAACTATGGCACCTATGCCCAGCCTTTGGTGGCTGTTCCAAGCTGCCTTGCAAGCCCTACACATAGCACAGAGTGCAAGGGAAGAAGATGGAGGGAGGTAACCTAAGGGGTGACGTAGAGAGAGGTAGAATTCAGAATTCTATCAGAATTCAGCTTCCATGGGACCAAGGCCATGGCTGTAGACAGGTTGTGTGACTCTGACAGGGCAGAGGTAGGTCCGTGCAGCAGGGTTAATGTTCTGCTCTGAGGAAGCACTGCACATCTAGGTCAGTGTGTGTTACACTGTCCACAGATCACATTGAAGAGGCCACGCTGTTGCTCCCAGCAGAAGCTGCCTGAGCATCCTGGAGTACTGATGTGGAGCCCCAGAGAGACAGGGAAGTGAGAATAAAGGCTGATGGAGAAATGTACCTCCCTTCCTTCCTTCCTTCCTTCCTTCCTTCCTTCCTTCCTTCCTTCCTTCCTTCCTTCTTTCCTTCTTTCCTTCTTTCCTTCTTTCCTTCCTTCCTTTCCTTCCTTCCTTCCTTCCTTCCTTCTTTCCTTCCTTCTTTCCTTTCTTCCTTCCTTCTGCTCTCCCCTCCCTTCCTTCTTCCCTCCCTTTCTTCCCTCTCTCCCTCCCTCCCTCCTTTCTTCCCATTTCTCTTTTTCAGCATAACATGGTAGTTGATCTATTACTAAACGTTAGTGTGCAGGCATTACCCTGGCCTAGCAGAACACTATAGCAATCTTAAGCATAGCACTTTACAATCTATAAACCATGTCCACCTCATCACATTTGCTCTTCACAGCACCCCAAAGTAGGATCAAGGAGAGCCTCCCCTCTCAATGCCTCCCCTCACAAATGAGAAATTGGAAGTATGGAGAACTTACAAGAGTTTATCAAGAACCTGGGGCAGGAGAGCAGGGTGGAAATTTAGAGGTAGCCTCTGGATCCCAACCAGAGATCTCTCTGGCCCTTGGAGTCCCCTCTGTCTCTGAGGCACTTTCTAAAACATTAGCTCCAGGCATGGAAGGCTTTTCCTTTGATAGTACCATGTTCTTAGCTGTGTGCAGAGCCTGGAATCTCTATCTCAGACTTGTCTTTAACATGTAGCACTGGGGTGCCTGTGTGAGATTTAGAATGGTAAATACAGCAGCACACAGTTTTTCCCATGTTTGTATTGGCACAGGCCACTGCTGGAAGCAAAGATTCAAGGTCCTGGTGTGGATGCGTTCTGGTGCCTCCTCCTGCCACAAATGCTGCTTTCTTGCCCTGTCCTCACATGGCACCCAGCTGAGAGAGCAATCGACCTCTCCCCTGTCTCTTTCAAAAGGACACTGAAGCCCTTGTCAGGGCTCTGGTCTCATGGTCCAACCTGTCCCATGGCCCCACCACCTAACATTGTCTCCCTGGGGGCTTGATTTCAACATAGGAATGGGGGAGCACAAGCATGCAGGTTTTAAATTAAAAAAAAAAAAATAGAAAAGATTCATCCAGAGAAGTCACCAAATAATGTGACCAATTTTCTCCAGGCTCAGGAAGAGGGAGCCCAAACCTGCACCATCCTGCACCATCCTGCACCATCCTGCACCATCCTGCACCATCCTGCACCATCGTCAGATTGGGGTTAGTGTCTGTTGGCTCTTGGACCTAGCTAGATGGCAAGTGACTGTGGGCTTCTATCCACTGAGGCACCTTCCACAGGTTCCATTTCCAGGGTCAGGCCAGACACTTTTACACAACATGATCATAGAGTGGCATATTTTTAGATAGTGAGGGCACTGCAGTTTTAGAGAAAAATGATGATGGGTTTCAGGACCAAAGCTGGCAATCATGGTCCTAAAATGGGAACTTCAACCACAGTCCATGTTTAGGTTGAAGTCTGGAGGAGGTGCCATAATTAAAGAGTGATTTTCATCTCTGAAGTCAAAGCCGGCTTTTGCATCACTGTCCCAGGGCCTGGAGCTAATCCCCTACCGTGTCTTCCACCTACCCCTCACGTCTGCACCTGGTCTGCACACACCCCAGGATGAGACTCTGCTGTTGCATAAACTCCATCCCCTGGGCATCCACACACAGCTCAGGACAACTCTGAGAAAAAACTCTTCATGGATAGAAAACAGGATGAAGCATGAAGGCTGGAAGACCCTGGTAGCATTTCATATAAGTTTGCTGTTTACTTCCCAGGAACCCACAACACTATCGCATTTAATATCACAGCACCCCACAAGGTGGGCACAGCTATTGTCCATGTTTTACAGACAAAAAGACAGGTGATCTGTAACACACCTTATCTGGTTGGCATAGTCTGCCTTAGCTTAGCGAATTAGTCAGTGGTGTTTGATATAATGCTGGATTCCTCTCTAGATGAAGGAGGGGACAGTCTCCAAGCCCACCTAAAAGGGCATCATTCTAAAAAGCTGAGTGCATAGTTTATTGCTTTATCTCATTTGGGGCTTTGTCCTACCTTTCTAAACATAGTTTATAGATTGAAATACCAGTGCCATTTATTTCAGAATATAATCTCATATACTTGAAACCTCTGCTATCATGTGTTCAATACTTATACATAAATGAATTTGCTCTAGTGTGTATCCTCTTTTTTCATTCATCTTTTTGTAAATTCTAGCTCCACCCCACACTCCTTAAACTAAAGTCATCTTACAACGTATTTTACCATGTGATGATAAACGTCTTCCCACATTACTATGTTTTATAAAACATTTTCTTGGCTATTTATTCTTTTGGAGGAAATTCAAAACCATTTTGTCAAGTCTGTCAGGCTTATTATCTGGAATGATCAAAAGGTTAAATATTGCTTTGTTTAGTTCATTGAAATTTTAGGATGTTTAATACTTGTCATTAAAAATGGAATGGAGGGCTGGGGATTTAGCTCAGCGGCAAAAGCGCCTGCCTGGCAAGCGCAAGGTCGTGAGTTCGGTTCCTGGTACCGGAGAAAAACCAAAAAAAAAAAAAAAAAATGGAATGGATTTTTTTTCCATTATATTTTCCAAATGGTTACTATTGGCATAAGGGAGAGCCATTTGTTTGTGTGCTGGCGTTTTCCTAACAGCATGCCTTACTCAATCAACAGCAAGACAACTCTCAGCCATGGATGAAAGGTGGGCTCTTCACCACGAGGCTACTTTGAAATGGGACCAAAATTACATCCATGTAAGTAATGGTCTGCCTCAATGGGGCACTAGTTTGAGAACCCTCTGAATTAACTAATTTAGGTATGTATTTGCTTTTTCATTCATCTATTCATTCACTAACTGTTTGTCGGCCTCCTTCTATACAGACTACACTTGGCAGCAAAAGATGATACCCAGGAAGAACAGGTGAAAATTTAGAGCTGCTCCTTGTCCTAGCTCCTCCTGTGACATCTGCCTTCTAAGCTGGCCTGAGCCTGGTCTTTTCTTCTCCACACTGTTCCGGCCTCATCCATTTCACTCTGGTCACCACTGCAGACCCCAGGGGAGCCTTCCTGTTGCCAGTCTCAGCCTCACGTCGGTCATTCTCACACAGTAGCCTCCTAGAAAACCCAGATCCAATTACAGCACCTCCACCTAGCATCATCAGGACCCAGGCAAGTCTGTGGTCATCAGGGGTATCCACTGAGGTCTCCAGCTGCATTAAGACCCTTCTAGTTGGTCCTGGGTGCCCCAACTTGCTGGCTGACCAAACCCATTGTTACAAGTGGAAACAGGTGTGTGTTTAGTTCGTAATTTGAGATATGTATGGTAACTCATATCAATCCCCCTTATAGTAAGTGGGAATACTGAGGATCTGGGAGGAAAGATCACAGGGGCATCCCATGATCCCATAACACAAGGTTACAGAGGATCCCTCAGTGTCACAGAACCTGGCTTCAGACCCCAGCAGCATTCACAGTGACTATGCTCCTTCCACCCACCTCGCTATAGTCCAGGAGCTCCTCTACTAGCCAGTGCCAGGCCGGCCAGGCCTGCACAGCAGCAGGTCTTCTTGGCCTTGGCCATATTGCAGTGGATAAGTCGTGGCAACACTTGCATACAGTAAAGACAACGAAATGTGGAAGAGTTTACCAACAGGCTTTAAGCCTTTGTGCTGTTGGAGATGAGGTCCTGTCCTATGCATTCGCTGGGAAACAATGGCCCTGGAGACTCCCTAACATCATGTGGCCCCTTCCTTCTGTGACCAAATACACTAGCAACAAATGCTACTGTCTCTTGGGCAGGCATGAGTGCTTGAGAATTTATATGAAGATTGTCTGATTCTGTTTCACAATTCTTTCCTGAGATGAACAGTATTATTCTTGATTCACAGAAGAGGAAAATGAGGCTCAGAGACGGCTACTGGCTTGCCTAAAACCACACAGCTGGCAAGCAGCCAGTCAGTATTTGAACTCAGGATAGCCCCATGTCATGCTGTCCCACTGCAAACCACAGAGTTACTGAGGGGACAGGCAGAGAGGAGGGCAGGATCTGGGAAGGAGGATGGGGCAGCAAAGAGCAGGCATCCAAGTGGAGCAGCCTGAGTCACCCCACAAGTGGGCAGGGATTGACTAGATGATGCCAATTGCTTTCACTTCCTTCCCAAAACACTACCCTCTTCTCTAAAACTTTGTGTCATTCATTGCCGTGTGATTTCTTTGGTACAATGTGATGTTTTGATTTATGTAATATGGAACTCATAGCTGAGCTCTTGGGCACACTATGTGGCAGCTCTGAGTCTTATTCTTGTAGTTTAAGTGAAAGGGTTCTATAAACTTGAAGGTACAACATGAAATAATATACTATAAAACCAATGACCCTTTGTTTCTCTTGTGACTAACCAACTAATTAGTTTATTTGATAATTATCAAGGTCTCCTGGTATGCAAATAATCATCTATTTACTCTTATAGAGATGAGAAAACGAATTGGAATCCATTGCTCCTTAATTAATTAAGAAGCTTAATTATTAAATACCCAGATTAGGCAGTTTATAAAAAAACAGTGATATTTCATTCCTGTTTAGCAGACAGTGACACTTAATAAATGCTAGCTATAACTCTACTGTCACTTCAATTACTAGCGGCATTTTCACGTGCTATTATGAAAAGTCCTGAAGAATCAGTGAAAGCTGAGGCAAAGCGTTAGGCCCCAAACTACCCCCACGCGTCCCGACACTGCCACAGCTGCCTCCTTTCCATAATTCCACTGCTGTCTCCCAGCTGCTTTCTTCAGTGGCCCACTGGAGCAGAAGTCTCTAATGACACCGGCAATGGTCCCACATCTGTGAGGTCATGCGCTTGTGTGTTCACCAACTTGTAATCATACCTTAGGCTGCCAACTTCAAAGACTCTATTAGAGGAATTTATAACTAAGAGAAAATTACATGGATTTCTACCCCCTCAACATCTCCATAAAAAATTATAAGTTCCTCACAAGCAAAACACCGAGTGGACAGTTGGAGGCTCTGCTTGAGCCTGATTACTCTCTGCTTTCTATCAAGACCTGCCAACCCAAACGTCCCTGGTACAAAGGCTACCTGGAGGCAGCCTGAGAATTGGTTTCCTAGGAGCAACTGAACTCTCCCATGGGTTATAGTGTATAATCTTGGGCAGCTTGGCAAACTGCAGAACTTCTGAGACCCAAATGCATGTGCAGAAGCAGTATTAGCTGTTCACTGCAGTTCCAGGGCCTTGGAAGCCCCCTGGCTTGTGGCACAAGGGCATCCATGAGCCTGGTGACCCGCCCGAGACCACACATGACTATATATATATGACTTTGATAAAACAGAACCAATAACCAATTCTGGCCAAAGTCTGGCTCAGACATGTAGTATCCCTTAGACCAAAAGAGTCCTAACCTGTCTCTAAGCCACAGCTCTACCAGTTGCAACATACTAATGGTGACAAATGTCCTTCTTTAGGATATCTCAGCAAACAGCACCAGGACACATGTGTAAAGTGCTCTGCAGACACATGCTGTGTAGGATGCTCTGGGAAAACATCATACAGGTGCTGTACACATGACCTCTAAAGTAAGGTATTTTAACTGTGTGCAAAGCAAATGGATAACATGGGCTGAGGACATTTTTAGACTGTGAGTCATAGCCTTGGTGTTAAATAACTCCTTCCTCCACAAGCTATGTTCAGTTCTGTGGTAAGGCCATAATGACGGGTGTCTGGGCCCCCTTGCATATCATATCACAGGTCAGGAATTAAAGTAACGTGGTCTCTGGGCTGAGCAGTGCCTGGAGCCCAGGCTACGCCTACCATGTCCTGATAGACAGAGGCAGAAGAGAGAATGGTACAATGAGTCCTGGACTTCCTTGTAGCCTCCACACTGCCCTTCCCAGTACACGGGCTGGCCCCCTGCTTCCACACTACCACACCCTTACAGCCTTGCAGCTATTCAGAGCATGTCTGGGTGATGGCCTGAGTGCTGTGGCAGTGTGTAGGAGGGAGGACAGCCACGCCCCAGGCTCTGGGCTCTGGGTTCCTGGGTATGTGGGCAGTGCTTCAGCCACAATCTCACCCTCTGTGCCTAGTAACCAGGGGCCCCAGTTGCTGCATTCTAATGCAGAGTTGCTTCCCCTTACTTCTTGGCCACCAACACCACCGTGCGGACATTGCCCCAGTACTGGCAAGTCTAGCCCGCGCTGGTAAGTGAAGCAATCCCTATAATGGGATGGGGAGAACTGGGCTCACTCCCACTGTGACCTGCTTAGCTGTATCACATGTGGAAACCACAGGAGTGGCCTCCTGTCTGCAGCATGTGTGTGTGGTTGGCATGTGACCTCCCCACCGACATGTGTGCACCATTAGGACATGTGAATGTGAGAGCACTGGGGAAGATGGAAAAGAAGCTGGTACCCTGCTGAGAGAGGTGAGAAGATGATGCACTTACCCTTTGTGGTGAAGGCAGGGGGAACAGCTGGAGGGCAGAAACTGGGGACGTCGCTCAGAGCAACTAGAAAGAAGAAAATACAGCCTTTTAGCTCATTTTCACAAGTCCAAATAACTGCGCCCTGAAGATTTCAGCACAGCCCAGGACAGGATGGCGGGAGGAAGTCAGACTCTCAGTAGACAGATGGGCAGCATCATACCATGCCAGTCAGGTTGTGCTATGTTTTACTGAGGTGAGGTGACAACCAGCCTCACAACTCAGTGGCTGACAGCAGCATGGGGCTCCCTCTTCTGCATCCTATCCTAAAGCAGGGAGTGACAGATGGCTTCCTCAAGGCTTAGGCCAGGAAAGGCCCTATCTTGCCCCAAGGCTTTCCCTTTGCTACTCAGGCCAACAAAGATGCAGTGAATTTCAGTCTTATTCTGACAGCTTTTGTGGAGAAGCGACACACACCACTCACTCACAGGTCATTGGCCAGTCCACTGGTCAAGATGAAGAGGCATGGCCCATCATACCCCAGAGCAGGAAGCCAGAAACACACAGCAAACCCTGCAAATGCCCATTATCACCCCTTACTGGCTCTGTAAACTGGGCAAAGCACTTAGCCTTTCCAACCTCATTTCCACATCTGCACAATGGGCACAGTGCTGCCTACCTCACCAAGGACTATGGGACCACAGGAGATGATATAAGGTATGGTATTTAGCACTATGCCATGCAGAAGAGCTCAGTCAATGACAGCTATTAATGGTAGGCCTCGTGACATAAGGACACATGGACTTCGGAGGCAGACAGACCTGAATTTGAATTCAATATTCCAAAGAAGCAGTGACTCTGCTAACCTTTTTGGTAACCAGTTGTGGCACTGGCAGAATGAGGATGATCTAAGAATGAAGGGAGGTAGACTGCTTCAGTTTTGTGGCCAACGCTAACGCTACAGCAGCCAAAACGAAGTTCAATCTGTTCATGCTTTAGATGGAAAAGCTGCAAAAGCGTTCAGCGTACCTTCCACATCCACAGGAAGATCATGTCTTCCTCTCATACCAAAGATCTAAGGCACAAGCATAACACACAGTCTATACCCATTTGAAAGGATGAGGAGGCTCGGGTTGTACAAGGTTGTTATAAAACTCAGCAGACTGGCCAAGTCATCCAGGTTTACAGAGGAAGTATGTCATCAACTTTGAACAGTTGCAGTGGGAAAAGGGAAACAGCACAGCTGTCCACATGTGCATTGACCCCAGCAAGATGGTTATCACCAGGCTAAATTTTGGACAAAGCCTGAAAAAAAAAGATCCTTCTGTAGAAAGCCAAATCTTTCCCACAAGAAAGAAAAAGGGCAAGTATAAGGAGAAAGTATTGAGAACATGCAAGGATAAAGTAATCATATATGCAACTGTCATTAAACAGCTAAAACTTTTTTAAAAGAATAAAGTCGGGGGCTGGGGATTTAGCTCAGCAGCAAAGCGCCTGCCTGGCAAGCGCAAGGTCTTGAGTTCGGTTCCCGGTACTGGAGAAAAAAACAAACAAAAACAAAAAACAAAACAAAACAACAACCAAAAAAGAATAAAGTGAAGGAAGGGAGAGGAAAAAGAAAGAAGAGGAAAAAATACATATGTATACACAGGATAGGTAGGATAATTGTACTACTAATATCTGTTGGTTTATTGAATGGAACTGTTAATGTGTAATAGTTTCATCAATCTTGCATGCCTATATCTGGTTGTGTGTGCAACCATTTTGAAGATGACATTATGTAATATAACAACCATTGTTAATATCCTATCACCATGTTTTGAAATTCTGTTTCATTTTTATTGTTCCCTGTGCTGTTCTGTTTTCTGTATTTGTTTTTGTTATTTTGGTTTTTTTAATGAAAAACAAAATTTATACATATATATAAGGATAGCTGGAATGGGTGTATTGCTGATGTCTGTGGTTTATTGAAAGGAACGGTCAGTGCTTAAAATTTTCTTTTTTCTTGACCAGTTTTGCACATTTGAATCTGGTAATCAGAATGACTGATCTGAAAACAACAATATGCAGTATAAGAACAATTGTTGAACTCCTACCATCTTGTACGGTGAAGTTTTGTATCATTTCCAATGTTTTTTTTTTTCTTACTTGTTACTGTCTTTGATTGATTGATCAATTTACATTCTTACATCTGGTGGACTGAGCAACTTCATTAAAGATAACAGTATGTAGTGTAGCAACCATTGTGAATTCCTATCATTTTGTTTTGAGGTCATGTATCTTTTTTGTTTTATCTGTGTTATTTTGATTTTATCTTCACTGTTGTTTTTTTTTAATTTTTAAAATAATAAACAATAAAATGATAAAAAAGATGAAATGAGAAAATACCCCACCCCCCATACACGGTGATGTGTGGATACTAATCATCTTCTCCTTTCTTCTCAGGAGAGAGAAACTGTGTGGCTTTGACTGCTTTCTTAGAAGTTTTATAGGACTCTGAGCAAAGCAAAGGCCCTGCCCCACTTGCAAGACACATATAGCTGCAAAGAGGAGAGACAGTTCTGATTCTCCTCGAAAGTAAAGAGAACAAGTACCTGCAGCTCACCCCTTCCAGGAAGCCTGGACTCACACTGCTTGACTATAGAGCAGCAGTTTGTTCCCTTCCCCACACGCTCACCCAGATCCTCTGAGCTTCGAGAACCTATCCGTCCTGTCTGTTTAGCATTCACAACTGTTTAGCCCGACCCTCTGCAGTTCTGTGCTAAGATACATGGAACTTTCTGTTCACCTGGGAACACTAACTTCAGAATTCATCACTGAAGATTTTTTTGGGGGGTCCCTCTTGTTCTGTGTTTGTGTCTTTGCCTCCTGGACCTTAGAAGACTCATGCACTTCTCTATGAACACAGTCATGGGACAAAGGTTGCAATGGCTGGTGTGTAGACTTGTCTGCTGAGGCATGAAGCTCCAGAGTCAGGAAGATGCTTCCCTCATTCTTGTAACCCAGGGTCTACCACAGGCTGCTCTTTAACATCTGTCCTTTCACTCAGGCCAGTTCTGCCCTGCAGTCATTTTGAGACAGTCAGAGACCACCAAGGGGGAAAAGGCAGGTGTACTCCTGGGCCCTTAACAGAAGACACATTAAAAGTTCTATTTGTGTTTGTTTCTGAGGCATTCAGGGACTTAAAAAAGGTGACATTCACTTGGGTCTACAGATGCCCAATGAGTAATTTTGGATCAGATGCATTCTCAGCTTTGCACACAAGTCATGGTACTCATTCAGGGAATGTCTGCCTAAAAACTAGAAATAACCTATCATCCCCCTTCAAAACTGAGGACTTTCAGATAAGCAACTTACAGGGTCATTTAACTACCAATAGATGTTTAAAAAGCTCCAGCCATTGTCCTAAATATAGTCACCTTAGGTTCCAGCAAAGCCTATGCAAAACTGAGACTGCCCCAAGCAGAAACACTTATTTCTTGGGGACCAGATTTCTGTGTCAAGCAATAATGACCTCTCAAAAGCTATCTTGTCAACCCTGAGCTCAGAAAATGATCCAGCAAACCCTAGCCCAGTTCAGTCCCGCTGTAAAAGTTGGTCTCTTTGCTTTGTTAATGGACCAATCTGATCTTCCCCATCAGAGCTGTATCCCCTTCAGCCTCATGAACTGAAGTCTTTCCTGTTTTCTCTTACTTTCTAATTCTACCTAATAAATCAGCCTGTGGCTGTCATTGACATTCTAAAGTGCTTTTCGGAAACAAGATGTCAAAGACCTGCTCAGAAAGTGTTCAAATCCCCTTCTCCTCCCTAAGGGGATCTCCTCGGACACTGTCTGGTGACAACTTCAGCAGGTTGGCATAGTTCCTGCAGAATGACATTCTTTTATCCCCTTTCAACCTCTGAAGGCACCTCCTCTGCCTCCAGGGTGTCCAGTCACATCACTGTGATTCCCTGGCTACAGAGATGATGACTGTCTCCTCTGCGTGGGATGGGAAGAGCACTCACCTCTGAGAGGGTGAAACTGATGCAAGGAAAGTGCATTCTGTGTCTGCCATCCTGCAAGTGCTGAAGAAAAGGGCTTTGCTTTCACATCTGCCCCCTTAACCAGGCCATCCGCTATGGGCAGTAAGAACTTCCCCTCGTGCTCCCTGGCATTCAGCACACAGTATGAACTTAGGGAAGGCTACTGTCTGCTCCTCAGCCTCAGGGGATTCAGCATCAATGGCTCATAGTCACCACAAGATAGAGTGTTCATACGCTCGATAATCAGACCAGGTCAAACACGCCCAAAGACCATTATCAATATTCTTCAGTAGAATTGCTTGGTAAAGCTTATGTGTTATGTGTGAGTGCTGAATGAGAGGTAACTTGGAATCCTGCCCACCCTTCAGGGCTAAGGCCCAGGGACTCCCCTTCTAAGCACCTTTACTTTCCCCATAAGACCATTCCATACCGTTACGTGATTGGCTAATACAAAGACAAGGATGAGGGAAAACGGTAACAGTGATGTCGTCTATGTGTTAGGATGACCCATAAGAATACTGATGTGGTTTTGTCTACAGAAGAAAAGAAGATCTAAGACTGTATGATATGCAGAACCCAGCTAGGGAAAATGCTTTGGCTCAAAATATATCATGAATCAAAAGATGGTTTTGTAGTGGTCAACATGACCCAACTGGGGGAATAGTCTTATTTATTAGGCCAATTTCCCTAAGTAAGTTCTGTTACAGTTACTCCTATATGCTTGTGTCCTGTTATCTAGGTTGTATCTAAAAAACCCTATACATTATTACTTTCCCATTTCTCAATGTTCAGGCTAGTATGTGACCCACTATAAACACTCAACAAAGTTTTCAAGCTTCTACCCTATGTTATGAGAGACTCATAACAAGGATGAGTTGCTTACTTAAGGTTGGGTTATTTACTTTAGAGACTGTAGCTCCTCCTTAGACTGTCGGTGCCTAGAGGACAGGAATCATGACTCTTCCACACTCAGCTGTATAACAAGTGACTTAAGTCAGAAAGGCCTCTGTCCCAACCTAACTCTCATTTGCCTGCCATGTGATATTGGGCAAGTGAAGTAACTTCCCTGGGCTTCTAGCTCCTCATGTGACAGGGTGTGGGGTTTAAAGGAGATCATGCTTGCAAAGGGCTTGGCATCTGCACACTGTGAAAGCCCAGTGAATGGAAGCTTCCAGATCTGGTTGGTGTTTGGTGTCGGGCCATGTTGGTTAAATGGGAGAACACCTCTCTGAATTCTAACTCCCTGCCCTGTAGTTTCCAGTCCAAACTCCTGAGCCTCCAGCCTGACCCCAGGGAGCACACGTTGGAAGCCCTAGTGGTCTGGCACTCAGATAAAAAGAAGCAAACAGCTGGAGCAAGTCGGGATAAGAAGCACCTTGGGTTCTTTTCCTTGCCAACTCCTGTCAAGATGTTGTAACACTCTGGTCTGATTTCCATTAAATTTCTGAACACATGAATTCCTGCTTAAACTTTTTACCCAACTCTTCCATGAGTCAGTTGAAGATAGAAAAGGACATTTTTCAGACTCTGGTGGGGTGAGGAGGTAAGAGGACAGACAGACAGACAGGCAGGCAGGAGGCTCAGAGCTGGCCTCTGGTGTCCGCGAGGGCTAGAAGTCCTAGGAAAGCATTTTTCCTCCCTGCCCCTGTATGGTGAGTCCAGGAGACTGGTGTATATGGATGGTGGGGATATTTCATTACACCACTCTGACATCTTTTCTAAAATAATTCAAGATGTTGACATAAAAGAAAAAGTCAATAGAAGGAATTCAAATCAAGTCACAGGCTACTGAAGGTAGATATCAGCAGGAATATTCAATTCAGCCTGGAAAGAATTAACTCCAAAAAAGAAAAGTCCACCATGGACTTGAGGAATGCACAGGGTCAGGAGCAAGGTCAAGGACAGATGCTGCCTGGGAGTCCAAGCTATACCTTCCAGTTCCAACCCTGGAGGCCAAACCGCAAGGGGGCTGGCTTGCCGGCTTCCTAGTCTTCTTCTTCAGTTGATTAGTCCGTTTCTAGTTAGCAAACTGAGTTGGAGGAAACCAGCCAGACAAGACATCTGGAATTTCTATTATCCACTCACTTGAAGGCCTGCCATGGGATGACATTCTAAAAGGGATGAGGGGAACTTGCGGCCATCAGATCTGGGCTTGCAATTTGACTCTACTTCATACTAGCTGTGTGGTTTGAGTCAAGCACCTCTAACACTTTATGGCACACACTTTGCATATTAAAGTGGACGTAACTATGTCTGCTCATAGGAGTTCTCTGGATATGAAGTGAGGTAGCCCAGGTAGTTCTCATATGTGTCTGACACCTAGAAAGCACTGAGAAGTTCCAGTTCTTTCTCACTGCCTGCTATGGGCCGGGAAGTGTGAAGTACATGGAGATCAGTTATGGATCTCTAAGACTGCTTTCAAATCAGAAAACCTTTGGTTCCTACTTCTACAGAAGTGCCAGGAAGGGCCAGGGCCATTTCAGATTTACTCTGAAAGCGAGCAGTGAACACCAAAGAGATGTTTGGAGAGACCGACAGTCTGCTCAGCCTGTCTGTGTGATTCTTCCTAAGACAGGGTTTTCGGTCTTACGGGGCTTGGGACAGGTTTGTGAGTTTGATTCTGGGGCACGGGGAGATGTCTAGTTCCTCCACTTTTCCTCCACCCACACATGGGTCGGCAGGTCCACGCCTACCACACGCACCCAGAACGTGAGAGGCGATGACACTGCAGTGAGTCTTGTTCACCTGTTTCACTGATGGAGAAACAGAGAAGCGTCATGACTTCCCTGAAGACAAACTCAAGTGAGTCCAGTGGTGTCTCCATTCACTCATTCCTGCACCAATTTCAAACTGAGCTCCAACAAGGTGCCAGGACACATGCCTTACATGCCTTCGGTACACGTGCCTTAAGGACCCATATTGGGCCAACTCCGCCTTGTTGCTGAAGCTCCAACTGCGTGAGCACTGTCAAACACAAGCATTGTCACCCCTTCCTTCCCTAAGATTGCTACATGCCACACTGTTCTGATTAATTCCCCTAATTAGGGTCAGATGGCAGAGTGGACGTCTGTCCATTTGGCCTGTTGGGCAACAAGATCTTACCCATGTAACCTCCCTTTCCCCAGTGCATCCAGGCTTGTTGGCACCATCTCTCAAACATCTAACCCTCCTTCTGGCAGTAGGTAGATTCAGCTCAAGCTGTACCAAACTCGTTGCTTGAATTAAAGCTTGAATACAAGTGGCCCCTCTGGAGCAGACCAGTGACAACTGTGGTCCACCAATGGATTTGGCCACTTGTGCTTCTTAAATGTATCTGTAAAGCCTGCTTTCTTTCTATCTTTCCTGAGATCTAGGTGGTCATCTTTCCTTTGAGACAATGATTGGACTCCCCAATTAATTTCTGCTTGCGGTAAAGAGAATCAGTATCTGTTGCTTGCATTCAGTGAATTCTGATCCATGTGCTCCCCAATCTGAGGAAACTGTCCTGATGCATGGCTGGGACACAGTTTAACAGAGCTGCTAGGAATCAGTTACTTACTAGGCTTCTGGTACCATCCAAAGGGGTAGGTGCGGACTTCCGTGTCAGGAGAGTCACAGTCCAAGATGTGCCAGGCTCCTCCACCTTCCTCACTGCATGTCTGAACTCCCAGGCTGCTCAGAGTCAGACACATCACTTCTCCTCCTGCAGAACACATAGCCAAGACCAGGATGGTGAGCAAAACAGGAGATTATAAATTAATGAGGGAAGTCCTACAAATCAGTGTTCAGCAGACAAATGATGCTCACCCTGTCCTCTGGGAGAATCTTGCCTCTGATGCAGACCTGGTACATTTGTGTGAGGAGACTTTGGCCTAGGGGCTCAGGGATGGAGGCATCTGGTTCTGACTGAGCACCTGGCTATTGTGTCAGACTCTGCATCACTTCACTTGGTCCTCACAGGACCCAAAGAGGAAGGCAACATGTATTCCTACCTATGGGTGGAACTAAGCCTTGGGGAGAAAATATGTGCCTCATCTAGAATCCTATCACCAGAAAGTTACTGCACAAAGTTTGTTTGTCTGTTTTTGTTTTTGTTTTGATTTATTTTTTCTGTTTTGTTTTGCCTGTTTTGGTCTTGAGGTTCAAACTTAGGGCTTTATGCCCAGCAAGCAACTGACTTACACACCAACGCTCAGACCCTGAACCAAATTTTAAATGCAGGTCATATGGATGTGTCCAAAGTCCACCCCACAAAACCACCTGACCAGAGTGCTAAAAGATGAGCTGAAAACTGCTCAGCAAAGTATGAAAGAGAGGAAGGCTAAATGGGTCATGCAGATGCGTCTGTGTAAGGTCAACAGGCCCCTGGTTGGGAGTCACATCCAGCTGTCACACTGATGAGCCCCTGACACTTCGAAGCCCCGGTTTATGAATGAGGATCCCCCTTTCCACTCACTTGAAGATTCTGAGGATGAAAAGAGGTCCTAAGTATGAATGTGTTTTCTGGTCTCTAGAGTGCTGTGTATAGGGGAGGACTTATTATTCTTAATACCTTTTAACTGGGACACATTTAGAAATCCGAAACCGACGCAGCACAGGTCCAAATCACACAGTCGTTCACATTCGAAGAACCTAGCATCAGAAGAGAAAGGGCAGGTCTGAGGGCTTCTGGGTGGCCCAGCACCTACTTAGTGGGCTGAGCAGTCATCAATATTACTTTTGGAGGTCAGCTTTCTTTGTAACTACCTAAAGTGTGGGTGCTTTGGTCAATGTGTATGGTGGATTCCTAGCTTTGAGAGTCTTTTTTTTTTTTATTTTTTTTTTTTATAAATTTTTTTTTGTTCTGTTTTTTGTTTTTTGTGTTTTATTCCAGTACCAGGAATTGAACTCACGACCTTGCACTTGCCAGGCAGATGCTTTGCCGCTGAGCTAAATCCCCAGCCCTTGAGAGTCTTTATGAAAGCAAAGTTCTCCTTTCTAGAGAATGCTGTTTTGACATCCTTTGTTCATGCACTCATTCATTCATCAAGCATATATTCTGTGTCAGTTACACTCCAGTCTCCAAGTCAAGCTAACCCAGGACTCTGAATTGCTCCTACAATCCTTTCAGATAAGAAGGAAGTCTTAGCTTTGGACCAGGGAAAAGGAAGAAACAGCAGAAAAGGCATCCCTACAGTCAGGGTGACCCACCAGGGGCCTGTTTAAGCAACAAAGAGCTGAGCCTGCATCTCCTTGGCTTCCCCTTGTACTCTGCTACATAAGCTACTCAAATTCTAGGAAGATGTGTCTGTTGCCTGGCTCATCCCACTAGGCTATCTCCCCAGTGCCTACCTCACTTATCTACCTAGTGTAGCTACCAGACCCACCTGTCACTTTCTGGAACCAGCAATGGTAAGAGGAACTTAGTGGCTTCAAACCAGGGTTTTGGAGCTTGGTTCTAAGTTCCTCCTGTCCTGACCATGTGTCCCAACCTGATTCCTAAGAACTTACTCAGCCTCTTTGCCTTTTTCTGGTTTTGGACCCCGCCACATTCTTACTGTTGGTTTTCCATGAACCGAGGCACATCCCAATGTTTGAAGGTTTCATCTGCTGGGCAATGCCGGCTACATCTCTTCTCTGACACCAAGGAACCACCTCTCCTTTTCCTTTCCAAGTCCCTGCCCATCTGTCACCTGCTACTTCCTTTTCCTTTCTCGGAATTACATTGCTGAGCCTCAGCTTGGACCACTGGCTTTCCCAGCTAGCCACACATCCCTGCGTTGGGCTACCCCAGCTCCATTCTCCCAGCTCCTATCCCAGCACTGAGGTCAGGCTGATCCCTTGTTCTACCCTTCTGTCAGCATGAGTGATGTCCATCTGGGCCTCAAGACAAACTAGCCTGACTCATTCTTTTATCTCTATTTTCAAAAGAAGATCCTAAATTCCAGCTATATATAGTTCATAGCTCAATAGTTCATCGATCAATAAGTAAAAAGATTTACAATGTGCTGAGTATGTGTACCAAATGCCCACAATGAATGTAAATGCTATGTCATAAACATGAACTAAAGACAATAATAATAAAAATGGGGAAAGAGATGGAAGGAATGAGGAGGTAGGAAGGGTAAGGAGATGAAAAAGAATCAAGCTGTGGTATGTATATATATGTTCCGCTCCTTAAGTTGAGTGTAAACTTCATGTACTGCAAACACATACTAATAAAAAAAATCAAAAGAGTCATTGGGAATCTTCCTAAAAATTCCTTAAAATTCCAGTTCTTGAGCTCCATCCTAGGAAGCCTGAGTTAGTGGCCCAGGATAAGCCCCAGGAAAGTAGTTGATAACCATCCCCCCTGGTGATTCTGATGGGTGAGATCCATGGACTGTACTGAGCAAAACCTCACTTTCAATTAGAACAACTAAACCATTAACCACATAGACAATAAAATAAATTTTTTGAAACAATGATGGAACAAAAAGTCCTTGCAAGCCTAGGGTTCTGTGAAAAGTTCTGCTTGCTCTCCAGATTCTAAATACACAGTACCATTAGGTTCTGAGGACCAGGTTCATTGCTATGCTTGATAACTTTTATTAATTGACAAGACATAGCCCAATGTATCTCTTTTCCATCATCTGACTAAAAGTTAAGAGCTAACTTTGGTATTTAATATCAACAACTTGTCTTAGCCCAGATTTTTGGTATGACTACCTCCTTATTATATTTTTTCCACTTAGCTTTGGGCTGTGCAGTTAGTATTAGACTTTTGCCTTTAACAGCTATGGTTTCACCCTTCTCATGGAGGCAAAAGAGCTTTAATAATACATATAAATGGGAGCACAGAGGTTGCTTACCCATTGGAAATGGATTTTTCAAACATGGGCACTTTGTTTCTAATGGAAATCCCTGCCAGCTTCCGGAATGGCAGACGAGTGTAAAAGTTCTTCACTTTGTTGTTCAGGACAACTGCACAGAAGAAGAAAGAAGTGTTATCACTTGGAGAGAAACTTATTATACCTGTGAATGCGTGATAACCAATGAGTAGAAACCAGACCAAAAGCTTTCATTAATGATGGCACCTTGAATTCACACAATGACTCTCACTCCCACCCCAAATCTCCCTGAAATGACAGCTGGAATTCTTGTGAAGGCATAAGCACATCACGATGGAGGGAATAGAAGAGGGGATATAGTTACACACTTTGTGGAGTTGGAAAGCACACAGAGGATTAAAACTTGGTTCCATAGACTTAAGAAGGCAGACTCCACTTTCTGTGGGGAGAACCAAGAAGCAAGCCCATGTGCCTCTGGCTCTCTAAAGGTTCAAGCATCCGCAGCCCTGAAGGGAGAAAGAAGCCTACATGGTGGATGGGCTGAGAATCTCCTTCAGAAGAATGAGGCATCCAGGTGCCTTCTGTGTTTCCCCAACTGACAAGAGCTGGCTCCCACCAGGGAAGAATATTGAAGGCTTATTCCTAGAGAAGACAAAAGACAGGGTCTCTGGGTGCCCTGGAGAGTGGACGGGATGCACACTGCATTGAAAGAAGGGTCCTTTTCCAGTCAGTCTCCATACTGAGGCTCCCTACCTTCTCTAACCTGATTTGGTGTCCAAATCACTGGCAGCCAGGTATATGCTGTAGCAGGTATTGCAAGATTCCTCTAGAGCAAGGATTTAAAAATATGGACATGAGGGACTGCCCAAAGCATGGCCCAGTAGGTTGTTCTAAAGCCAGCAAACTTTCACCAAACAGTCAAAGCTTCACTCTGGCCTTGTGGGTTTGACGTACATTTGAGTGGAAAACCTAGGGCCACCAGGTACTTGGTAAGAGCCTCCAGAAAAGAAGATAGAAGGGATGCTAAGGGCAGCAACATCTGGGGGAACGACAGACAGTACAGGGTAAAAAGAGGAACGCAAACTATAGTGTCCTTAGTGCTCTTGATGAGAAACCCCGACTTTGATGGTGTTACAGTCACAGAGGCTAGGACCACACAAGCTTATGGGCCTCTAGGTGACCAGCACACCAGTCGCAGCTCTCTCTATGAATGAGGCTCTAGAGCAGAAGTCTCCAGAGTTGACTTCTGAGTGCATTTGAAAGAAGGAAAAATAAACCTGGCTGTTTGTGAAACTACAAATCCAGCCTCCCACTAGAAACCCAGCATGCACAGGCACCTGCGGACTCACCTTTCTTCTGGAACAGGGTCCCCGGCTGCCGTGGCAGGACCAGGCTGCAGCCCTGGGCACTAGACTCCAGGACATCATCACACACCTGGGCCTCCGGGTAGAGGGAGCAGGTAAAGTACAAGGACTCACTCTCTGTTACCTCTGCAAGCCGACAGAAAAAGGGCTCCTGGGAGCAGCCTGCAGCAAGAGCACAGTTGGTTCTCAGATCTCAGGAGGCTCATAGGTGAGAATTACCTTTATGGGATCCACTGGGAGAAAATGCCTGGCAGAAGCTCTTCTTAGGGCAGATGCCCAGTAATTGTCTAGTCTGGGATTCTATTGCCTGGGAAGGGGCTGTTTGGCCCTTAATAAAGGCAGAGTAGAAGTGGAAATAAACGGAGACCTTAAACTCAGCAATACAGGTGCGAAAGGATAACATTCTACTGCATCTACTAATGACCACATCAGAGGCAAGATCTGTAAACCAGAGAACTTGTGAAGTTTGTGAGTGATTTTCTTGTCCTGTTGGCACATCAGTCACTGACAGAGGTATGTGTGAGCACCTTGAGGGAAAAATCATGGCTGATTCTTTTTGTCTTTTATACCTAAGATCAAGCACAGGGCTTAGAATAACATGTGTATTCAATAGCTCATCAGATGGATGGAGGATAGATGGAGGGATACATGGATGGATGGAGGGAGGGAGGACGGATGGAGAGAGGGATGGAGGGAGGGATGGAGAGAGGATGGATGGAGGATAGATAGATGCATGGAGGGAGAGAGGGTATTGGATGGATGGAGGGAGGAAGGGAGGATGGATGAAGGGAGGGAGGATGGATGGAGGATAGATGGATGAATGCATGGATGGATGCATGGTTGCGGAGATGGACTGATAATAGGTTGATAGGTTCTGGGAGCAGAGCAGAGACTGACTACAATGTGAGCTTCTGAAAGACAGGGATTGGATCCTATTTACCTTTAAGAACGCAGTGATTCCTGAACTACAGCACTGAGATCTATCTTATCTGTATCTCTGGAGTTGAACTATGCTGTGATACCCAACCCCAGAGTCTGAAAGCTGAAGGGTCCAATCTAAAGATACTTACGAGAAAGGCACCAGAGGTTTGCCTGCTGAGCTGAAAACAGGTGTTTGAAAAGCCAGTACTGCTGCCTGGGCAGGGATCTGTTCAAATTGACAATGACCTGACTGAGGTCCACAGGGGAAAAAAGTTCTGTTGTTGAACCTGAAAAAGAAAGTCAATCCCTTCACCTTTATCTCTACTTGAATATGAAACAAGACTCCAGCTGTTCCTTCACACACACCTGCCCTTGGAGCCTTGGCACAGGTGACCCTCTTACCTGGAACACCTTCTCCAGACGTCCCCTGGAAGCGTGTGGGAGATCCATCTGGATTTCTCTGAGAAGCTTTTCCAGACTCCCCTGGGCTGTCTGGCACCCTCCCTCCCCTGCATTCCTATTGCACTTCACATTTGTCTTCCTGTACCTGCCACGGTGTCAAGTGGTGGCTGTACGTGGGCACCTTAGTAGTCTGTGAGTGTCCAAGCACATAGCACATATACTTAAGAAGCATCTGTTAGACAAAACAGTGAATATTGTAACTCTGTACCTCACTGTACCTGGCATAGATGCCATGTTAGAAACAATTTTTAAAACTCTGTGCAGCCTTAAAGGGAAGGAGACCAGGACTGGGCCAGCCAGATGGAGCTGCTCTTATTGCTTCCCTGTGGTTGTCTCCAACACTCAGACTGAGTGCAGGGACGTGATGCAGAAAGGGGAAAATCTTCCTGTGCTTTGACTCCGAGGTGTTTCCCATGGAACTTGAGAAACATAGTCTGAGCGGGAGCCTTCGAGAAACTGAGCAAGGACCAGCAGCATTTCTTCTATGGGCATTTTATCTTGTGCACTCCAGGAATGTGATCAGCTGAGGAAGGGAAAGCTGAGCAGAGCTTTCCCTGTTCACCCTGTCTCCTTTCAGGGCATTGGTTGGGGTCAAACTCCTATCCTAGTGGCGGGGGGCAGGGCGCCCTCCTGTAAGGACCCTGTGATAACACTAGCGATGCAGCCCTCATGCCGGGCTTAAACGCTCTCAAGTGACACCACCTCATGCACATTCATCCGGCCGTGAGCTGTAAAGTTGCCCCTAAAAGCCTCTGCCCAGGCTGGCGACCACCACACAGAGGCTTGGATAAGAAGTGGATTGCTGGGTGCTGGTGGGGACCAGGGAGCAATGGACAGGCAACCTAGGATGGACAGGGTGGCTCAGTGTCGCTCAGCTCAGAAGATGGTCCCCAGGAGGAAGTCTGAAGTCAGTGTGGCCAGAGTTTTTCCTGTCTTTCTCTACAGAAACCAGAAACCTGATTTTTGACGTAATACTTCCCAATTTAAAAGTATTGATTCAATTAAAAAAAAAAAAAAAACTGGAAGTCTACTATGCAAATTAAACAAAAACATCAGCTGTGTCAGCCAGGTCTTGGGCCTGAGTTCTCACGCCCATCAGGCTGTATAAGGGGTTGACTAGGGTTTGAGAAAAACCCAGACTCTGAGGTCAGTTGGTCGGATCCTGGCAGTGCTGCATACTTAGTGCTGGGCTGGCTTGAACTTGGGATACCACGGCACCGTAAGCCCTTCATTTCTCCTTAGCAAAATGAGAACCCTGACCAGCGGAATGGAGTGGTCATGTCATTTGTGAGATGACATACACAAAGCACCCGTGCAGGACCTGGTGCCAAGGATGTTGGAGCGGGGAGGTCTTGCTTTCCTCCACAGCCCTCCCCGAAGAGCTGTCAGCTCACTGTCCCTCACAGGAAAGCAGTGGTGGTAAACTTGAACATACCAGCATTGTGCTTGCCAAGCTAGTGCGCCCATTGACAGCCCTGGGCAGCAACCAGAAAGGTGAGGAGACAGATCACTGATGCGGAAAGGGGAAAATCTTCCTGCGCTTTGCATCAGAGGTGTTTGAATCAGAAGTGTGTAGAAGAGAACTGGACAAGGAGGGGAAAGGTCCTCTGAGTAGGTTGCCTCCCCTAAGGCAAAACTGATGTTTCAAGTGAAAATGTTTGAAGGGGGAGAAGAACAGCATCAGGATTGGGACAAGAAGAGGAACTGTGTCCCTGCTGTCCATCCCACAGCACTTGGATCACTGTCTGATAGGAAGAGAGGCAGAGTGGGGACAAGACTCAGTTGAATGGTTGCATGGCCAGGCTGTGTCGCAGGAGCGCAGCCTCCAGTAGCTCACCAGTGGCACACAACAGCTGCTGACTTGCAAGCTCAGGCTCCACACTCCAACAGTGTAAAGAATCATCCCTCCCAGTTCCCCAGTTCGCCTACCATATGGCTACTGCTATGACTCCCATAGATGAAGACACTGACTGTCAGAGGTGACTCACTTCCATGAGCAGAGACAGAGCTGGGCTTTGAACCCGGTCTCTTGACCTGAGGGCCCACACTTTAACAGAAGACCCTCCTCATCTCAGAGCAACTCTTTGGATGCAGAATGAACTCAGCCTTGCTAGCTGACTATTATGGGAGCAGCCCTTTTGCAGCTGTTCTTATATATTATCTCATGAGACCTGGAAAGAAACTCTGGGAAAGGGAAGAAACTACCATTTGGGGGTTATGTGTTAGGTACCAGGTAATGCACAGAGTTTTACCGTCTCCTGGGATAAGAGACGAAAGAAGGTTTCATTCTACACCTGAGGAATTCGAGGATCTTAACATGTGAGCAGATTGACCATAGCCACGCAGTCTGTAAGTGGTAAGAGTAGCCTCTCTCTGTCTCTCTCTCTGTCTCTGTCTCTCTCTCTCTTTCCCCTCTTCCTCTCCCCCAACCATGTGTGTGTGTGTGTGTGTGTGTGTGCATGTGTGTGTGTGTGTGCGTGTGTGTGTGTGTGAGAGAGAGAGAGAGAGTCTGTCTGTCTGTCCCTGTCTGTCTCTGTCTCCCCAGTGGTAAGGATCAAACCCAGGGCCTTACACATTTTATGTAAGAACTCTACCACTGAGCTATGCTTCCAGCCCAAGAGTGGGTTGTGAAGGCAAGTTCAGCTTCTTGCTCCTCACGTCTCTCTGATGCCTTCCACCATGTACCGACAGCAAGAAGGCTCTTGTCTGTTTGCTATAAATGATACAGTCTGTCTGCTGGCGTCCTGTTATAGCAGCACAAAGTAAGCTGCTCTTTTTCCCTCCCCCTCCCTTCTTTCTTCCTACTCCTCTCTTTCTCCCTCTGCTCTCTCTCCCTTCCCTCCCTCTTTGTGTTCTACCTCCACTTCAGCAATAAAGGACCGCAGGTTCTAGAGGTAAAGTCTCAGACACTCCATATGTGTCATCCCTATTAGTTTGAATTCATTGCTCCCACTGCCTGTGGTGACTCATGTTCAAAATCTTTCTCATTCATTAAACAATTTTGGAATATTTACGTTTGTTTCTACTCTTCAAGGCTGACAGGAGAAATAGTCATTGATCATAGTCACTTGTACCTTGCTTTTTAATATATGTCTTTTTTCTGGTTTTATTTTTTTTTATTTTTTTTATTTTTTTGGTTTTGGTTTTTCTCCGGTACCGGGAACTGAACTCACGACCTTGCGCTTGCCAGGCAGGTGCTTTGCCGCTGAGCTAAATCCCCAGCCCCTCTGGTTTTATTTTTATGGTTGTTTTTGTTTCCGATAACAGTGGTGAATTTCTAACAGTTGTACCTTAATTTCTGTGCCAAGGAGCTGCCATATTGTGAAATGGGATAGAAGCTTACAGAGGGCACTTGAGGCTACAAAATGGAGTGAGCAGGGAATAGCGAGGGGTCCATGCATTGAATAAACCCTTGGCGCCCCCATTTGTCCTCTACAGTCAGACACTCAAGCATGTAAATGTTTGGGGGCTGATACCTGTGTCTGCTGAAGATTCAGACCTTGGTACCACATCTCTTCTGCATCCCATAGACTCAGGCCGAGATGCCATGTCAGAATCTAGGAGGAAAAAAGAAGAATGTATGTAACATTGAGGAGAAGGAGTGGTATTCCTTTGGAAAAAGTGGTAGTAGCAAAGCAGGAAATTCTCATGGTGCACAGCCAGGAGCTCAAGAAGGACTGGAGCGGACCTAGTGGCACAGGTCTGCATGCCATGGCCTTGTGCTGAATGCCAGCCAACCTCTCGGTAATAGAATTCTCAGTGTCCTCGATATTGCAATTCTGAACATTTGCCCTGTAGTGTGAAAAAAAATGTTCATAAATACTGGTGTTTCCAGCACCCTGTGAAGGGTGAAGAATCAGATTTCCATGTTATTTTTGAGAAAACTGAGACCCAGAAAAGTTAAATGATGTATTCTAGATCACTCAGGTGATCAGAAGACAAACTGAAGTTTGAAGAAATTTAACAAAATTCCACAGCACCACTTGAGGATCTGTCTCTGGAGATCTGTCCTCTGACCCTGAGCCTCAGGCACAGGGGACCCAGTTCCTTGGATGAATTCCTGCTGTACTTGGCAACAGCCCCAATGCCCCTTTCCTGGTAACCAGGGCAGTGCGTGCTCAGTGAACTCAATCTCCCAGGAACTCCATTCTTCCTTCTCCCTCTTTTCTTGGGTTTCTGCACTGTGCATTTTCCTTTTAGACCGTGGTATCTTATCTGATGAATGGGGCCCTCCTGCGATACAGAGAGCACTCTCTTAGAAAGCAGATATCTACCCTCTCTCTCAAGGGAGCAGAGTGCCCAATGGAGGACAGGCAGGGCTAGTCTCCAGCTGTACCACTTGTACCACAGAGGGAAGCTTACCTTTCCAGAGATAAACCTGCTGGAAACCGATAGCAGTGCCCAGAGCTCCTTCCAGGGGTGCCAGACCTACAAAGGCAGATTGTGAATTTTATGAGCGTGCATGTCCACCATTACCACAACTGCCCAGCTTCTCCCTCAAATTATCCTGGCAATGATAACTCTGCTTACACACAGTGTGCTTCAAAAGCCTCTTGGAATTGTATTCCAGCTCCATGGTATAAAACCAGAGCTAGTCAGACCTCTGGTGTGAAGCTTAGGCCACCAAAGGGACTACTTGGGTGAAGGGTTGTGAATCATGACACAGGAGAATAACTTAAGGACCTAGAGATTGGTTTTAGAAGAAAACTAGATTCCCAGGAAACTCCAAATCTAGTTTTTAATACTACCTAGCTCCTCTGAGACTCTTGCCTCATTGATAAGTGGGGAATGCAATTGTGAGGATGAGAACGTTCTGGGGTCCTCACCCACTTGTTGAAAGATTGCTATTATTTATTACTAATATTATTAAATTCCCTTTTCTGGAAAACTGTATTCCACTTGATGGCACCCTGAGTAAAACTAGATTTCCCACACTATTTCTTGATGGTCGATGCTCCTTTTTTTGCCCATGTGCATCCCTCTGTTTCTTCCCGACTCCTTCTCCGATGGAGAAGACTGTGGAAAGTGTTCAGAAAACCTGAGTCTGGAGGACAATAATCCCACACCCTGCAGGAGACACCTGGATCACCACTTGAGACCTCAAGAAATGATCAAATTTTGTTTTTAATTATTATTATGATCCCGTTATGGATAAACTGCTGTTGTCACTTATCTAGCACTGTAAGGAGCACCTTTTATATTTTACCTAATTTACACTTCACAATTATGCTACAAGCAAGGTCCCCAAGTTCAAGGTGAAGAAATCAAAGTCAAAAGTCCCAATTCAAATCCTATCTGTTCAGTTCCACAGCAATGCTCTTAACCAACACACTAAGGAAAGGAAAATGTATTCTACAATTCTGCCCATCTAAAATGCTCAAAACATGTCAAGGTTCTTGTGTTTAAAGAGATACACTCAACTGTATGGAAAACTCACCCTCAAAGTGAGGACCCTCCCCAAGGATGATCATGCTCTATTCTGGAGGTGAGGTGAAATATTGAGCTGTGATTCCATTTTATTTTCTTTCAGAAATAAGAATAGGGCCAGGGATATACCTCAGTGGCATAAGCACCTGCTTGGCAAGTGCAAGGTCCTGAGTTCAATTCCCAGTGCCCCCCACAAAAATCATCTTAAAATAATAGAAATGAGAATAAACAGTGATGCTAGGACTTCTTACACTGTCCTGTAGTGGGATAATATGCTTCCTTAAAGGATCCACTCAAACTTCTCTCATAGTTTTCTTCAGAGTGTGGAAGTCACTAATAAAACTGAGGGAGTGTGAGCTGCAACACCTGGGAGACCTACACTTGGATGTCTGACATTGGGAGTCTTGTTCTCCACATCATGAAGGAGAACATACTACACTCCTATGACACTGACAGGGCTGGCAGCCACTCCTCAGTTGGTGTGCTGTTGTCAGTCTCCATCATGATATCATCATTTGCTTATTGTAAAGGTCAGGCTGTGGAGTTTTGGACTCTGTCACAATGAAAACCAGAGAATTTATTTTTTAGGTCTTTCTGTATTCTAATCCATTTAATTGACTGATTTTTTTCAAAGTAGTAAATAGATAGTTTGTTAATATAGATATAATAAAAGTTTTCAATATACTTTGGTCTAGACATTATAATTCATACTTAACCTATAAAAGTTGGTAAAATGACACCTCTAAGATGTTTTACTGCTCTCAAATCTAACACTAAAACCAGTGGTCACTATAAGAAATACTTTACCATGGGGTCATCTTTGTAATTTACAAAAAAGTAGTAATGCTTTAGTGTTTTGCGTCATTAAAATGTTTGCCTGGTCTCCTAGGAGGTTAGAGGTAGAAAAAGGTGCCCTACCCCCTCTACCAAGGAGAGCTGCGATGACCACTGAAGACAAAGCTGGACCCTGATGGGACTGGTGACAGCACCAGAGGACTGATATGAACAAGATTTACTAACCAGCCTTTTCCTGTCAATTTTTTGTCTTTCCACAATTTGCCACCTCTAGAGATGCAGAGCTTCTTCTCTTTGTCCTGTCACTTCTCTAAATATGCATTACTCACCATTGAAGACGCTGTATAAGCTGTAATGCAAAGCCACCTCACGGGTATCTCTCAAGTAAATATGTGATTTTCTCTTGTAATCTGTCTTTTGTTTCAGGTATCCACTCCAATTTAAAAATTATTTTTTCTTCTCCCACAGTATTCTGAGCCACCACACACCAGCTCTGTCCCCAGGGCCCCTCTCCCCAGGCACACCTAATGTTGGCTCCTAGGCCTCTCCACCACTGTGCCACTGTTTTATCTCTGCCTACAGCCCTAATCCCATCTCCTGTGATTCGCATGTACTCATTCTTTAAGAATCAGATTTGTCACATATGGTGCCATATACCTATAATCTCAGCACTCTGAGAGATTGAGACAGGAGGACCCAAATTCAAACCCAGCTTGGGAAACTAAGTGAGACCCTGTCTCAAAATAAAAATTTTTAAAAGGGCAGGGGATGTAGCTTAGCAAGAAAGCTCTGAACTCATTTTCTACTATTGGAAGACAGAAAGCAAGGACGGAAGAAGGAAGGGAGGAAGAGAGGGAGGGAGGTGAAAGAGAGAGAAAGGAAAATGCAAGGAAGGAAGGAAAAGAGAGACAGAGAGAGGGAGGGAGGAAGGCAAGCAAGCAGCTCTTTCTGGAGGCCTCCCTGGGCCTGGGTTGGGAGGCTTACACATCCTCCCCTCCCGGATTTACACAGCACTCAGAGAACACCTGTCTTTAGTCTCATACTTGATGACCAACGCCAAGATTCCAGAATGTACTGTGAGCTTCTGGAGCTACAGACTAGGCCTTGTTCCTTTTTATATTGCTCATCTCCAGCACAACCCTTGATGTGCAACTGGTGTTCATTACACAAATGAATACAAGGAGAAACAAGTGAAGGAAAACAGAACAACCAGTGGTGCTCAGAGCCCAACCAATAAATGTAGAGCCCTTTGCTTCCATGCATAAAAAGGTTACCGAATGTGTTTTTCTAAGGCAGACATCTAGTCCTTCACTCCATTCTCCAACACTTATCTAGTTCACTTTACTGCTTTTAAGAAGGTACATGAAACTGAGGCAAACTTTATCCTTCTCTTCCTTGCTACCCAATGATGATGTGACTGCTGGGACATCTCTGCCATTCCTTTGACAACCACAGAGGGAGGATATCTCCGCTGCCCACACAGGCCTTCAGACGCAGGACAGCCCTTCCTGCCATCAAGGCTGCAGGCACACATTCACACTGAGAGCCACGGTGCTTGGCATGAGCCCGAGTCTTTGATGTTAGTGGGATCTGTGCAGTCTCAACCTCCTCAGGAATACTCCTGTGGAGACTATGTGCTGCATCTGTCGCCAACAGTTTTCACCTAGGCCCTAAGAATGGACAGAATTTCAAACAGGAGAATGCACTCCGAGAGTCATCGAGGGCCATTGCAAGCTGCTGTCCAGGAGCTCTGCCCTCCAGGGAGGAGCCAAAAGGGCACCAACCCCTCTTCACTCCCTCTTAGCACACAGGCCTTATTAGCAGCACAATGAATGCTAGGTATGTGTATATATTCGTCAATAGAGTCATGGCAGAGATATGGGCTAAATAAAGTATCGTAGCGTCACTCATATTCTCGCAAGAAGAGAATGCAACAGTGACCATCACTGACACAAAACAGCCTCCTGTTAAGGGAATAGCAGACATCAGGCAGAACTATGAAGGCTTCAGCATTCAAAATAAATCCAGGAGTATTTTTGACAAAGCCTTTTCCTCTTACCAAATATTAAATTTTTATGGGAATCAGGGTCATCTAATCTGCCTGTTTTTCACTCATTCACACTTTAAGACATTGTGAGCACTTATTCATATGCAGCCTCAAAGACTACTAAGCCTTTTCTCTTAAATACCGGAAAGCTGATCGATCCAACACCAAATAGTTGGAAACACCTAGAGGTACTCATGGGAAATGTGGGAGACATAGTCGCTGGCTGGTCCTTGTGTAGTGTCTAACAACGGAGCAGAGGTGAGCTACGCAGCATTCTGCATTGCTACAATCCTTGTCGGTCCACAAAGGCAGCGAACAGGAAGTTCCTGGATTCTAGCAATGTCAAAACCTGTCACCCCCAACCAGCCTGGGAGCTCCTCACAGCAGGAACTGCTCTCACCTCAGTACATGCAGCTACACATAGAAGGCACCAAAAAAAATCCAAACCTTCAAAGGTCTTTAGTAATCACTCCTTTCCAGGAAGACTAGTCAAAGGCACATTCTTCATTTCTTGGGTCCATACCAAGCACATGCTCTGGGTTAAGCAATTCATTCTGGATTTATTGCCCATGAATATATTGTATGTCCTTCTGGAAATGCCTGTTTTCACCCCAGGCTACCTTTCAGAACAATGAATACCAGGTGCTGAGTAATCCTCACATAAATAAGGTATTTGATTTTATTTACACCGAATGAAATCATTTAAGCCTCATGGAATTCCACCAAATTCTGAAATATTTTTCCAGATTTGGGTAACTATGCACTCCACAGATGTTTCATATATTTTCTATGCCAGGTTTGATGTTCTGTGCTGTGAACCCAGAAATTAATAAGACATAGCTCAATTCTTGAAATACCACAGAAAACAATGCCCAACATTAAAAACAATGACAGTGATATTATCTAAGCTTGACACTACACATTGACCCCTGTTCTCCCAGTAGTTATCTGTGTTTGCCATGGGGCAGTGGCCAAGACATTGGCTTTCGAGCCAGAATATGGTTTCGGACTCCCCCTGCTACTCACTTGCTCTGGAACCTTGGGGGTTACCTGACTCAGTTTCTTCTGCTGTAAAGTGAGGGCAGTAAAAACAAAAGAGCCTCGCTGCAAGTGCTGTGTGAGTACAGTCAAGGCCATTGTGTGGGTTGGACTCTCAGCAAGCACCACAGGAGACCTTTCTGAGATAAATGTTCTGGCCATGTTCACCTCCTTCCATCTCTATGGAGCCAGTACCATCAGTACCCACTCCCCAGCCAGCAGCAGTGACTCATCCAAGACCACATGGCTGGGGTTCACAGGCAAACTGGGACAGACCCGCAGAGCAAAGGGGAGGGTTAGCCTGACAGGAAGAGGGCCTGCAGGAGCTCTGCAGGAGCAATGACCAGGATGGCTCCGGGAGAAGGGGAAGGTGGGCCTGCCATCACGAGGTCCTGAGAATTGCCGTCCCTGGAGATATGGGTCTCAGGTTCCTTCTTTCAGTGCCTGGAGACCAAGTCCAGCAGTGACAAGAGGCCCCTAGGATGACCCCTATCCCTCACCCCAGATGCTTCCAACTCTCCAGCGTTGGAAGGTGGAAAGGAATCGACATTGCCTTCTGAGCACAGATGTTGGCGGGTCACCAGAGCAGAGAGGTGAGAGGTAGCAAGTCCTCTGAGCCACACACAGGAACTGAAAGAGGGAGTGAGCATCTGGTCTGCTCTCATCGCACACAGACTTTTGGGGTTGAAGGAAGCCTCCGCTATCCAGGGACTTGAAAAGCCGACTCCTGGAGCCTGGGGATATGGGGGCCTGAGAATCTGCATGTCCATTCTAGCTCCCAGTGCTGCTGCTGCTGTTGCTGGCCCAATCTCATGAATAACATTGGCCTGGCCAGTCTGCAGGACACTGCAGAAGGCCCAGCTCCTGGGAGGGGGAGTCCACAGAGAGAGGCTCCTGGGGAGCTCACGAGGCAGAAATGGGGCTTGATTGGCAGAGCCTGGGGCACTCCCACCCATCTCTGAATTGAGGGATGGGACAGGTGCTCAGAGAGGGGCCTTCTGCCTCTAACATTCATGAGTTTGTAAAAAAGAAAGGCCCAAAGAGCTTCCAAAAGAGCAAAAGGGAAGGAGAACGCACGAAATTTACTTCTGTTCACCGAGTCCGCATGATGGGCCACTGTCCCACACTCCTTTAAGTAGAGTGTGCAGTGTGGTTGTCCATACCTGGAATTCTGTAACTCACAGGGGGTTCCCTGGGGACAGCTCTGGGGACAGCCTGCATGCTGGGCACCACCTCTTCACCCTTACTTGTAATCACACATCTTGCCCATGATTTTTGTGCCTCCTGTCACTAATGGAACAGAGTTTATTTCTGATGTGATTTGTCATATTCGGGAAAATGTGGCAGAGATGACAGTGAGGTTGCAGCCTTGATTTTAAGAGGCCCACTTTTTTCCTCTTTCTACCCTGCCTCTCACCCTGCAGGAGAAGACCGTGCTCAGCCCAGTGAAGGAAAAGGAGAGGAAAGTAACACCCACAGGAATAGCACCAAGGCTCCTAACCCCACCCAGACCAGGTCAGACTATAGGCAACTGACCCTAAACTCCTACATGAACTGCTGGGAGCAGACCTTCCCTGGAGCCACCTGCCCCGGCAACCTGCAGGTCAGCCAGCTATGAGGACTTGACATGGGTGCTTCTGTGGAAAGCTGCTTTCTCAGAATCATCATTGACATCCTTTATTTTCTTTTCCCAAGGGTAAATTCCTCAGGAGAAGTAGAGGGCTGAAGAAGCAGCAGAGGGCCTCACTGGCCAGTGGAAGAACCATTTGCAAGGAATGAGGATGAAAGGCAAAGACTTACTTTCCGTGAACTCCTGGCCTCCTAGAAGAAACGTCACCTGGTGGGACCCCTGCTCATATGTCACTCCAGGACATGTAGTGTTGGCTCGGACTTTGGAGGGGTCCATCCAGTCTTCATCGTTGCAAAGGAGGACATCAGGGGAGCTTAGCAGCCCGCAGACGAGGGGACCTATAGAGGCACAAGGGGGAGGTGTGACAAGGAAGCAGCAGGGCCCTTCAGAAACTCCCCTCTGTGCCTGGGGAGCCTTGTAAGTAGGAACAGCTGGCAATAGCTCAAGTCTACACAGGGACGCTAGAACTCCAGAGACTGGTTTTAAATCCAGTTCCAAAAATGGCCTTAGAGGCCTTCTTATATAGGGTTCCCCAACCAGGTGCTCGGCCTGATGATATAAAAAATGCAGGGAGAGTCTTGAAAATGCTCACTTCCAGGCTCCAAACATGGACGGACCTTTGGAGTTGGTAGGACACACATTAGGGGAGCAGATTTTGGGAATTACTGCTTGCAGAGCATACACAGATGTTTCTGGTACACAGCCCAATTCAATGACCCAGTTAGGCCACCTTGTTTTACAGAAGAGGAAACTGAGATATGGAAAGGGGAAATGGTTTTTTGCTGGTTACAGAGCAACAGTAGAGTAGCCAACAGGCAGTAAGAGCTGACCATGGAGCCCAGAGACAGTGCAGGCCTCAGAGAAAGCCCTAGCACTGTGGTCTGACCTCCATCTCGCTCCCCTCCCCTCCTTCTCCCTCCTTCCCCAGTCGCTCCAGCAGAGGGACAGAATTAAACACAAAGTGAGTGCTTGTCCTGCTTCTAGCTCAAGACATCCACGCAACTTCCTAGTGCTGGAGCATTGGTGAGAAGTCTGGTGGTCTATGAGCTGGGGGCCAGCTGGAAACTACAGGTTACCTTCCTGACTGAACCTGCCAGCTTCAGCAGTGCTCATGTGATCCTCAGGGCACACAAGAGCCCCTGAGCCCCACATTCAAGTGGCCTCAACTAAAATGTAGGTTCTGAGCCTCAAGAAATTAGACTAATATCTATGTGTAGAAACAGAGCTATTTGGGGTTGGCTACTGAAGGAAGCTGGAGGGGTCTGGGACGAGCAGCTAGGAGGGGAAGAGGACAGGGGGAATCCACCAGAAAGTGAAATGACTTTCCAGGCTGTGGTAGAAGGGTGTGGTATGAGTCTGTTCCTGGTCATCAGCAGATCCAGCCAAAGCTTTGTAGGTAAAAGCTCCAAGTCTGACCCTGCATGAGCTTGAAGAGGACATCAGCCAGGCACTTTGCCTGTGCCTACAAGAGGGCTTGGCTGCCGGCACCATGAGTTGATCCATCAGCTTAGCAGAAATCACAGACCACAGGTTAAACTTGGAGGGAAAAGCGAGCAAGCTGCCAGCCTGAAATATCATGGAAGGAAGGACTGTGGGCTGGTTGTTCCATGGAGCAAAACTATTTTTCCATATATGATCCTAAGGAAAATGCAATCAACCTTTCCAGCTTGAAAGACCACGTGGTCTGGTAAGTAATTGAGCATCTGGGAAGTTTGTGGCCTTCAATAGCAGAGGCAGCTAGTTAAAGAGGCATCCTGGGTTTGATTAGAGGGTTTCTAGCTATGAGTTAGGAACATAAAGGGATACATATAAAGGCTTTGATACAGACATTTGTGTAAAACTTACTTTCTCTTATCTTTTCTCTATCTTTCCCCTATACAGGAGTGTGTGTGTGTGTGTGTGTGTGTGTGTGTGTGTGTGTGAAACATACTTTCCCCTGTCTAAACACTAACACAAATCTTCATCATATAGTCATAGAGCATTAAACCTAGAGGAGATTTTAGGGATCATTTTACTCTAACCTGGGTTCCTGTCTCACCTCTCCTATAAATATTGTAAATATTCTCATTTAACTCTCACTGACTGACTACTATGAGCTACTGTGAGCTAAATTTAGAATTTTTCAATAATCATCTCCCAATCCCTCAGCAGCGCTCAAGATGACACCATGCTTCGTGGATCACTTTCTCCCTCTGAGATATCCATTAGGCACCCTGCCCTGGGTCACTTCCTCTCCATGTGGTGGATGCTTTTGTGTCCCTCTGCAGATTCCCTACCCTTTCTATGGGTGTTCATTGGAATTGCCCCCCCCACTTATCTTTGCACTCTTTTGTGTCTCTTTCAAGGGAATCCCAGCCATACCCTTGCCTTCTGATACTATGCAAAGCTTCTAATCCATACATGAATACCTCCAGTCCAGATTTCCCTTCTGAGCTCCAGAGCTCTGTGTCCAAAGGACATTTTGTGAATGTCTCAAAGGTGCTTCAAACTTAGCATATCTCACATGGAAGCATGACCTTCCTAAATCTTCCCCTCCATCACCAAATTCATCACTGATGCCTTTATTATTCATTGTAGGAGCAGACTACCCCAGCCAGGTGAAAAGCTAGACGCTCAAGAATGATCTTCAGCACCTTCCTCTTCCTGAATCCCCATATCCAGAGTCCCGCTGAATCTGCTTCCTAAAAAGAAGTTGTTATGTCTTGTTTCTGACTATACTGCCATCACCTAGCCATATCCTTTCCTACTGGTCCATTGCAGTTGCTCATCACTGACCTCCCTATCCACTGAAGTCCCTCTCCATCACCTCCACCCTTAAACTCAGAGCGCTGGTTTTGAGATCCAAGTGGGATTGTGACATTTCCTTGCTTAAAACTTACAGTGGTTTCCAATTGATTTTAAAATGAAAAATAGCTGTCAGTGTGGGTTACAAGGTTCTCTGTCACATGCCCTGCCTCTCTCTCCTGTTTTTCTCAAGCCAAGGCCTCACCCTCTACTTGTTCTCCCTGATCTCACAGTTCCTTTCCTTTACCAAGCATGCTCATCCAGCATGGCCTTCGCATATGCTGTCCCCTCTCCTGAGAACAGTCTTCCCCCTTCCCGCCACTGAATCACACCTACAAATTGTTTAAGACTTAAGGAAGTCTTTATGAATTGGGAGAAACTTGTGTTACATATTTTCAAGGTGATATTTAACTTTTTATAGGGCCTGTGAATAAACAATTATCCTTCCTCTCTTGGGATCTGAGAGGAGGAAGTGAAGGCAGGAGAGGAAAGAGTGAGCTCTTGGTATCATGAATCACCAAAGCTGAACTGCCGTGAGAAAAATGAGCTAAATATTCCGAACTCAAGTTTCTGGGCTTGTAAAACTGAACATAGCAATGAGAACACACCACTGTTACCATGTGAAGTGGTTAGCACTGCATGTGACCTGTGGAAGGGGCTATCCTTGGATCTGACTTGGAATGTATGAATAGCGCCTTCTATCTGAGTAGAGTGGCCCTTTCCCTGAAGCCTCCTGCACCATGCTCTGTATCAGTTTCCTGTGCCATGCTGTCTATCATGGCTGCTGTGTCTCCATTCGCTGTCCCTTGTTAGACCCCATCCTCCTTGTCAGCCTTACCTCCTGGGATCTGTGCAAGGATGAAGCCATCACAGCAGGCATCACGATCACAGGCAAGAAGACAGAAAAGGTGAGCATCGGTCAGGTTGGCTCCTGAGTTTGCGAATACCATGGGGCTGTACAGTCCAGACAGCGTGTTTTGGAATCCAGTGGGTTCAAAGGTTTTTTGGCCCACTGTCGTGAATTCTTGGCCTGAGGAAAGGCAGAACAAAAGATGCAAAAGACTTCAAAACACTGTGGCATTGAGCAGAGCTAATTGCAAACAACAGTCTGTTGTGCTGGCCTTGCATGTGCTGAACAGAGAAGAGGCCAGGGCACAAAACTGTCACAAACTGCTGGACTTGACTGTGTGACAGGGGTGTGGAGACAACCAAGGCCTCAGTCCTAAACTCAGAGGACCTGGACACCTAAGAAGGTCTAAGGGCTCATCTACAAAGCTGGCTTCTATTGTTATTTTTATTATTGCCAGAAATAGTTACTAAGCTCTACATACACACAAAGACACTATGGCCTGTGCTTCCTCTGCATTCTGTCAGTCCATTTCTGTCCTACTGTAGTTTCTGCAACACAGATCAGTTTGAACACGTGGCAGACAGGGAAGCTTCCTGTGGCAGACAGGAAGCCCAAATTGCATTGGTTGCTATATCTACTGTTTCCCCTGGATCTCACTTCCCGATGACATCAAACACCAACAGAAGATTGTAGTGTAGACAAATACAGCTGAGTGCACCTGCTGCAGAAACATTCAGGACAGGTACAGTCACCCCTGTGTCTTTCCTCTTGCCTCCTGAGTTCTGCCTTCCAAGGGTCAGCTGCAGAGTTTTCCCTTTGCTCTGTCTGACCCTGTCTCCCTCACTCAGCAGCCTCAGCCTGTCCTCACCTCCTGCTAGTCAAGCTACTGTCCTTTTACACAGTCTGTGGCACTTTCTATGAGGGACCCAAAACACCTCTGCTAAAACTATGTTGATGTTTTACATAGGATTGTTATTGTTTTGGCCAGTCCTTTGGTTAGAAGTAACATAGTTGCTTTAGTCTTTTGCTAATTCTAGTCTTCCCATTAGCCCTGTTATTTGTATGGTACCATTTTCCAAGCATTAGGCTTTTCAGGGATTTTATGTATCTACATAGGACTATAAACAAGAGGCCTACCCTGCTCTTATGCCCGTTTTACCCTGAAGGAAAGACACCCTTGACTCATGACCATTTTGCCTGGGTCTCTAGCTGGTGGATGGTGGTAGGAACACTGAGTCCAGGCTCTCCCCACCAAGCCTGCACTGGCTTTGTCATGACTGGAGCCATGGAGAGGCTTGTGTTGTGGCCCAGGACAGCTTAGAACCCTATAGACCTGAGGTCAGATCCCAACAGCAGCCTTGTCAAACAAGCTTCTAGGCCCTGAAAACCTCAGCTCCTCTGAATGATAATGTGCAGTCCTCATGAGTGTAGAGCAGAGACAAACTATACATAAAAGGGCTGAAAAAAGGCCTGGCACTTAGCTTAGGCCTAGCATATGCTTTGCACATCTCCAAAATGCCAGCAACTTCTCTCTCCAAGTGTTAGCTCACTCAGCCCCTTCTGCCTATAACATCTAACTATGCCATGAAAAGCTACCACTGAAGCCAAAGTTACCTTAAGGAATCCATTCTAGCTTGTCATAGTTAGAATGCATGTTTCCTTTTAATGATTGTTCTTACATTCTGATTGAGCTTCTACAAGGGGCTCCATCATCCTGTCTCTATGCTTAGCCACTTGAAATAGTATTTCCCTCCCCTTCCAGCTGGCAGTTCCCTGAAGCAATTCCCTGATGTCTAATGCAGTTGCCACTAGCCATGTGTGACCATTTAAATACCCATTTCATCTAATGAAAGTTAATGTTGCACAGGTGAAAAATGATGATCATTTTTGGACAGCACAGGTTCAAAGACTATTTCTATCACTGAAGAAGTGTAGAGAGCCTCTGAAGCTGGAAATTGATCACACATGTGGGGTGAGGAAAGGCTGGTCAGAGAACAAAGAACATCTGAGGCAAGCCACATGAACAAGCTGCCTCAGTCCAGAGAACACCAGACCTGAGACAATCCAAGCAATGGGTTGCTAGGCAAAGGGGTGTCACGTGACACCAACCTGTCAAATGTATAAATAAATGCATTACAGTGGGTAAGCAGTTCCTTTCTTCCCATCCAGAGTGAGGGCACTACCTGACCTCAGCTTTCTGTCTCTTATCTTTATTTCTTTATTCTTTCACTATCCTTCTCCTTGTCCCCAGAAAACTTCAAGAGCCTTACAGGCCACAGCAAAGAAGTTCCACTGGACAGTGCTGGTCAAGGGCTGAAGCCCATGGCTTAGCTAGCCTTGGTGTACTCCACACAGGGCGGGTGGTAGAGGGCCATCTACCCTGACTGCATGGTGAGCTCCTTGCTGTCTTTCAGCTCTAGTTCCAGTGTCCCTTTCTTTGAATTCCTTCCCTGACCACCCTAAATCCTCTCCTGTCTATCTTCATCCCAATGTCCCATTTCACTTTCATCTAAGCACTGAACACCCTTTGAGATGATCTTACTGCTGCATTAGTTCTTTCATGGATCAATGACTACTTGCTCACACCTGCAGACACATTGCCTACAAAACACTTACCACGCAGAGGGTGTCAGTGATGAGTTAAGGTAGTGATGGCAAACCTCTTAGAGCTTTAAATGATAACAAACAGTTCACTGTTGCACATGTGCCATAAGTTTGCCACCACATAATTAAAGGATATGTGCTGAGATCTCCACATGACAGTGCAGTGCTGGACACTGGAGCTGCCCAGGGAGATCATTCAGACCAGGGAACGGTGGGAGACATGCTGCCCAGATGTAGTGAGTAGCAAGATGTTGCTTCTTTCTAGGCCTCATCAGTATGATGAGAGATTGGGCTAGACACACTGAGGAGCTTTCTTACTCTGATTTCCTCTGATTCTGAAAGGCCATATATATTCTCCAGGCGCTAAACCCACAGACATTACATCAGAGCGAATGGCACTGGGCTACGGATGAAGCTCTGGATCTCTGTCACGATCTTTGTGCCTGTCTTTCAGGCCACTTAAAGTGAAGGCTGTGACTGGACATAATTAGTTGCCTTCAGGGACCAAGGACTGTTCAGAAAATGCCTGCTTTCCTCCTTGGTTGTGACAGTTATTCCAGCTTTACAGAAAACAGTCTATGTTTCAAGTAACACTGAGTTGTGGCTGATCAGAGACAGAGGCAGTAAGGGGAGGTAGGACCCTGGAGACTGAACCAACCAGTTCTGGCCACCTTCTTTCTCCAGCTCAGCAGGAGCCAGAGTGGAGCCACTGTGTATCTCTGCTCTAAACAAAAGTGCAGAACAAAACAAAAGGAACATAATTTCGGCCCTTGATTTATCTTGGCCACAAGAAGGTTTTCCAATTTCCCCTATAATCTTCCCCCAGGTATAAACTTTCAGGGATGAGGAGAAAAAGAAGAAATTACAAACATTTAAGAAACACAACTGCACTTTTAAAAATGCGATAAGAAGCTAACTCATAGTTTTAAAGGATATTTTTCATAGGGGTTACTTGTTTATTTTCATTTTTAGAAAATAACTCCCGTGCTTTGTTCCTTTTAAAGACAAGCAATAAAATACTGTCTTTAGAATAAACACTCAGGCTGAACTCTTATGACCTGGCATGGAGCAAAGAAACATGAGCTCCAGCACTCTCTGGTCCCCAGACACACACCCTGTTAAGTCAAGACAGAGGTGTTGGGAAAAAGAGGAACGGAGGGGAAGTGTTTGTCTTTGCTTGGCTAAAGACAGCTATGGCAGTCTGGTAAGGAGGAGCCGGGCCAGAGCACTGTCTCCACTTTCTGCCAGCTGCTCCAGCACAAGTCTAAAGCTCCTGGGAGCCCAGATTACCTGCTGTAGATTTCAAAGAATGACACCCCCATTCCCCTTTATTCCAACCCCCAGGTCCTTCTTCCAGCCACAATTGACTGTCTTCTGTTCCACAGCCATAGCTCCAGCCATCAGGAAACTCATCAACAAGAATGAAAATGGTCATAGAAATGTTCCATACTTTTGGGGTATTTCCCACATGCCAATCCTTGAGCACTTCACATGGGTCACTTTAGGCCACCAGATAGCCTGGGTCCCTGTAAGACTCTGGCTTTGCTGGTGAAGACATGGAGGCTTAGAATGTCCAGGAATATGTCCACGATCACACATCTGGCATGGGGCAGAGCTGGAGCTCACCCTACACAGGTGGATCCCACATCCTAAACCCCAGGGAAATGAAGGTCCATAGCAAGGACTGCAGGGAGAGCCACAAGCCACAGGGCAGGACCAAGGTCCATACTGCTGGCAACTCCATGTACCTGACAGATTGGGGCAGGAGGCAGGGCAGAGCAGGGCAGGGCAAAAGAACACAGGCCACAGGATTCTGGGAAGGCTTGCTGCTCATCCCCGCCATGTTACCTATGCCCCAGATGGATTTCCTGCTACCCCCTGCAGGAGTTGCTACAAAGGTAAATAAAAAGCTGAATAGGAAAATGAGCTGTCAACTATAACATACTGTATTTCTTGCTCCTTGAAGTGTAGTCCCTACACCAGAAGCATCCTCAGAGAGATTATTAGGAATGCGGGATCTCTGCTCTACTCCATTTACTGGATCCGGGAATCTGTAGTTCACTAGTTCCCCACGTAATGCACATGTGCTACACCCAGAGCAGTGCCCTGAGCACAGGGCATAGAAGAGGAGATCCCTTCAAGGTTCAGACTACCTGGGAAGAAGAGGTTTGGCAATGTCCACAGAGGGTGGAGGAAAAGAAGCTGCCAGAATTAGACAGCCAGAGTGGGGGACAGCTGCAGAGAGCTGAGCCCAGGCCCTCACGGGATGCCAACATTACAGGTGGCATCAGGGGCTTACATGAGGGCTCACAGGGTGGATCTGCTGAGTCTGGCCAGGATCCTCCTCAGTTTGGTTCCATATCCACTACAGTTTAGATCCTCATCTGCAGCCTGAGGCTCACATCCCCACAGACTCAGATGAGGGTCAAATCCGATGACATAAATGAGTATGATGTGCAAACCACTGCAGCTGCTAGGGAGCTAGCTGTCTGTGTAAGGCAGTGGGACGAACCTGCTGAAGGACAGATGTGGGAGTTTCAGGGCATGGAGTCAGGTGAGGGATGGTCTGCTCTCCCTAAACCCGCCCTGCTGGAAACCAGTTCCACACATGACAAGGGGCCCTGAAACATTCAGCTTTGCCAACCTACCCTTTTTCAAATACACAGACAGAGATTCTTGATCGCGGTTCCTCACTTTCACCTGGCACCTGAGACTTCCAAAGCCAGCGACTTGCGAGCTCCCCAGAGCATCTTGTTCCTGCAGATGGAAAGCAGATACATCACCATCCTAGGATGTTTAACAATTCAATTCAACACACATTTTTCAAACTAACCATAGCCAGGCACTGGGGTCACCAGATAAAAAAAGGAAAGATTCCTGCTTGTCAATTTCTCCTGGTGTATTGGAGCAGACACACATGTAAGCAATAAATCAGGCTCAGAATGTCAGCTGCAAAGAGCCAGGCAATCAGAGAGGAGGCGATTACAAGGTGGTGGTGGTGGTGGTGGTGGTGGTGGTGTATGCATGTGTGTGTGTGTGTGTGTGTGTGTGTGTGTGTGTGTGTGTGCGCACGCACACACACGCGCATGCTCACGCATAATTCTCTGGAGAAACAGAACTGAGGAATGTTTCCCAGGAAAAGTAAAGGCGCTAGGTAAGGGTAAGGCGCTGATGTATGAGTAAGCAAATTGGCTAAGTAGAAACAAAAGAAGGGATTTTAAGCAGAGGAAACAGACATGGAAGACTGGGATTCAGTGGGTGTTTAGACTAGCTCCAGTGAGAGGAGGACTGAAGAGAGAGGGGATAGAGGCGGGAACCCGCTCCTGGGAGAACGTGGAGGTACACAGTTTCTATCCAGGGGGGTTATGAAGCGTAGAAATGCAGAGGTCACACCTCCAGAGGTTTCGAATGCTCGGTTATCTCTGATCTCTCTTGTGACTTATTTTGAGCAATTCTACCCTGTGGGTGTGTGGGATACATTTGACGAGATCGGTTTGTGTTTTTAACCTGGCATTTTGCTCTCCCATTCTGTTTGCCAAACTTTTGAGTTTCCTGGGGGAATTGGAGAGCAGAGGCAAAAGCACATGGGAAGGCAACAGTGTCTCTTGCTCTTTGGACAGTCTGAGCTTGTTGGAGAGGTGACAGCCTGGGGAGGGCAGGAGGATCTTGGAGAGCACAGAGGGAAGGGGCTGCTGCAGATGGGAATGGAAGCTCTTGGCCCTTCTATGCTTGTTCGCTGGTAGGGCAGGGTCAGCAGGAGGCCAGATGGATGATTGGACCTGGGGAGGCTAAATGCAATGCACAGGGACCCCTGTGAAGAGTCTCCTCCTACCCCACAGCCCAAACCTGGTCCAGAAGCAGCAAAGCTGAGAAGTTTAAAGCAGAACCTGGGACTTCAGACCCAAGCATGAGGCAGGGTAGGCTGACCAGTAATGACAAGTGTCCAAGCCCTGCTCTCACACCTAGCAGTGTACTGCAAGCCCAGGGCCCTGGAGAGGAGCCTCCATAATACTCAGGATGGAATTTCCTGCTAACCTGAGTTGGGAAGGGTGTGATGATATTAACAACAGTGATGATAATTGTAATAATGATCACTGAGAACTTTCTCTGCACCACATTCCATGTAAGAACTTAGTTACTATTCACAATGACCCTGTGACATGGATACTATTGCTATCCTTGTGGAAGATTTGGGGAATCTGAGGGACCAAGAACCTAAATAGTAGCAATGATCAAGTAGGGGAGCTGGGATTCCCACCCAAGTCCCTCCCTGCCCATTCTGTGTATCTTACAGCTACAGACCCTAGCTTGAAGGCCCTGAAACTCACACCTCTTCCAGGATATCACTTAGGAACACATACCAGTGCATGGACACAGCACTAGTGTTTGTGATGTTACAAAACTATCACAAGTGTACGTGTCCTTAACTGAGGGAATGTGGAATGGATAATGCATGCAAACTGGTATGCTACCACTGAAAAGATACAGATACAGATAACTGTCATGAGGAAATCAAGGTAGAAAGGAACAGATACGAGAAAATATTAGCATAAACATAAAAACCTATTTATAAATACATAGACACTTTCCAGAAGGATTCATTAGAAATTGGTATGTAAAGTGGAGATTTGCACAGGCTTGGGAGTTAGAAAATTAGGACGGCAAGCTCTTGCTTTAAATTGGAGACCTATCTAGGACTCAGAGAGGCAGACAGTATTTGAGGCTGTGGCCATGACCTCATGGTATGTGGGCCCGAGCTGCTTGATGAAGTAAGCAGTGGGGACAGGAAGTGGGTGCTCAGCACTGCGTCTCTCGCCTGACTCCCCAGGAAATGATACTGCTCCTTACACCTCTGTGGTCAGTCTCAGACCTATTGCAGCTTCAGTTCCTGAAGTCCCATCTCTCTGAAGGGCTGGTGGCCATAAAGATCAGATGTGGACTATCTCTTCCCATCACCTCACCAGCCCTCAGCATGGCATCAGAGTATGTTTGACATGGAACAGCCAAAGAGCGTCACACCACGCCTCACCTGGGCAGGAGTCGTGCAGGAGAAGCTGTCACTTGTCCAACCATAGAAATCACATGAGACCTCTGACTTTGTGGTGAACATGGTGAAGAAGCTGCAGCTCTCATCTTCTGCACAATCTGCAAAAACCATTTGAGGGACAGTCATCACCTTGGAAAGGCGGTGACAGAAAGAACAGAAGGTGTCCTGCCCTGCCACACACCCACATATTCTCACAATGTAACCTCATACACTCCCAATATACCATTAGTTACAGACTCACAATATACCAGACACATTCTAAATACACACGCAACACACATGTACAGACACCCATACACACATGTCCACAATGTACCCAAAACACTGCACACACACACTTATACAGACATGCACAGACACAAACACACATACATGCACTCACTACCATACACAAATCCACTCTCCCAATACACACACATATGCAAATCTAGATAGGCACATCCAGACACACATGAATACATAATATACACAAGGCACACACATCAGAGATGCTTACTACAGGTACATCGCCCAGTGTGTGTTATGACAAGTGCTCCCTAAGTCCTGGGACCCTTCTCCCGCACCTCACAGCCCAGGAGCTGAAAACAGTTGGGTTCAGCTCCTCACCTAAGGTCACAAATCTGAGCAGGAGAGCCGGAATTTTGATCCAAAAAGTCAGACCTGAGAACCTGTGCAATTAGTGAATGGGACCTTTTCCACTTCACTCACTTTATTCTCAGAGAACTGCACCTGGTATCCACTGCGATCACAAGTGTGCTAGAGGCTGTACTTTTCATACACTAGGCAGCTGAGGGACACTAAGGAATATGACAGTATAGAATAATCCACATTTCTCGTGATGAGGCCCCATTTCACACTGCAGGCCAGATGTCTCTCTGTACCACAGGCATGAAAAGTGGCAACCAGCACACAGAAGGCTCAAAGAGTTTGTTAAATAAATGGATGAAGTTACAATATTTTCTTAAACTGAGCCATATTTAACTGTGTAAAATTCATGAATAATGATAGCTACTAATAATTTATCAAGAATGGAAGATTTCGGTAAAAAAATTTAAGTTGACTGAAAAAAGATTTACAAATGTGCAAGCCCCATTTGAGGGGTAGACACCATTGGAGTGTCAATATACTATTCATACTGCCTTCAGGAGAGGCAAATTTAGAGACAAAGGAACATGGCTGAGAACTAGCAAAGTCACAAGGTGGATGGTGGCAAAGTACTCATTCAAGGGGCTTCCTACTCCAGGCCCTGCCCTGTGATTCCCTACATCTTCCCAGCTGCAGGGCAAGGAAGAACCATGTATCTGGTGACTGAGGTGTTTTCCTGTCCTCTGACGGGACAACTCACAAGCTGGAACCTTGGTTGCAAAGGTGGGGTGTGAGCTTGGCTATAAAGGCAGTCCCCTGGGGGTAAACCTCAGCTGGAAAGGTGGCCCCCTACAGATGTACCTTGGCTGTGAGGGTCATTTGCTAGGGGTGAACCCCAGCTGTCCCCTAGGGGTTTGTCTTGGCTGTGAAGGTGGTTGCCTATGAACCCCAGATGTGAAGGGGGCTCTCTGGAAGTTCACCTCAGTGTCGCATAGTTCCACTGCTCTCATGAAGTGGGCCCTGAGAAGTAAAGGCTGGATCTTTTCATCCACACACCGTCAGGCCCATTCAGAACCAAAGAAAACAATTCATTTTGAATCACCCATTTCTGGCCCTACAGCAACTTTTCCCTCAGCTGTATGACTTTGGTCTTCACTGCAAGCAGTCTCTGCTCCAGGCTCAGGGACAAGGCCCATTAGGATGGCCAGAAGAGTTGTGGATCAGGACTATAGAGGAGCCCACTGCAGCTGGGTCTGACCCAGACCCAAGGCTACTGCTGTGGCCCCAAACGCAGCATCATCTTGTGTCCTACTGTACTGCATCTTTCTCATGTGCCTCACTGCACTGGGGACTTGGTTTTTTTACCTGGTCCCTTTCTCTCATCACTGTATCCTCTTCTCCCATTGTCATAATGCCTTTGTTTTCCATCCTCTTAAGTGGCCTTTTCACCATCTATAAAATCTTCTTGATGTTTATGATGGGATCAATGGTGCCCCAATCCATTCATACATTAAAGTCCTAATCCCAGCACCTTTAAGTGTGACTAAATTTAAAGATAAGGTCTGTAAAGAGGTAACTCAGTGAAAAGTGAGGTCATTAGGGTGGACCCTAATTCAATATGACCAGTGTTCTTGTAAGAAAAGGAAACTAGGACACGGACACATCCACAAGGAAAAACCACATGAAGACATGGGAGGAGACAGCCATCTACAAGCCAGGGAGATAACAGACCTTCCCCTCGGAATTTCAGCCTAATGAATTCTGAGCGAGTAAGTTTCTTTGCTACCTGGTCTGTGGTACTTGGTGCTGAATGCCTGAATTCTCATCACACAAATTTCCTGTCTTGGATAGACTTTTTTCATTTGTCTGATAAAACACTGCCTTGCTACATTCTCCTGACATGGGTCTCTTGCCCAACTGTTACCTACCTCAGTCACTGAGTTTATCGTAGCTACATAAACCACCTCTGCTTCTAACAGACAGACCTGCCCTCTCTGCTCACCTCATTCTGTAAGACTGCATCCTCTCTTTCTTGCTTTTCAATCTCAAGCTATGTCACAGTGTGTGAGTGCATGCGTGGGTATGAGTATAATATTCCTTGTCAAGACAAATTACTGCCATAGCTATCAAGTGTGCTTCCCAGGCACAAGCTCCTCATGTCTCCTCATCTTCCTCTTGGTTCTGGTCCCCTACACCAGTGATGCAGAACCTTTTAAAGCTTTCAATGTTGCAAACAGCTTGCTGCTCTAGACCCTATGTGTACCATTCAGGCTCCATTTTTTTCAGCACCTTCCTCACCTCCTGCACTGTGTGCTACAAACAACATATGCTCATCATAGCCACAGCAGATAACCCAAATAGACCTATGCTAAAGTGCTCACTAACAACTAAACCATTTCATTGCTGAAGAGGAATAATGCAATAATGGTAAGACCATAGGTTTAATATCCACTAGCCTGAATCTGAACTTAAATTCTGTCACTTGCTAGCTCTGTGTCAATGAACTTACACTCTCCGTGTAACTTGGGATCAGCATGGTTCCTTTATGGGTGGTTGTAAGATTATGAGATTATCAGTGTGCAGACAACAGCTCAATAAATATTAGCTGTTCCTATTAGCTCTCTGGCCTCATGGCTGATACCCTAAATAGCTCTATAATGAGTTTGTTCATTTTGGTTCCCTAATCTTTCATATATTTCTTACCATTTAGTGGATGTGCTATAAACTGTAATGAAACTATGGATTGAATATACATGTTAAAAATTAATTGATTCATCATGTTTTTGACAAACTGTGTTTTCTCATCATGGTTTTAATGGCATGCTTTCTTTTGTTTCCCAGTCAGCATAGGATGTTTCACACCACTCCCCATATGCCCATTTCCCCAGTGCCCCTCACCTGCCAAGCATTGCATCAGCGGGGATTCAAAACCAGGAACTCTGGACCTGAGCATCCCAGGAGCATCAGCACTGAAGATCACCTTCCATTCAGGAGCCTTCTCAAATTTCTGCATCACTGAAAATAAAGCAGACTTATAAAATCCGACCGTGAAGGGTGCAACGCATCTACACAGAGTGTTAAGCAGAGCAAATAAGTCAAAGTAGGTTAGCCAACAAGATAGTCAGGAAATCACTTCCCATGAGCACCTCCTCATCCCACAGAGAGAACAATTCTTACACTAGGGAGCTCCAGCATGTTACCCATATCTAATACTGATAGCTATTGCTTACCTTGTCTCCCTTTTCCTACTTCATTATCGGCAAGTACTACAAAATATTGATGCTATTTTAAAACTTTCCACTTATTTCTATTTCAACTTGTATCTCCCTACCCTTGTCTTTAAATGCTAATTATATCATGTAATTATTTCATTAAATAATATTGCTTTCTATAAAAAAAATCTTAAACTCTTTCTGACAAGGTAATTGTTTATACAAGGATATATACAATCAGATCATGTATATTTGGGTTTTTGTAAATTTGGAGAAGTGTCACGTGGCTCGGGCATTTATAAGAAAATGTTTGTTTAATTGATATATTAGCATCGGTTTCTCCTGCTGTCATCAACACACAGTACTTGGGGCCTATTTGGTTGGAATAACATAGCCATGTGCTCATGGAAATAGCTGAATGAGGAGGAAGAAAGGTAACTTGTCAAAGCTATGTGACTTAGAATTCATTCCTCAGTAACTAAAGAAACAGGGAGCGTTGGGGAGATAGCTCAGCAGCACAGTGATTTTCCGGCAAGTGCAAGGTCCTGAGTTCAATTCCCAGTACCAAAAAAAAAAAAAAAAAAAGAAGCATGGCAGATAACCCAAGGAATGAGATTCATCATTCAACCCACAAATGGCCAAGTGTGTTATTTGCAGGCAGCTATAAAAAAGCAACATTCATTAGTCAGCCCCAAATTCTATGAGCATCAGTTCTTTGCAGATGTAATTATAAACCTATATGTGAGCACTCATTATCATACACATCCAATTGCTTTATAAATGAGCCTATGTCTAGACTGGCTTTCATCAGGTCAGTACATTCATGTGTATTTATTGAAGAAGCAAAAAGTCCAAGTAGAAAATATATCTGGGCCATCCAAAGCAATCTGTTCTCAGCTGTCATAATAAAAGCATACAAATAAAATATGTTTATTCTCATGGGATGGGGCTGGAAGAGCACATTAATATAGAAATGGTATGTTTTAAAGTTTCAAAAATTTTGACATAAGAAAAGCATTCTAAGTTGGCAAAGGGTTCCCTTCCAGAAAGTTACTAAGCTCACAGGTTTAACACATACTGAGCCTTTCTGTTGTCTCTTCCTGTCTTACTATTCTTACAGTCTGTGATACTTTGTTTGGAAATGCTGAGCTTCCGTCCAGCATATGCCATGATACACTCATGGGCGTGTCCCTAAGTCTCAATTTCTGGAGATCACTTGCTCAAATACTCTAGGAGAATAAGCAATATTTAAAAGGTTTTCAATTTTTAATTAAATCTTGTTGAAACTATAGTCAGTGTAGCTTTTCAAGAATCTGCTGGTATTCAGAAAAGGGATGCTGGTGGAGAATCTCCTTTCCTCAGGACCTTCAGGAAACAGTGTGGAAGACGACTGCAGCAATTCATCTTACCAGCAACTACCTATACCTCTGGACGAGAACAGAAAAGCAGCTACAGATCTAGCTCAGAAGAACCTACAGTCCAGTGAAGTGAAAGTTCAGAGAGGATGCTTTGAAACTACAATCTTACTTGATCCCAAGAGCAATGCAGGGATCCTCAATAAGCAAAATTGTCATTTAAAATAATTATGCTGGAAACTCCATAGAGAGATTGTTGGACTGGAGCAGTACAGAGGTTGTGGCAGTGATGCCTGAGGGAGCAGTGAGGCCAGGCCTGAGGATGGCAGTGGTAGAGGAGAGGCAAATCCCACTCAGGGAAACACCTGCCTGGGGAGGTATAAAGCTGAGCTCTTCTTGCATAAGAAGCCTAAGATGTTGAGGACTCCCTGGGATCAAGTAAGATTGTAGTTTCAAAGCATCCTCTCTGAATTCTTACTTCACTGGACTAGGTTCTTCTGAGCTAGATCTGTAGCTGCTTTTCTGTTCTCGTCCAGAGCCATAGGTACTTGCTGGTAAGATGAATTGCTTCAGTCATCTTCCACACTGTTATAAAGCTGTGTCCTTTGCATATTATGAAGGGCAAAATTCTCAAATATGAGTCCACAATTCCACTCTAGGAAACAAGTTCCTCTCAGAGGCACACAAGAGATTCTGGGGTAGAAGCTGACATTCCAGTGGGGGCAGTTTATTAATATGGAAATCCTTTGCCTATCTAGAAAGGCAGCCTTGAGTGCAGAGCTTTGCATAAGAAGCCTAAGATGTTGAGGACTCCCTGGGAGCTATGCACAAACCAGCAACCTAGGCAGGCATCCTCAGAGCTGTCAGAGCTGAGCTGTGACTCATGGATGCTTCTAGTGCTGTTAATTAAATTTTCTTTTCGCTCTGGTTGCTGGGTAGAACAGGCCATGACAGGCTTTGCAAACTTCATGTGAATGTGATGTCCACAGAGCTGAGCTGTTAGTAGGGATGAGAGGTGGCAATGATCCCAGAATGGCCAGTATGCCTGGGCAAGTGGCTTCCTCTCTGTGGACCCTTTCCTGCATCTGGAAAGAAGTTGCCCAGATCACCTCTTAAAGCATCTGTCAGCTCCAATTCCCACAATTGCTAGCTCTGCCCACAAAGAGAGATTGAGAAAAACTAAGATTTTTGCTGGGTTTGCAATTTATCCATGGGACACACACGTACAGCCCCTCCCCTTGAAAAGGGCCTAGGGATTTATTAGCTCTTTGCCAGAGAACAAGAATAACCACTCTGAATAGTGAAAGATGATTAATTTCTCACTTGGATTTTCTCTGGTGTTTGTAGTTAGGTGTACCACCTTCCCTAGAGGACAGGCAGGCCATGTGTGTGTGTGTGTGTGTGTGTGTATGCATGTGTGCGCATGTGTGTGCACATGGGTGTGTGTGCACTGATGTGAAGCCATGTGTGTGCATGTGTGTTGCACATCTGTATTTAATGAGGAATGAGATTAATCCATGTAGAATCACAGCTTGGTGTAATGGAAAACAAGGGCTTATAAGACACATTCAGTTCAAACTCTAGATGTGGTACCCCAACGATCAAACAAGATGTTCACTTCAGCACTCTTTCTCAGTCTCCCCCACTAAATTACTACAGATGACAGTATGTACTCCGTTAGGAATATACAGGGTGCTGGTCACATAGCAAGCTCATGTATGCCAGGCCCTGTCCTCATGCAGAGATGCTGAGAATCTAGCTATCTGGGCTGACTCTGGCCTACACAGTGAGAAGGAAGGACAGCGGGGACCTCCAGCAGAGGGCGGGGCTGGGGAAGAGGACACAAAGCCCAAAGACCAGAAGGAAGAGGGACTGTGCAGCTGGCTCCTGGTTATGCACAGAAGGCGCAGGCAGTTTCTGTGGCTGAGTCTACTCATCTTTCTGAAATGTCCATTACTTCTGATGGCTGCATCACTGCTAAAATGCACCCAACACCCACACAAGGCAGACCTGGACATCCTCCTTTCACAGACAAGGGAACCACTGAGGGTAAGTGCTTGCCCAAGACCACACAGTCAACAAAGGGAGTCATTGGGATTAAACCACTTCTGATCCCAGAGAGCATGCTCCTCCCTTCTGGTCTGCAGACTCCTGTCATGCCTTATATTCCAAGGTGTTGGATATAGGTCTTGACCACCTTTATATTACAGAGGAACTGTGCCTGGCACAGGGTGGCACTCAGTGAGTATCTGTTATAGAATCATGATGACTCTCGTAATGTCTCAAGGAAATGGACAGGAGGCCCCTAGGGACACTGAGAACCAGAGAGGTGAGGCAGATTGCTCTGGGTCACCCAGCAAGGAAGTTTAGGAACAAGTACGGATACTCGGTCTTTCCACAATGTCTCCCAAGGGAGAAACACTCAGGTTCAGAGGCCACCTGGCTACATGGAAGAAAGACTTGAGAGATGCACTTTTATAAAAGTTTACCACTTGTGCATGCTGAAGTATTTAGCGGTGAAGTCTCAGGTTGTCTGAAAATTACTTTTAAAATGATTCAAAAAAAGCGCAAAATATTAAAAATTTTTGGATTTAGCTGAAAGGTATTTGTTCATCCCACATTTCTTCTGAGTCTGTGTCTGCTAAATTTTTTTCAAAATAGAAAGTGAGAGACAGAAATATCACATGCCTCTCTACCTTTCTGCAAAGACCCCCTCCCTAGCATTTCAGCCAATCTAAGTGCAGGCACATACTCAGACACTGAGAATCGGAGAGTGGAGCTTCTGTCTGCGACCACATCAGCCTGCGTCCCTCACTGTCCATGCAAAAAGCTTTTCCACTGTCCCTGTCTTTCTGGCTGACTCGGTACTGGCCATCCTGGTCACACTGCAGGCCTGCGTCATTCCTCTGACAATCAGTGACACCTGGAAGGAGAGAGACACACTAATCAGTGACAGCCTTTGGAGTCATCCCCGTCCAATCCCCAGGCTCCAGGTCATTCTCAGGTGACCAACTCTCACATTTAGCCCAGACATTGGCTTCACCTTCACCAAAGCACAATACGCAGGCTCCTTGTTGGGATGTATAATTCCCTTTCCCCAGCTCTGCCATAGACTGTATGGCCCGACCCACCTGCTGCCTCCAGTGTCTGACTGCACTGTTCCACACTCCCACTGCTCAAGCACAGGTGTTGGCAGCACCTGGTCACTCTGCTGATGCATTCTCCTCCCTGCCATCACTATGCAGACTCTGCCACTCATAGGTCTCCACTTCCTGATATGGTTGAAACATAATTCCCAGCATGAGGTAATGAGAGGGTGGCAATTTAATCAGACTATGGTATGTGATGGGGGGACCTTTAGGAGGTAATTAAGATTAGAGATGGTCATTGGGGTAAGGCCATCATGGCTGAATCCTGGTGGCTTTATAAAGAGAAGAGATCACAAAAGAGACACAAACAGATACACATGTGCTTCCTGGTTCATGTCAAGTGGTGCCTATATCACTTTGGGACTTAGCCAGTAGAGCCATCGTCAGATGCAGTCCCAAGACCTCACCTCTCCAGAACCATGAGCCAAAGTAAATCTCTTTTCTTTATAAAATTATTCTGCCTTGAGTACTTCATTAAAGTAACAAAAACTAGATCAACACATCTCAATCCTCATTTACTTGGACTAAGGTTGAGGAAGCATTCTTGCTATGTTGAAGTCTAATCCTCAATAAAATTCTATTAGGAGGTAAGGATTTGGGGAGGTGATGAATTCAGGAGAATGCAGCTCTCATGAATGGGATTAGTGCTCTTGTAAAAGAGGCCCAAGGGAGCTCATCTGCCCTGCCTACCACTTGAGAGCACAGTGAGATGGCACCATCTATGATAACTTCATCAGACATGGAATCTACCGGCAGCTTGCTTTGGGACTTCCAGCCTCCAGAACCGTGAGGAACAAAGTTCTACTGCCAGTAAGCCTCCCAGTCTATGGTATTTTGTTCTAGAAGCCTGAATAGGCTAGACACACCAGGCACCAGAGCTAGATCTATCTGACTGCCAGTTATTCTTTCTGGGATTTGCATCTCTCCACCATAACAGGGAGCATAGTTGTCACTTCCACTTTTCTATGAATTAAAGATTGGTGGACATTGCTGTTCATTTGAAGATCTAGGGACTAGAAATGGTCTTGTGCACAAATATCCCACTGATTTGCACAGTGCCTGATATATAATACAAGCTTCCACCAAAATCAATAAACAGGGGCAAATCTATGGGTGAATATCTCTGCCCTTGTGCTCAGGCTATTTCCTTTTCATGGAAGTCTTTTCTACATCTGGCCCCCTAGCTTAGCCTTTCACCCAGCCCAGTCCTTCAAGCTCTAGCAAAGCTGCTGCAACACCATTCAAACACACCTCCACTGAACCATTAATTACATCACAGCGTATTTATGTACTCACTCACTTCCTTCTCCTCAATGAAAGAAATATTAATTATTGTAAATATCTAGTATATACTTGGCAGAATGCAGAAAGTCAATGCGTTTTTGATTCATGATGTTAAAAAGAGAATTCCATGACTCCTTTCTCCAAAGCTGGGAAGTAGGAGAAAGGTAGTTTTTGTGGTACACAGTGACTTGATAATATGTGAGCTTCCATTTCTCAAGACTATTAGGTACATTAGTAATCACTGATTAGTAACAACTTTTGGGAGTTACAAATGCTACATTTTATAGAATAGTTTGCATGTCATACATGCTAAATATGAACTAATACATCAATCAATCATTCGTTACTTGGCTGTCAACAGAACCTCAAACATGGTCCAATGAGCCTACTAGAGTAGAAGAAAGTATAAGTAAGAATGCAGACCTCGGCCTTCTGGAGGAATTGGGATAATCAAAGCTATCCTAACACCAAAAAGGGGAAAGATTACAAGTGCTGTGCATCACTTCAAACTCAGCAGTTCCCCTCCATTTCTCTTCAGAAGGATTCCAACACATACCAGGTAAGGCAAAAGGCAGAATGACAGAGTTAATGCATCGTGGAGAAGTTCTTCAATATGAAGAACACCTTAGCAGAGACTCCAACCTTGATCCTGGGTGGCAGTCTACTAAAATTGATTCTGGGCTCAAGGAAGCTGTGTAGAGAGCATGATGTAGCAGAGCCCTCTAAAATGACACAGAAACATGAGCAAAGTGGGTGTAGGGGTTGCTTATTGTTCATATTAAACACCAAGATTCTGCTTTGCTAAGGACTGAAAGTTGTGCCCTCTTTTCAATTCATATATGGAAGGTCTAATCCTCAAATGTCACGGCCTTTTGAGGGGGGCCTTTAGAATATAACTAGGTATAGATGAGATCATTAAAATGGGGCCTCATAACATAAATGAAGCTCTTTTGAAAAGAGGAAGACAGGAGAGCTCTCTTCCTCTCTACATAGTCAACAAGAAAAGGTGTGTGAGGACACAACAGAAGAGTTCCTTCACCAAGACCTCGGGTGGCCAGGCTTGAGAATCTGCAGAGGTAAATGGTGGCTATTTAAGCAGTTCAGTCAATGGTAATGTGTAAGGGTGGCCTGGACTAAGGCATGCCTGTGAGTGAGGCATTGCTGGCCCTGTGTAATAGACAACAGAATTAATATTCAGAGAAGAAATGTTAAGCTATCATGTGGCAATGTGAGCTCAGAGCAGGGACTGAACCTGGCTAGTGCAAGCCTTAGCCTTCGTCCTCTGTTTCCCACCATTTCTTTCACATCCCCTTCATAAAGAAGTATCAGTATTGATGCTAGTGTCCTTTTAAGAAAGTGCTTCAGTGGCATGCTGATAGCACTTCAGGCCATCCCTGACCCACAGCTCTGTAGTGAGTGTGTACAAGGGAAGGGCAGTGCCCAGACAAACAGGGCATTGTGCCTCTGGGGAAGTTTCCACTCCAGAGGGGAGGCAGACTTCCACCTACGCCATTCCTCCCACTTTGACTTTCTTGGAATTACTTTCCTGTAAGTACTGCTCATTTGACAAAGGCAAAGTCAAAGACAGTGACTTGATCTCTTTTGAAAGTTAGCTTTAAAAGTTCTAGAAATTACTCTCAGCACAAGTAATGATGGTTTGCCTCACGTTGACACAATTTCAGACTAACATGAAAAGATGTCCTATAAGGGAAGTTATGTGTCTTGGCTGGGAAAACCTTAACTATATCAGGTAATGGGTAAGTGGGCCAAGTAAAATCATATTACACATGGGAAGGCCATACGTACATATGGTGCTGGCAAAAGCAGGGCCAGAAGGGAATACGGGTGACATGGCAGTAATAAGTATTCATACGGGTGGAAAATACTTTCACTTCTTGATCTGATAAGATTGACTTACAAAAATCAGAAGTTTTTGGAATCAGACAAAATCAAGATCAAATACCAATTAGCCGCATGACTTTGACTAAATTACTTCATTTGTCTGAGCCTTAGACTTTGTATCCATAAAAGTTAGGCTAAAATTATTTACCTGGAAGAGGTGTTGGGAGGATCAAATGAGACGGCATAGGTAACATGCCTGGCCTGGAGCATGGCAAGGGATAGATATTCAAAGACGGTGGCCCCTTTGATTATTATGCAGTTAGCAAAACTGCCCTCACCCTTACCCAAGCAATACATCTACTTGTCAGAAATTGGGGGAAGAGGTATTGCTAGCATCTTGTTAATGTGGGCTAGTGATACCACTAAACAGCTCCTCTATGGTCAGGACAGTTATACACATACACACACACACACACACACACACACACACACACACACAATCCCCAAACATTTGCAGTTCAAGGTTGTGCAGCTCTCCTGCACCCTCCAGCTGTATAGGCTTCTCCTTCATACCAACCCTGCAGGACTTACAGTGCGTCTGGCTGAATGCTCCAATGGCAATGGTTGTTCTGCCTGCAGGACATGGGACACAGGCCACACTGCCTGCCTGTTCTTGGTAGAACCCAACAGGACAAGGAATACACTGCTCATCCAGAGAATAGCTTCCTTCAGGACACATAACTAGGAAGAGCACACAGAGACGCTATGTTAAAGAACAAGACACCTGCTTTTTCACACAATTCTGAAACACACACATAAGATCAGTTCAAGAGCTCATTGGTCTCACAAATCAGAAACTCAGGCATGGCTTGGAAACCACATAGTGTTTTCCATTCTGTCGTAGCCAAGAATACCTTCCCTCCAAGTGGAGTTTCGGTACTTCTTTGAGTCAGGTTGTTGACAGTCATTGCTAGAGCTTTAGAGCTGCAATTCTTTTCAAAAGTGCCTTCTAAACTCATTGGCTAGCCTGAGGATTCCAGTCTCCAAACCCCAAGGAGCAGGGGAGGAGTTGAAAAGTGAGAGCTGGTAACTGCCTTCTTTTGTGTGTGTGTGTTACTGGGGACTGAACACTCGGTCTTCATGCTGAGCTACATCCCCCAGCCCTTCTAACTTCTTGATTTATTTGTTTATTCGTCTGTTTGTTTAGAGACAGGGTATCATAAAGTCATCAGTTGCCCCGGATGGGCTTGAATTTGAGATCCCCTAGCTTCAATCTTTCAGAGTGCTGGGATTACAAGCATGTAACTCCACACCTCTGTGAACTATCTTTTGCTGTCAGGTCAACAAATCCTCTGCCTCCTTTCTGCTCAAGGAACCCACACGCTGTCACCTTCTACTGATCCCCTCAATCTCTGACATCAAGTGTCTTTTCCTATTTTTCCACCCAAAGGACACACAAAAGCAGTAAGTTAGAATGAGGAAGTGGATGGATGACCTGGCATCCACCACAGCAACAAGACCCCACCTTCAACTACATCCTTCACCAGAATTGGGGAAATACACGCCTTTGGTATGTAAGTATATTTTTAAAGCTGAGATGGACAGATAAATGGACAGATAGGTGGATAGAAAAAAGCAAGGGAAAGAAGGAAGAGGGAGGGGGCCATAACACATTACTGTGGAAAAATATCCATAGGGAACTAGTTCTATTATAAGAATGCATAGTGAGTAAGTGAAAGCTAATGTCATCCAGAATGGAAAATGGAAAACCTAGACAGTTTTGCTGTGATCCTCACTAATGAGCCAATCCACTATGAAGACTGCCAGCAGGTAATTCCAAAGGAAGCCATATGGCGGGCTGCGAGAAGGAGGGAAGAAAACACTGATGTGGCAGAGAACAAGTAAGGCGTCCACTCTGCAGCACTATCATCTCCCTGGATGGGCTGTCACGTCCCAGTGAGTCACAAGGGACGCATACGCCCCCTGGCCCCAAGTCAGCATTCTCCAAGGGGGTCATCTAGATCAGTTCTCTGAGATGGCACACAGAAACCCTGCTTCATTTCCATAGAACAAAGCTCTGCCTTGTAGCTTCACAGCTGTGTTCCAGATGTGTTTCAGAAGGAAAAGAGCCAATAAGGATGGATATAAGAAGCAGAGGCCATGATTCCACTAGGACTCCCTTGCTGAGAAGGGAGGCATGCAATGCAGAAAATGGAACAAAGAATCTGGAAGCAGAGAGAGCAGAGTTTAAATCTCCAAACAGACAAGTGACAGTACAAGCACGTCTTGAGAATTGGTTACACCTAAGATGTGCTTTGAATTGACTGTTTCCTGTTTTCCAAACTAGTCCAATGAAATAGGTGTTACTATCCCATTTTTCAGATTGTGCCCCGTGAGGCCAAGTAACATTGCCTGGATCCTATAACAAGAAAGTGTTGGAGACGTACTCAAGTCCAGGCCCACTTAACTTTACAGAGCATCTTCCTAACAGTGCAATAACTATACACCCTGGATTCCCCATCCATAACATGGGATTAATGATACACAATTCTCTGGACAGAGATGCCAGTAAGACCCCACACATCTCAGAAACCAAATAAAAAATACTGGCTATTATAACTGGTCATGGAGAGAACCCAAGTTTTTCAGTACTGCCCTTGTCGATTTCATTCTGGACATTTCTGTGTGTTTAGGGTAAGGGAGTGGAGCTGAGGCATGTGATTGACAGTCTTTGTGAGTCAGTAAAGGGCTGTGCTTGTTGAGAAGTTTTGCAGGTCCATTGTGAGCCAAGACTATCACGCTACAGCATGTGGGCCAAATGTAGACTGCCTGCTGTTTTGGTTAATGAAAGTTTATCTGAACCCAATGACTTACCAATAAATTCCCTACGATGACTGAGTAGAGTCAATGAGACAGACTGGATGGCTTACAGAGCCCCAAAAATGTTCACTACGTGGCCGTTTATAGAAGGTTTTGACTGCTGTTCTGGAGAAGGTACATCCCAGGCAGCACCTGCCCTTGAGTCCCTCCCCACGCGCCATCCTGTGGCTCCTGGGGGTATTCATCGTTGCCTTCACCACCTGAGGCCCCTGCTGGCCCAGGGCCTCCTTGGACACACAGGGGGTCTTTCTCAAGCAGAACCAGCCTAGCTAACTATTCCTCACCTATTTCCAGGCTGACAGAAATGAATAATCACAATGATTCTAATTCTTTGGATGGGACATTAGTATGAGATTTCCAGCCAATCCCCTTCTTTTATATGTGTGTGTATGCATGCATACATATACACATACACATGCATAACCCACAGCTTCAGAGTCTTTGGCAGTAGAATGAAGGATATTTCTTATTAAAGTCAAAACATGGTGGCAGATGTCCCTGTGTGACTCTCTCTGCTTCACCCCCCCTAGCAGGCAGAACCATGCACTCGTGTTCCCACTTCTAGCACTCGATGCTTGGGTAGCTCTGGCAAGGTAGAGAGACAAATCACAGTTGTCCCAGAGGAACTGGGGTTACTGGCTGACTCATTGCTGAGGTGACCCATGAATGTCTCCTGGAATTACCTGTTCAGGGCACTAGATGCACAATCTCATTTAATCTGGGCCTCAACCTTTTTGTCTAATAAGGAAACAACTGCTTACCAAGGGCCATTGAGAGAGTTAAATATTTGCAGAGTCACATTTCCAACTATAAAATCCTCTGTAAATATTAGTGGGAAGTGGTTGTGTTTCTGTTCTTTGTTGTTCTGTGTTTCTGTTCTGCTTAGATTTAGTTGCTTCTGAAATCCTGTGTGGAGTTAAACATTTGGTCTGGATTTCAGAAAAAGAAAAGGCACGTATCTCTTGCTTTGGAACCAACATAAATAGTGGGAAACATAACTAGGAACATCCTTCTTCAGCTCAATAAAAATGCCTCTCTCTCTGTACACAAGAGGACTGCTCCTCCTCCTGACACCCTCAAGGCTTTGATGATAGACAGAACAATGCCCCCCCACACAAAGATGTCTACGTGTCAATTCCCAGAACCTGTGACTATGCCAAGTTTTGTGGCAAGGGGGAGTTAAGGTTGAGGATTGACCTTGTACTGGGGGAGTGTCCTGGATTACTCAGCTGTGTGTAATTAAAGGGCTCTGAAAGCAGAAGGAGATGTGATCCTTGAGAAGGGGCAGAGAGCTGAAACACTGCTGCCGTGGACCACAAAAGGAAGAAGCCACCCCCAAAGAATGTGGCCAGCTCCTAGAACTGGACAGACAGGAAGCAGATCCTCCAGGGATTTTAGGAGGAAGGCAGCCCTGCATACATTTTGATTTTACCCCATGAAACCCATGTTAGAATTCAACCCACAGAACTGAAAGATGAATAAATTTGTGCTAGTTTGTTGTGGTAGCAATAGGAAAGTAATTAACCTTTCATCAAGAAATTTACAGCTACCTTCCCACAAAAATGACCTCCAAAGACACTCATGGGAAAGAGCAAGAGTGGCTCAGTAAACCTCCTCCCCCAAACCACTTCCCCTTAGTTGTAAAGCTATGGGCTGGAGAGTGGCCATATGGATTTTGGTAGGTGACATATGACCAGAACCAGTTCAAAAAATGACTTTCCAGGACACAGGTAGACATTTGCTTCTTCACACAGGGGTTCCAGGCTGGCCAAGAATGAATGGAAAGTGTAACTTCAGACACCAGCTTCTTCCTCCTTCCCTACCTCCTGGGATGATGTCTACATGTCCATGTGAAGTAGATGGCTGAAAGCTTCCCTTTACGAATGAACATGTGATCCTCTACTCTGTGTGTCCAGAACGACCCCTTCAGAGCTCAGTGGCCTTTCCCAACGCCTCCTGAGTGTTCCCAACAGCATTCCAGGGATGGGGGCCACCTACCACATCCCAGAGGGTCCTGGCTGGCCTTGCTGGTTGCTAAGACTCGGTGGAAGGCTTCCATACACCCAAACCAGGTCTGGGGAGAGGTACTAAAGCTGTCCCTCTGGAGGAAGCGGATGGATGTGTCTGCCAGGAATGTCTTAGAATCCAGATGAAGCTGGAACATGCCACTTTGGACCAGATCCGTGAAGCGCCCGAGGAGGCCGTCTAAGGCCTTTTCTGTAAGACAAGAATGAGGCAGACATCACCTCACTGGAGCTGGGGATATAGCTCAGCAGCATGGCCCCTGCCTTACAAGTGTGAGATCCTGAGTTTGATTTCCAGTACCCCTCCACCAAAAAAAAAAAAGAAAGAAAGGAAAGGAAAAGAAAAGAAAAGAAATCACCTCACTGTCTTCTGCATCCTAGCCAAAAGAAGACAGAGACATCATCTGCAGTTCCATTTTACAGTGGGAAAAGCAGGCCTGGAGAAGGGATTTGACTGACTCAAACTCAGGCAGGGCTCAAATGTGCGAGTAACACTTCCACCCAGGTCTCTGGCTCCTGCCATTTCCATGGCATCAATGGGGCCCATCTTGGTATAGGATCACATCTTGTAACTGATCCAGATACTCAGCCACTTCAACCTTTAGCAAGCCACTGTGTCTAAGCCTCGGTTTCTGCATCTACAGAATAGACCCAGGCACCCCACGCTTGTAGTTGGAGAGGATCTCCAGAGAGCACAGCTTTGAAGGGGCCATACACAGGAGAAGCAAGACCTTCCAGAGGGAAGTGACCTCATGGCTTTCAGCTAACCATGGAGACCACCTCCAGCTGTGGACCTACAACTTCCTAGGAAGGGAGGAGATGGGCGCTGTGTGGAGCTGAGTGGATGTCCACTCAGAAAACACTCGCACTACAGTGGGCTGCTGGAAAGTCAGCTGTGGTCTGAAGCCATGGTCATCGCTGAGCATGCCAAAGCCAGGAATAAGCATCCCAGCTTGCAGATTTCACATTACCCAGGCTCTTTGGAGGATGGTGGATGAGGGTCTTGATTTCTTAATGCTGTTGCGGGGGATAATTTTCCCACAGAAGATTATTGCCATGAGGACAAGGAGAGAGGCAGGAGAGTGGCAGGGCCTGCCTCTTGTTTTGTACCTCAGCAGTGTTTTTCAGGTTCCTCTCACAGAGCAGAAGCCAAGCTCCAGCCGGGTATGACCCAGGGGGTTTGGCCACTGGGTGACAGAAGTGGGGTCTTGCTTCTATTATCTAGTTGTAAATGAGTGGGTTATACCCTACCCTACCAAAGAGCTTGAGCTAAGCAGGACACACGCTCACAGGACCTATCACAAACCCACTTCACTCCTTCTTAGGTCTTTGAAATCTCAGTTTATCCAGACCATAGATTTACTGTTTTAAATAGTGACTACAGTCTGAGATGTTTATCACTGGAAGTGGCAGGGCATAAATTATGAACTAGTGAAGACTCCTCTATCCTATCTACTCCATGCTGTGTGTGTCCTCTGTGTGGAGAGACAGAATTAGAAGCCCACCGAGCCTTCTCTTAGTGCTATTTAACTGTAGTAAGCTCTAGAACAGAACTTTATTGCTTTTCCTATATTACTTGCATTTAGCTACCCACTAAATCAGTCCATAACTCTTTCCCTTTGTCATCACCGGAAGGCTCTGTGGCTTTGCCAGCTACATTTATAGGTGAGGAAACTGAGGCTAAGAGGCTACGTGTCTTTCTCAAGCAGCAGTGCAGAAAAGCCTACCTATGCCCCGCAGATCTGGAAGAGAGGCTGCCGGGATGTCCTTAAGCTGAGATTTCCATGTGACATTCACTTGCAGACGCTCCGCAGTCAGACACCCCACCTGTACCGAGGAGTTGTCACAGACAGGATGGGAAACCGGGGTCCCAGTTGTCCTCACCTGCACGAGAGGGATGCGGTCAGTTCAGAGATGGAGTAGGAAATGCCAGGGCTCTGAACAGGTTACTGCTCCTTTTTGTAGTTCTCCACCACCCTGCTTCAGGGATGATGCATTAGTAACCCTGACTTAAAGGAACAGGTTCAGAGACACTAAATAAGCTGACCTGGTCACACAGTGAACAGAGGCATAAGTAGGGAAAGAGTCAAACTCTGCAGCAGAAGCCTGCTCATCCCCCATGAAGGTGAGAGGAGGTGGGTCTTCATACAGGTGTCACAACAACCTGGCTTGTGCCAGGCACTTAACACTCCTACCAGGCAATATGGCACGATGTCTGAGTATGGTCTCTAGTCAGGCCTGTGTGAAGTACTTTGAACACATGAGCTAGTTTAATCTCCAGAACAAATCTATGGAGTTGGAACAATCATTATTCCATGTAGACTTGGGGATTTGCCTCGGAGAGACTAAGGAAGTACCTCAGACCCTACAGCCAGCAAGTGGTGGAACTGAGATGCTAACGCAACTCATTCCAGAACCTGCCAACCTCTCAACGGTGTGTGCAGAGCCCAGCTTTGGATGTGTGTATTCTCTCCCTTAGCCTGGCTTTCCATGGTAGATGCTCCTATTCCCCTATCCTCACCATGACATGAGGCCTGGCTCAGTTTAGTGAGGTTGGGGAAGTTCCAGATCACACTAGCTAGGGGACTGATGTCAAGGCTGGAATGCAGATCTGTTTGCCTGGAAGCTTATACATCATGTCCTACTTCCAAAGATCCGCCTTACCTTAGAAGCTGCCTACCTCCTGATTGCACCTTGACACCTGGTCCTGGAGGCCCCCACCACTGGGCCATTGACCAGGCTGTCTCCAGGCCCTCATCTTTATCTTCAATCTTATTTTCAACTCTCAGGTCCCCAGGACTCTGAACCATTTTGCTCCTTGCTATGTGAGTTTCAATGCTCCTCCATCAGTAAATAGCAGCATTCATCTCCACCCAGTACCTGGAGCCCAAACCTCAGTCATCCTTATGCCTCTCTCTCTCTAGACCACATTATCTGACACCCAATCCCAAGAGCTCTTGCCATGGGCATAAATCCTTGTGCTTCTCATGCTCTGCAGTGCCACCATTGCTCACACCATCTCCTCTTACCCTAGAGGAGTGTAAGATTCTCTGCTCCTGCTCTTCCCCTCCAAAGTCCACTCTGCACACAGCAGACACTAGAGCCAACACTGTATCATGTCACTCTGTCAACCTCAGTGGCATCCCGTCACATACAGAACAAGCCCACTGTCCTAACCATGGCCAACATGGCCCTGAGGATGTGCGTGCCCCTGACCCCAGTTTCCTCTCTCCAGTTCCCACCCTTGCAGGGCCCCTTGGTGTCATGGATCACAGTAATGTGTTCCTATCCCAGAAGCTCTGACCTTCCTACTTTGTCTGCAAGAGTCCTGTTCTCACTGTGCTCAGGCCCCCTCCAATGGCTCCTCCCATAAAAGCCTTTCCTAGTTCTTCTCTCCAAGACAACTCCTATCCCTCCACCTCCCCTCCCATGCCTGCCCTGCTTTATCTCCCTTCTTGGTTCTGCTCATCACTGATATGTATTTGTCCAGTGTCACATCCCCTTAGGCTAAGTCTCCTTGAGCAAAAACTTACGTTACCGACTGTGCACCTTAAAGATGTTCTCTTGGCCCAGTCATGAGCCCAGACTCTGAACCCTCCTCCTGGACCTCAGCATTTGCCTACCAAGAACAAACACGGGCATGGTTCCACCAGCTCAGGGCTGTACCTGAAGGCTAACACTATTCCTCTCTCAGAGTTCCTTCCAAGAAAACTCAAGGCTGCCAAGAGAATGTACTTTTTCTTCCATCCAACACCTGAAGCCAGGCCCCAGTGTCCAGCCTCTATGTGTGGTGGGAGCCTAAGTTTAATAACTGCTGGCTGGCAAACCCAGACATGTTTCACATGGACAAATCCCCTCTTCCACTCTTTGTAATTATTCTCTTTCCTGACTTTACTGAGCCCGCATCAGCCCTTCCCTACCTTCTTATTCTCTGTTTAAAATGCTAGCCACTTCTGAACAAATGGGTGTTGAGTTCAGTTCATGCTGCACCCTTTTCTTCAGTGCAACGGCATGTTAGGAATTAAAATTTGTCCTTACCAGTTTAACTGGTGTCTAAATCAGATTATCTGTGACAGTTCTAGGACCTAAAACTATACCAGTCCTATAACAGGAATTCAGACATTTAAATTATCAGAATGAATAGATGAATGAATGAATGAATGAATGAGTGAATTTGGTACAGGGAAGGAGTCTGAATAGACCTCGACTTACTAAAGTATGAGAAATCTTAGCTCCTAAAGGTTTTAGATAATGCCCTGACAAGGGCAGAGAGAGAGCTCCTGGTACTTGGTCTTTGTTTTCTTCATGCAAAAAATGGCAATAATGAGGATTGCTTTGAATAATCTATGGCAAGGGATGAGTGATGACTGCCACATGACACGTTCTTGGCATGCATCTTCATGTGGGAAGAATGCCCACGATGGGGTGAGCATGGATCCTATCTCAGCCACAACACAGTTCAGCTTAGCTAAATGTCTTTCCAGGTCTGGAACTCAGTCGCTCTTTGATAAAACTAGTAAGTAAAGGTGGGTGCAGATCCTACGCTCCTTTGAGCTGTCAGCATCCTCTGCTCAATCCAGATCCTCCTGTGGAAAGACACAGAACAACACACCTGGACGTGGCAGAAGCCGCGGGCCATCAGCTCATCCAGTATGAAGACCTGGAATGCCCGCAGAAGTCCTGTGTAGTCAGCACTGCACATCTTGCCTGGTGGGAGCTGGAGCTGGAAGTGTGCTCCGGTCTGGACTGTCTGCCATGGCTGGGGCGCTGCAGGTGAGACTGAAGGTCAGTGGCCAGGGATGGCAGAACCATGAGGTTCTTTTTCTTCTTCTTTGTTTTTCCTCTACAGAAATAACTCTTCTTCTTTAGGCTTACAACACACGAGCACTGCCATTTTATACTGTCATCCTCAGAGTCTAGTAACTTCTTTACATGATTGGTTGCCTCAGAATTATTTAATACCCACAGCAAGTTTAGACCTGCCTCACCCTCTACACCAGGGGAATCCTAGACATTCTGCCTGGACAATCTTCCACATTATTTTGCATGCAAGCAAGGCCACTCTGATTCTGAGGGTTAAGAGTAGATATTTCCTAAGTTTATTCTGTATACAAACTACACAATCATACACAACAGCTCTGTACTCATCTTTAGGGAATCAAAGACCTGCACTTTCTTCCCCCAAGATTCCTTGCTGTAGAGTCAGCAGTAGTGAGCCTGGCCTTCATTTCAGCTTAGGTCACTCTGTTATAATCACAGGAACAGGCCACTTATCTAGTTAAGCCACATTTAAAACTTTCTTTAATGAATATCCTCTACAGCCCAGATTGCTTTATAGCAAATGCTGTCCTTCGCACTCTGGCAGCTACCCAGAGCCGTGTGACAGTCAGTCCTGGGATGTGGCTCTCTCTCCAGATGCCTTCCTGCTGCATTAGGCAGGCTGAGTGTGAGGTCCCTGCTATTCCCCCAACCCAATCAGTGGTGGATAACCAGCCAGACTTCACCCGGGCAGGTACGCTCAGAACGCAGTGCCGTCCCAGCCATGCTCATGTTTCCTCACATGTGTCAAGTGGCTTAAGGGACAGCAGAAGAGCTCTGTTTAAATAGCATGGATGCTCCTGGAGCCTCTGCCCTGCCAGGTATTTATCCTGGAGGTCCAGGTAGGCCTTGGGGAGAGGCTTCTGGGACAGATTACTCTCTGAGGCTGGACATACAGCCCTTAGTATATCAATACTACAGTTACTGATGCGGCTGCCAGAGCACCTACCTGCTGAGTATCTGCCTTAATCCAAGACATCCCAGGAGAGCTGGGATGACAGAAATTCTCCCAAGGAACAGATGGCTCCAGAGAAGCCACAGATAAAGCCTCGCTCCAGGGGTGTGTGAAACACATCTGCTCCTTTCAGGAGAGAGCACTCCGCACCCCCTCTCCCACTCTTGGTGTCCTTGCCTTATCACAGGAGGCTACATTTGGGTGGTGAAGCAAAGTGGCAAGTACCCACCCTCCCATCCTTGGCTCTGACCCTAAGAAGAGCGGGGTGTGGGATGTATGTCCCCAAGACCACTCACACTGGCAGGCCAGGGGCTGAGGAAGCTGCGACACCCAGCGTTTGCTCTCCAGGCTACACACCAGCAACCCTAATGGGAACACGCTGTGGTAACCCTGGCGACAGAACAGCTGGCACTGCTGGACGAGGGCGGCCTCTCCCGGGCCTGAGGTTGTCTTACAGAGGATCACTCCACCAGGCATGTCTGACCCGCTCGAGAAGGGAAGCGGACACTGAGGGCCTAAAGGAAGAGAGAAGAGGGTGTGGGCACCCACCACAACATAGGGGCTGAGCTCCTGTGCATCCTCCACACTCCCTTGCCCAGTCGCCTGGGCCTCCCCTTCTGTACCCCAGCTGTGCCAGGCTCTCAGGCCCCAGGCAGCTGGCTCCCCTCACTCTCCTCTTTCCTCCTAGAAGAGCCCGCGCCTCTGGGTCATGACAGGATCTTGAGCATGGGTGACCCTAGTAGTACTGGTCTGGCTCAGGTGCTCCACCTTTTTTCCACTCCAGTCCAGTGAATCACCCACCAGCCTCCTCCACCTCAGAGCCCAAATGCCCAGGCCTGGATGCAGCCACGATGCCAGCATCTGCTCCCTCCCCAGCCCCTCTGCTGATGCTGGACTTGGCTCCAATTCTCCTATATGCCTGCTGCCCTCACACTTCTCTGTCCACTCTACCTCTCCTGGCACCCTCTGCCTCCAGACAGATTTGCTTCCCTCCATACCCATTCTGCTCCATCCACCTGCTCAAGGCCTGGAAGGTTCAGTTTTAGCCTTTAAATATCAGCTGAACACCCCAGCTTTCCAACAGCCTCTGTGCGTCTCTCAGGCACACTTAAGTCTCCTTCCCTGAACCCTCTCTGACCCGACCTCAGTGTGGACCTCCATTGGCTTAGACACCCAGACTCTAATCATCTGTGTGCTGGATGCTGCATTCCTATGCAACTGAGTTCATGGCAGGAAGGAGCCTTTCCTCTGCCACCCAGCATGGACATAGTGCTGACCAACAGCTCAGTGAATAGGTAGTAAATACACGGGTAAATTAGTCAAAGAGCAAACACACTCACAATATCACACCTGATTACAGGTTCAATTAACTTGTACTGTAAGGTACATCAATGCTGCTAGAATATGTCTAGCTTTAAATCTATAATCTACATCTGACACCAGGGTACTTGGGATCAGTAGGGGCTCCAAGATGCAAGAGGAGTGACCCGTCCTGACCTCTAAAGTATGACTTGGGCTTCTTCATAATAAAAATAACAGCCTCTGATCAATGTTTTGTACTATAATTTCCACTGGGCTTATTGAGTGGGCTCTTATCAAATGTTCTGTGTGTGAGAGAGAGACAGAGAGAGAGAAAGAGAGACAGAGAGATAGAGACAGAAAGACAGAGAAGACACGAGACACAGAGAAAGACACACACAGAGAGACAGAGACAGAGACACAGTGACAGATATAGACAGAGAGGCAGCCAGTCAATGGGCTCTAAGCTGAGCTTGCCAGAAGTGAATCCTGGCGCTATCATTTACTAGTTAAGTGCCCTCAAGTGAGCAGTTTTACTTCGCTGTGACTCAGTGTCCTCAAAATGGCAATGAGACCAATGATGTCTACCTCCTAGAGGAAGTATTTGTTTAAAAATTACACATGTGACAGTGTTGGGTACATTGTTAGAAACTTAGTATCAACTTGTTTAACTCTTCCTAGAGCCCTTGTGGATAGGTCCCATCATCCCTATTTGAGGAATCCAGAGAGGACTTACCCAACCAACAATGCCACCGCTGAACCCTTGTAACTGTCAGCTCATCAGCCTGGACCAGCTCAGCAAATAAAGGAGAAGAGGCCAAAGCACTCCTGGCACTGTTTGCTGCTTTCTGCCAGGTGATCACTGAATAGCATTCATAAGCCTATCTTCTGACCTCTCCTACAGCTTGTATACCATGAAGTCACCAGAAGACTCCTAGTTAGACTGGTATTGATCCACTTGCTAGCAGTGTGACTTGGCAATGTCCATTAACTTCTCTGAGCCTTAGTTTCTCCAGCCATAAAATGGAGATAGATGAGTACTCTACTTATTTATCTGCATCATTGCAAGGTAAATGGAATAAGGGATATGAAAAGTAACTTTGAGCAGGTAAACTGCTATGCATCAGTACTATCACCATGGATTCTTGTAGGACAGGGCCACAAGGAGCCTTCCCGACCCTGAAGGAGCTGTGCTCCTAGACCTGCTCCTAGAAGAGGCCTCATCCATGTGTTTCCTGAGTCTCAGACAGAACAGGCCACTCCTAGATGACAGAGAGGGAACTGCTGATTGCAGCTGACTTCAGGTGGATGTGTCACCTCTCTTCCTACTTGAGGAGCACACAGCAGGCATTTCTACTCACAAGCATCCATCAAGCACCCACTGTGCCTGGTGGCAGCTGCTGCTGAGGGTCACCAAGATGAAGATGAGCTGAACCCACTCAGGGGAGCAAACCAGGGAACGCAGGAGGGCCACAAAGGCCTAGGCACTCTGCAGGGTGGGTCAGCGTGAGGCCAGATCCCACCCTTCCTTGGAAGGCACCTCCCATCCTCTTAGGCACAGAAACCAGAGGCACGACTGGGCCTTATTAAAGCACTCTGCAACTCCAAAACATGGCTTAGAGACTGAGGCCTTAAAAACAAATACCGTAAGTAAAAAACAAGAACAAAGGAAAGGCAACTGTGGCAAACATGGAATCATTCATCACGGTATTTCTCAAACCTCCCGGACCACTTGAGCCCGAATTGTAACAAATATTATTTAATGTCTCCATTCCCTGCTCACAGATGGTCTAGCCTACTGTTCACATAAATGTCAAAATGATTGTAATGAGCTATGATTTGAGTACAAAGAAGAAGTAAAAAGCAAATAATTTATAATACATTTTAGTATGTAACAATTAGTTTCCAGTATTCTACTATTTATTGTAATATGTATATTTCCATATTTGAAACTCAAACAGTTTAGAAGTGAAGAGAAAATTTAGAATTGAAGAGAAAAATTTAGAAGTGAAGAAGTTGACACCTCCACAAGTGCCTGAAGTGCCCCTGTGAGACAGAACTATCCATCCTAAGATTTTGAGATAGAGATGGGCCTCCTTACACTGTTCAAGACAGAGACCAAGACCAAAGCCCTCCCTGGCCAGCACTAGGCCTTCCTAAGGTGCCAGATCTGGAGATTCCTGGTCAGATTCTTCTTGACTTCAGCCCATCAGTGAGCATTTTCAGGAAGTAGACACAATTTCAACATCATGGAAATCAAGCACCAGGACATCGTTCCTATACTTCCTGTCCCTGTCCTATTCCCATAGTCCCTGCTTCTTGGAAGTCCACCCAGATAGAGTACAGGAAGTGAGGTGGGATACGTGGCCCATGGTCCCTCCAGGGGTCAGGACTTACGCTCACAGGCAGGCTGGCTGCCCACCACACGGGTCCCAGGCACCTCCTCTCCACTGTCCAGGACACACCAGCAGCTGCCCTGGGCTGGATCACATTGCACCAGGGAAAAGGCCCCGTCCTGTGCCCTGCAGGCTGGGATGTATCCTGGGCTGACTAGCCTGGACAGGACTCCACTTCTGAGAACGTTGCAGAGACCTGGGCCTAGACATACAGAGACAAGAAGGTAGGCCCAGCACATGGCTCCCACATCCTGCTTGGGCACAGCAGCAGGGTCCTCCCTGCCACCCACTACCACCCCAGGCCTGCCTGCACTGCCAGAACTCCCAAGGGTCTGTTCTCTCTCCGTTTCCATTGCCTGCCCTTAGGGTACTTAGATCCTTAAAGGAGATTTAAGGAAGTGAAGAACCGTAGGTCAGTAAGATGGGGATGACAACTGTGCGATTTACCAGCCACTGGAAGCAAGGAGCTCACCCTCACGAGAGAGGCCTGTGAAGGTTTGCTGGGGAAGCTGCTGGTGGACGCAAGAAGCATCCAGGTGGCCTAGGGCAGGTATGGACACACTGCATGCAGCAGAGCCAGAGGGAGTGAAGTCCAAGGTGAAGAGAGTATCTACTTTTTGTAAGGCTGACTACAACTTTTTAGAAGATCCTGCAGTATGAGTGATGGAGAAGAAAGAGACCAAAAGGAAGAGAGACAGGAGCCAGTGTGTGCAACTCCTGGGCCATGCCAGGAAGCTCAGGCTTGGTCTGGACAACAATGAAGCAGCAACAGCCTCAGGCAGAAGGACCCATTGCAGGCTGGCCTGTAGGGACAGGCCCGGGGCTTCACTGAGGATCCCAGACTGCAGGGCTCAGATGGAAGCCCAGGGCCAGGTGGAGCACTGTGCAGCAGCGCTATGCTGCTGTCAGCCTTCAGCAGCACCGTGCCGCCTGGGACAGGGATGGGTGCTCCTCTTCTGTCACAGAGAACAGCCTTCTCCAGGTGTAGGGAACATAGAAGTCTACCCTACTTCATAGATGAGAAACTGGGGCAGAATGAGTTCAGAAGCTGCACTTGCCCCGCTGTGGAAGCAGCAGGGTGGGGATGGGAAGCCAGAAGTGGGGACTCCACAACCAGTGTTCAGCAAGCAGGCTGTGGCGCAAACAGGGTGGGAAAAGTACTTACACTGGGCATTGTCATTTGTGCTGGGCCGCATCCCTTCTCCTGACACAGGGTCCACACACCAGGCACCGGTCCCTGACACCTGCGTCCTGGCAAACTCTCCTGTCTAAGCAAAGCCAAGGCTGTCAGTGCAAGGTTTTTGTAGCCCAACTCTTGGCCCAACACAAGTTGTGAGGGCTTCCCCAAGTAAGAAGGTGTTAGCATAAGAAGGAGATACTGCCTTGTCTGGAATCCTCCACATATTTAATTTGAATTGATGGTTCTATAAGCTCCACAGGCAAAGATAATAGTTGCCCCATCCTACCTGGAATGAAGTACCATACAAGACAGCTACCCAAGCTTCATCACGGGCTGTGGACCCCGGGAACAGAATCTATCACTCTGGGGACCCCAGCGCACCACTTCAGTTCTCTGGGCCTCAGTTTCCCTAAATAAACATCCCCGGAACTGGTACTGAGCACATTCCTCCCACAAACTCTTTCAGTGGCGGGAAAGTCCTTCCACGTCTACAAATGAAAGTCATAAGCACAGCAAGTGAGCTGAGGGAAAGCAGCTGCCATCATACATCCTGCTGTTTCCTTGAGCACTTGGCTGCCACTGGTCCCCTGTTAACCTGCTGTGCTCTCTTGATGCTATTTACCAGCACTAGGCCCTGGGCAGGAGCTGGAACCAGAGAACTACACAATCAGAGCACGGGCTAGAATTCCCAGCCCCGCCCACTGAGGCTGGGATGTCCATCTTGCCTTCTTCCTGAGTGAGCACCAGAGCCCAGGATGTGCAGCGGACTTGTACTCCCACCCCACTGCATGTGGTTGTGAGCTAGGATAAAGGTCCCGATCATATGGATAATTTCTCTACAAAACTCATTCATAATTGGGATCCATGATCTAAGTACCCATGATAATAATAATGAGGTATGCACAGCACTTTACAGCTTCATGAACTTCTATATTTCTGATTATTATGAATCCCTGGAAGATTGTGGTAGTCTTATCATCCCTATTTTAGGGAAAGGGATTCCTATCTTGGCAAGTAATGTTTGAGGGTCCAGGCATGAACTCTTTCTCTGTGAACTTTCGCGTCTGTGCTTCACTGAATTGTGAATTTCTGCAATCATCCAGGGAGCCGGGAGGGACTTGGGATGATATCCATTTGGATTGGGGACCTGAGATGGGAGCAGCACAGGGATTTGGCCAAGGTGACTTTAGGAAACACATGGTAACAACTGCAGGGGACCAGAGAATCTTCAAAGAATATTCACGAAAGCTATTTCTAGGAAGTCTCAAAGCTATTCCACACTAGAGTGGACAAAAATGTACTCTAATCCTATGCTTAAAAAAAAAACTGAGGCATAGAGAAGGTAAGTAAGTTGCTCAAGGGCACACAGCCAGGGTCTACAGGCTTGGGACAAGCTTCCCATCCCTGGACTCTCTCAGGGATCCTGACTAAGCTAAATGAATGGAAAACTGGAAAAGTCACTGCTGCCAGCATCCCTCCTCATGCCGTCTTGGGGCCCCCAGAGTCTCACCGAAAGGCAGGATGGGGTGAACAGGTCTTCTGGGGATGGGTCTCCTTGGGAACCAGCTTGTTTCCAACCAGAAAGCAGTCCATTGGCTCGAGACTGCTCACAAGGCGTGGGGCCTGGGGGTGGAGGGGCACTGTTCACAGACTGGCCAAGGACACTGAGGAAAAGTGAAGACCCTGGCTAACCCCAGGTTTCAGAGCCATGCATTTAGGAGTGGAGGTGAACACAGGGACAAGGAAGCATGTGGAATGTGACAGTTCGGGGACATGGAGTGGGCCATTGATTGTGCAAGGCCCACCTTCCGGTGGGAGAAGGAGCTAGAGGACCAGGTGTGAGGTGATAAGCCACAAGTCAGCAGCAATGCACTGAACAAGAGCCTGAGCTCTGCTGTCACTCCCAGATCTTCCCCTGCCTGCCCCACTGTTCCAGGAGCTCCAGTCAGGAAGGCTGAGGGAGGTCAGCGCCAGCCCCTGGGCCCTGGGAAATGTGTCTGGCTGTGGTCAGGGTGGGTCGTTGTGGAGTTTCCCCAAGGTTGGTGACCCCAGGTGGCATGAGCAGCCTGGAACGCATCCTGAGGGCAAATGGGCAAGTTCTTGGGCTTTACTATACTTACACTGCAAGAGCTGTGGGGAGTGGGCAGTCAGTGAATTGGGGACAAACTTGCCCTTCGCATCCACACACCAACAGTATCCTAGAAAAACACACACAGACACACTCAAAGTTCAAGAAATGAACTGGAGGCTGTCTGCTGAATGTTACTTTCTTTGCATTTAATTGTACTGCCAGCAAGTGGGCCTCTCTGCCCCTCTCCCCAGTCCAGCCAAATGAAGGTCCCTGTTCTCACTCTAGGGAGAAAACTAGAGACCAGAGAAGCTCAGGCATTTGTCCCACCTGCCCAAGAGTGGGCAAGAATCTAAGTCACTTGCCTCACATGGTGGGGTTCTTGTCTCCACATAAAAAGGACAAGTGTCACTTGGCTTCTGAGGTTCCACTTACCAGTCCCCAAGTGGCACTGCCTGGGCTCCCAGCCTCCAAATGCATCACACTGTGGCACATAGGGGCCTGACCTCAGAGGGGCAGCTGCTCCAACCCAGTCACTCCGGGAAGCACGGTGCCTCTGATAGAAATTCAAGGCTGAAGTCGAAGGAAGAGAGAAGAATGTGATACCTGCTCTATAGCTCTGTCCCTGAGAACAACTGGACATGTCCCTGTTCCAACATAGGACAACTTTCTCATTTATCTGACAACTGTTTCACCCTGAGATAGTGCAGAAGCCCCTTGGATAGTGTGTGGACATGGAACAGATTGTCCTGTAAGAATAAACACAGGCCGCAGAACAGAAGACTCTTGGTCGCTATCTACAGTAACTTAGAGATGGTCTTCATGACTCTAGAGGGGAGAGGGTATAGGTGTAAAGTTGCTACAGACCCACAGTCAGGGCCCTGTCTGGGGAAAGTGGGACCTGCCTTTTAAGAAAGTCTGGTGCAGGGCCAGGGATATAGCCCAGTGGCACAAGCCTGTCTGGCAAGTGCAAGGTCCAGAGTTCAATTCCCAGTATAAAAAGTAAGAAGTCTGGTGCAGTGGACAGGGTTCTAGGATCTAATTGGCCTCTGCCTAAACCCCTGGCACTACCCCACTTAGCTGTGTGATGATGAGCAAGGAGACAACCTCTCTGCACCTGAGTTTGCTCATCTATAGAATGGGTGGAGTACAGCACAGGGTAAGTGCAATACTTTATCCAGGAACAGCTGTGTACATTACTCCTTCACCCCTCTTACCTCATTAGGCCCTAGACCAGGCTCATAGGCTGTATGCAGCTCTGCACAGATAGTAACACGTCCCCAAATCTGTAAGTTTTTAATATTATTATGTGATTTTTAGTGATATTTTTCATGACTTGATTGTGCAGTGCTTGAGTGTGGATGGTGACAAAGGAGCACTGTGTAAGGGAGGTTACAGTGTAGTGCTAAGTCCGTCTCTTGTACCTGCCAGTTGCATTGAAGCCTGCATGTATCACCTGTAGAGTGGTCACAGTTGAGGGGTCATTCATGTCACTGTTGTTTGATCACATCAAACCGTGTCCATGCACACAGTTTAGAGTAACTTGTTTCTTGTCTAGAGCAGAATTCCCCATGTCTCTGAGGGACAGAGACAGAAGATGCCAGGGCACAGAGGGAGATGAGTAGACGGAAGGAAATGAAACAGAAGGAAGGGGTAACAGGCTGGTTCACCACCACTCTTGAGCTCTACTCTGCTTCAGGTGCTATACGGTCCCTGGGATGTAAAGATGAACAAGACAGGATGCCTTGTCCTCCAGAAGAGGTGTCTGGTGAGAAGAGGCAGGAGACAGAGACAGCATGGGGAGAGTCTCACCACATGAGGTGGAAGAACACAGATGGTAGAAACCCAATCCTAAGCCAGCAGCAGGCACCAGTAGTGGGAAGGCACTCTGACTTGGTGCAGATATCACTGGGGGAGGACAGTTTTTCTGCTTGTCACCAAAGCCCAGAAAACTGCAGACAGGGAATCAGCTGGAACAGTTGGAAAGGAATAGAGAACTCTGGGAAGACTCAGAGACAGATCAATCCCCTGACCCAACCCAGCAAGTGTGGGGTCAATGTGAGAATTCAGAGGGTACATGGCAGGCTGAGGACAGAGAAGAGGACAGTCTCTAGAATAAGATAACTTCAGCATGACCCCAGTTGGGCTGAGATCTGCTGGACAGGGCATAGGCACCAAGGAAATGAACCCAAGGCCCAAACTGCCAGGGTTCCTGTCCAGGTTTTGCAAGCTGTTCATGGGGTAAACCTGGGCAACTTGCTTAACCTGAGACTCAATTTCCCCATTTGTAGAGTCATAGATGGTGGTTAGAGGTTTGTCCTCCTGAAAGGATTAATGCAAAGATCTGGTCATCAACCCAGCATGGTAAGTGCTTAGTTGAAGACAAGGTTAAAAACTGTAAAGCTGTGGGTGGGGGCTAGAGGAGGGATGAGGGGCTCCCTCAGGGTATTCCTCTGTCATATACAGGAAATGATGTATGCCTTTGGAGGCACTCTCAGGATTCGTTTTTTTCTTTTTTTTTTTTTTGGTTTTTCTTTGGCACCAGGAATCAAACTCATGACCTTGTGCTTGCCAGGCAGACACTGTGCTGCTGAGCTAAATCTCCAGCCCATTCTCAGGATTTGATGTGTTCGTGTGTGCAATAGTTCCTCAATAATGAGGGTTCCTCTCTCTCCCTCTTCGTGGTGTTCCTGCATCTTTGGAAATGAAGAGAAGCTCTGGAACAGGCCACAAGGGTTTGGTGAACTACTGGGTCCCTAATATTTTAATATACCATGTGTTTTCATGAGGCCATAGGTGCCCTCTGCAACACAAAATACGAAGCCCTACTGTACAGTGGCTCAGCTGAAAGACCTAGATCATTCTAAAGATATGTGCAGCATTCTAACTTTGAGTGGGGTCACAACTTCACTTTGCCTTTTCTTTCTCAGCCAGGGAAACCAAGGAAAAAACCCCTGGAGATGACTGAGGAGAGATCCATGCAAGCTCTTGCTTCCCTAGAGAGATAAAGAAAGCTCAATGCACAGCACTCACTGGACTCGGCTGCCAACCGAATGGCATAATCACTCCCACGCAGAAACTTCTCAAAGAAAGCTTCTCGGCATGGGAATTGTGGGGGAAGGCTGAGTTCCTCACTGGTCAGCCGGATTCCTTTGGCTACTAGGAAACTCTCCCCCAGAGGGAACTGAGAAGTGTTGGAAGCTGAAACAATCTCTTCTGTTTCCTTAATAAACTGCAGGACATAAAGCTTCGTTTCTTCACAGGAGCCAAGACCTATGGGATAAAAATATCACAAGTGATTTCCTTCATCACATAATGCTCCCCCTGGCCCTGCTGAAGAGCGTGTGTGCATGCACACACGCACACACACACACATGCACACACACATTGCACCTCAGCTGCTTCTTGACTGACCTCTATAATCTCACTCTCTCAACATTTAGGAGGACCTACTACAAAAGCATGAGTAATGGGTACTGTTTTCTCCATGCCAGGCACTGTACTAACCACATTTTCAGAATCCAATTTAATCTATACAACAGCCTAAGAAGATACTCTTAGCCCCACATTACAGAAGAAAAACAGCCCTGGAGAAGTCATACGTCTCCCACCTAGTAAATAATTGATTCCAAATTCCAGTCTAGAAAGCCTCACTCTAAAACCAGTGATCTTGACCATCTATTCATAATGGAAATATGGGCCCATGATGGATGGATGGATGGGTGGATGGATGGATGGATGGATGGATGGATGGATGGATGGATGGATGGACAAATGAGTGAATGGATGGGTAGGAGACTGGTTGAATGGATGGATGGCCAGGTATTGCAGCTAGTAAAGAGTTATTTTTATTAAGAAGAGCTTGGTTCTCAGAGACTTCCAAGTTCAATATTTTGGTCACTTAGTTGTGTGGTCATGGCTGTTGTGTTTAAAGCCTCTGAGCTTCAGTCTCTGGCATATATGTAATGGGGATAATGGGGCATCTATTCCAATTGTGCGTGAGTTTTACAGTGATTCTCTGAGGGACTGCAGCTGAAGAGTTTAGCACAAGGTCTGACTAGAGGCATCATCCCTGGAAGCATGTGTGCAGGAAACAGTCTTACCATCAAATGTATTAATCCAGCTATCATGTGTAAAGGACCAGGATTTTCTCCTCTTGGCTGGTCCTACTCAAGCTTTTAAATGCCTATTATTTGCCTGGAAATATTTTAGAAAACCTCTGATTCAGTAGAGGAAGTCTAAGATCCTGAACCTCTAGCAAGTTCCCCAGATGATGCTGATACTGCTGGACCGAACTCTGAGCATCAAGGCTCTGAAGCAAACCTTTTTGATCACATTTCTTCATCAACAAATGACTGTGAATATGCACTGCCTCCCCAAATATGGGCATTTCTTTATCTGTAAAGCATATTCACATACCAATATAAAATACTACGTGAAATGTTCTCATACTCTTTTTTTTTTTTTCTGGTACCAGGAATTGAACTCACGACCTTGCCCTTGCCAGGCAGGCGCTGTGCCACTGAGCTAAACCCACAGTCCCTCTCATGCACTTCACAACATTTCAGTTGTTAACATGGAGTAATTTCAAAAACAAAAATATAAATTTGCGAGGAAGATATAAAATAATAAAATAGTTCTAATACTTGCTTTTTACAAACAGATTCTTCTGTACACCCTATTATCTTCTCCCTGTTATTCAGTGAAAAGTACCTATACTCTAACTTGGATTTTATGCTCAGTCCAGCATCCTTTTAGTATTAGCAATGCAGGTGTCTATTATTGTGCACCAAGAGAGCCAAATCCAATCTTACATTGTCTAAAATTATAGAAATATCCCTGGGTAGAAGACCTGGTGTAAGAATGATTCTATAAGCTTCATAAAAATAAATAAGTTTTCTTATGTAACAGTTATGCCAACATGAATGCACTGATTTTGAAGGTCCTATTGGACCTTGGATCCTCCTGTTACAATGGCTAATCCTGTAATTTTGTCTCCTGGTTGTTGAAAGACCAGGAGCAGTACTGCTCCCATCACATGGCCCTTTTCTCCAAACATTCTCAGAATCCAGGTTCTGCCAGAGCCTCGACTTTGACTAACCTCAAGTGATATGATGCATTTTAACATTACCACAAAATGTTCTGACAGTATACAGTATTACAATTAATGGATTGACAGATTTCACCAAAAGTGAACAGCTCTAATACTACCTATACTGTATTACCAACTGCTGGTTAGAGGGATTCTGATTTGATAATAATATTGAATCTATCTGGTTGTTTTCTAAAACTGCTGGCATAGTTATTTGAAAATATAGCATTTTAACTGAAGACAGACAGTCACATTTATTCGATGTATACTTTACGCACCATGACTTTCTTACAAGGGGAACACATAGACCTCCATTTGTGCTTGTCCAATTAGTCTTAATTAAATATCTCCAAGTCAATGAAAGACACTTTACGTGGCCCATTCCCAAGGCCCTAGGCACCCAGTAGTAGCATGTGGAAGTAGCAGGACCATGATGGCACTTGCTGATTACTTGAATGGTGCATGCAATGGCTGCTATATCACTAAAGCATCTATCCTGGGAACCCTAGGGTTAGGTGATGATCATTTTCATAGCTTTCACTGGCTATATAATGCTCAGTAAACAGAAGACATCTGAGAAAACTTAAGATATCAGTTTGAATGATCAATTATATGATAGTTAGAAATGGATGATATTACCCTTTGGTTATACCTGCCCATGCAGATGTGGGGAAGTCACCAGACCTGAGTCTTGATCCTCTCAACTACACACTGAAGGATACACTTGGCCCTCTCTGAACCCCAGTCCAGCTCTGACACTCATACTCTCCCACCAGACATCCTTTTCCAGGAACGCAAATTTAGTTCTTCACAGAAGTGAACTCACATGCAGGAACCTGGCTCGGTTTGACCCTAGTCCCTTCCAGTTCCTGCCCAGCCTCGTCCACACACCAGCAGCTCCGGAGGTCCAAGTGTGCCAATGGCTTGCTGAAGTCTGAGTAGGGCCCTGGGTATCGGCTGAGCTGGTCATTTAGGATCTGCCAAAAGAAGTAGGGCTCCAGAAAGATGTTCTCTGTAGGCTGAGTCAGGTTCCCTTCCAACACTGCTGGAGGGACATCCTGGAAGGAAGGGAATTGTGCCAGCACTGGGAAGATGCCTTGTTGGCCAGCCTCATATAGACTTTGAATGAAGAGATTAAAGTTTCTGGAAGCTGCTCCTCTATAGCTTATGATGGTCATTAGAAGCCTGGCAGGGCTCAGATCCTGGCCCTCAGGGTTCTCAGCCCTCCATCGATCATACCACTCAAAGACTTGCTCTGGTGGCCCATCACACTGCACACGCCGCCACTGCCCATTGGCACTGCACTGTGGGAGGTAGAAGCTGGAGAGGGTGGGCAGCACGCTGGAGTTAGAGAGCAGAGCCCGTATCATGCCTAGGAAAGCTTGCTCAGCCTGTAACTGACAGGGGCTTGGACCTGGGGAGGAATAATAAATAGGTATTTTAGTTGAAAAAATTTAATAAGACAGAAATGGAATCACTTAAGGGCCTAAGCTCTACCTAAAATCTTATGTAGCTGCAGAAATCTTGACAGCCTTAAATTTATAGATAACATAGGAAAAAGGGCACCATAACTATGTGAGTTACTGACCAGCACTACAGAAATCTATGTAGTTCTTTAAGGCTGAAACAAATCTCCCTGCTTCCTCCTTAAAATGGTTAACATTATCCAAGCCATCCTGGATAATTCCCCATTTAAGCAGCCAATTTTGCCATTAACTGAATTTTACCCTTTATCTAGGAGTGAGTTCATTTTTCTGTGGTGGTTGGGTCAGGGTCTAAAGAGTGACCCAGTGAGTCTACAGCTCAAATACCCAACAGACTTACACTGCTTGGGTTCCCCAAGGGTACTTTGAGTTCCAGGAATAGCTCGACCTTCAGAGTCAACACAGTAGCACTCCGAGTTGAAGCACTGGACAGGGAGGAAATGCCCCTCACTGGTACAAGAAGGGACAAACACGCTGGCCCCAGCAGGCTGGCTGCGCATGAGGCTTTGCATGCGCGCCCTTTGCTTCTCACACTCTGTGGGACACTTCGGTTGTCCACCTCTGACTCTTGAGTCTGGAAGTTCTTTGCCCCAGAAGTCCACACACCAGCACTCTCCAGCAAAGCACTGGACGGTTTCATAACTTCCTTCCCTTGTGCATGAGGGGACAAAAAGCCTTCCCGGTGTCTGCTGACAGGCCTGGGAGCTGAGCACTGTTTCCATCACATCGCCCAAATCCCTTGCCACATCTTCGGGCACAGAAACAGCATGCTGCAAGAAGAGAAGGAATTCTGGAAGCTCCAGAAGAGAGACAACAAACTTTAAGGCATTTTGGTTCTCTTGTAAATTGATTTTAAAGCCAAAGCTGCCCGTAATTGACTTATTCATAGCACTGAGGAGTTCTGTTACAGAATTTGAATCCAATCCCGCAGAAAGTGGTTTGACTAGCTCTCCTGGTCCCCCTCCATTCCGGAAGCCCGGGAGACCAAGTTGCTGGAAAAACTGACTGAAGTTAAATGTTCCTCTTGTGCCGAGGGCTCCAGACAAGTTAAACTGGCCAAGGTTCACCAAAAATGTCCCTCCAAAGAGGTTTTGTTGGAGTCGCTTTGGGTTGGTGGTAAACTGAAGGGCGAGACGGGCCAGCTCTCGGGAGGGAAAAATAGCTCTCATAGCTTCTCCAAGCAGACTTTCTAATGCAGAAACCTGTGCCTCCTGCCCTTTCACCATTAGGTGAAGAAGCCCTGAGTCAACAAACAGCTGCTTGATCCTGGGTGGGCAGGATGTGGCAGGCCTCGCTTCTCCCTGAGAAGCCCATCCTTCCTCAGGGGCAGCGAGCAAGTCCTGCTGGCTGACGTAGCCTGAGGGGCCGAAGTAGAGCCTGGACAAGGCTCGCTGTCGTTCTGAGGAGCAAGACTGGTCTCCAGCTGCATGGGCAGAAATGAAATGGGAAATATGGTTTAACATCACCAGCAAGTTCCACACAGCCCCTCAGATCCTTCTAGTACTCAGATGCCAAAACTTCCACCAAGGACACCTTCATTTGTGAGTACTTTATTCTCGGTAGCCTTTTATTATGTTTCCTTTATCTCTAAGCCATGTCTGTGGGGTCGTTTGTTGAAAATGACTATTCCCATCCACGTGACCCCCTTCCTAGCTTTCCCTAGGGCATGATCCTGTTCTACAGTAAGCCCCGTATACAGTGGCCCACTTTCTGGGAGTCTGACTCCATTTTCCAACTGAACTGGGTTTTACAGTGTTTTTCCACAAATCCATGTCTACCTAGAACCTCAGAATGAAGCCATATTTAGAACTTGATTCTTGGCAGATGGAATTGAGTTAAGATAATGTCATCCTAGATTAGTGTGAGCTGTAGACACAGTGACTCGTGTCTTTATAAGAATATCAAGGTTCTAAGTTTGATTCCCAGTACCAAAAAAATAAGAAAAAAATAAGAAAAGAAGGTCAAATGAAGACACAGAGACATGTGAGGGAGAAGTCCAGGTGAGGATTGAGACACAGATTGGAGGGATGCAGCCACAAGCTAAGGAATGCTAACAATCGCCAGCAACCGTGCTCAGGGGGCTCGTAGCCCCGTCACATCCTGATTTCAGATCTCTTGCCTCCAGGACTATGAGAGAACAGATGTCTGTTAAGCCACCCAGTTTGAGGTGATGTGTTATGGCAACCCTAGGAAACCAGCACGTGAACAAATTTACTGAAATGTTGTTCAGTGTTCTCTTGTTAGAATTTTAATGAACTTCAGTGCTTCACTACTCACCTAATCCCTCTTTACAGGTGGTCTTATCTAGGCTAGCTAGTTTGTAATCTACTCAAGGACACAACTCACACCTTAAATATTGTTAGTGTTTCTTGTAATAAGAACTATTTTCCTATGTTATAACAATATTAAAAATATAGCATAGGAGAAGCCAGGCATGATAGCACATGCCCATAATTCTAGCACTTGAAAGACTTGGGCAGGAGGATCACTGCAATTTGGAGGTCAACCTGGGATAAATAGTTTGAGGCCAGCCTAAAAACAAACAAACAAAAAAAAGGAAAAAAAATAGCTTAGGAAATGTTATTTCCTATAATATAATACAATAACACCCACCCAGCAAACACATAAGCACATCCCTCTGGGTCTCTTGGTCTTTTCTTGAAATGTCTGCCTAGAGGTGATCGACACAGCCACATTCATGCATGGCCCAGCCATTCTACCTTAATGTCCAGGCTGGGTGGAATCGCACTAAGAAAAAGCATGTAAGATTCATATGCCAGTGGCTGTCTCAGTCACATAGGTAAAAGTAAGTGAGCTCCACTCTTCCATAAGGTCATAACATTTAGGGTACACTTTATACCATGTATCCCACCCTCAACTTTTTAAAAATAATTATTTCCCCTTGATTCAAATAGATGTCAGAAAGGAAGTTAGACAGGTTTCCCTTGGAAACCAGACAACAGAGAAAGAATTGGAACATGTGGTGAGGGGTGGAACAGCTGGCAGCATAAGAACCCGTAACACATCACCCAGCATGGCCCTGGCTTCCTTAATGGATCTTAAAGGCAAATGTGGAAGAAAAATTCACTGCTTTGCTTCTTCACCTACTAATGAAATCCTGTACCCAGCCCCTCCGTGCATTTGTTACAGAGTGCTACCAGGGCAAAAAAATCCCAATGTTGTTTCCATGGGTCATTTGTTTCTACAGCAATAGGGCTGACACATGAAAGAGAAAAAGTAAAAATATATGATTCATCTACACATTTGACAGAGATATTATTTTTAATTTTGAAAGCCAGAGTTTTTCATTTTTACCTGACAATTGGAAGGCAATCTTGCCTAGGTTTCAATAGGCAGAAATGTGATTGTAAATGCATTCAAGGGAAGACATCTGGATTTCCTGTTTTGAAATCCTCACACTTAGCAGATAGAATACTACCAAATACCAGGCAGAAAATCTAAAGGGTTAAGTGGGATAAATGGATGATTTAAGAAGAAAGTATTGGATGAATGTTAATAGATGCCTACTTTGTTTGGTTTTCTTTTTTTTTTTTTGCTGTATCAGGGATCGAACTCATGACCTTGCGCTTGCCAGGCAGGTGCTTACGCAACTGAGCTATATCCCTAGCCCCTAGATGCCTACTTTGAAGCCATTCAAAACTTGTGTTTCTCCTGAACTGGTTCAGACATTTCTAAAGCCACCTCACTCCCTGTGGTAGAAGTCTATGAGCACTCTTGGATCTCTCCCTCTCCCCCATTGCTAGGATTCTTCACAGTCTCACTGGTAAGATGAAATGAGGTCTCACTGAGATGCCTAGCAATAGTTGTTCTCAAGTTCATGGCCTTCCTTCCTTCTACATTAATATTGGTCCCCATACTGGGTTGAACAATGTTCCTCCAAAATTCATGGTCTTCCTAGAACCACAGAATGGGCTCCTTCTTGGCAGTGGGCTGCTGCGAATGTAATTGGTAAGAAGCCGAACAGGGGGTCTTTAGTCTAATGTAACTGATTCTTGCATCAGAAGAGACAGACACACAGGGAAGGCAGCCATGTACAACAGAGGCTGAGATTGGAGATGTGTTGCCACAAGCCAAAGCCTGTGCCCCACTAGGATGGTTGGCACCCACCATGCGCTAAGAAGAGGAAAGACAGGCTCTTCTCACGGAGCCTGCAGACAGAGCACACCCTTCTGACTCCTTGAATTTGGATTCTAAGACTCCAGATCTGTGAGATGATGAATTCTGGTTGTTTTAAGCCACCCAACTTGTGATGCCTTATTAAAACAGCCCTAGGAAACTAATGAAGTTCCCATTATCTCTCTTCTGGATGTCACAGTGACCTTCCAATTGACTGTACTGCCTCAGATCCAATGCTCCTTTCAGTCTCTCCCTTAAGCTGTATGGATGATCTGTCTCACACACAAAGCCCAAGTTGGCGTCTGCAGCTTAAAACCTCTCCAGATCTTTACCTGACCTCCAAGATGAAGCCCCCAGCCCTCAATAGGATAAGAAAGACCTCATCACCCTCACTGCTGCTCTTCTATCCCTTCCCTGCCTCCCTCCATCTTTCAGTGCAGAGCACCCCTCCGCTCACTCCACCCTTCCAGTGTTCACCAGCAGAGCATTACTGCACCTCACATCCTTGGCCTGTGACTTCCCAGCTCTCTGTATAGAATTCCCTTCCTCAGCTCCCCCAGAAGCATTTCCATGCAGACACTCTGATAGAGTGTCTGCTCTTCCACAAAGCCTTCCCAGGTGCCTCCTCCCTCCTCACATACGTTCTGAAATGGATTTTGCAAACTCCTTCTGCGGCTTGGCCATGTTTCTTCCACGGCACAGGAAAACCTAATTCTCTTTGCTTTTGTTTCATCTCAGAGCCCCTGAGTATCCCCTGAGCCCTCTGCGGAAGCAGCTACAGTTGACACAAGATGAGAAGCACATTGAGAATTAGTGACAACAAACAGATTTCAGTTATGGGGGCCTGGAAGGGCTGTTGAACTAATGGGCTCCACAGCATCTTGTCTGGAGAAAAAATAAATTGTATGATCAGAGACAAGAGGAGGATGCCCTGCAGAGCAAACCCACCACAAGAAGGCAGCTTCCCCCCCTGCCGCTGAGTTCCAGGGATCTCCTTCCCCTGGGCATCCACACACCAGCACGGCCCTTGTGTCTGGCACTGCACAGCCTGGTAGTCCCCATTTCGGTGGCAGCTTGGGATGTAGGGGTGACCAAAGCTAGTTGCTGCAAACTGCTCCACTTCACATTTTGTAGGGCCTGGAAGAGAGCCACAGAGGAACAAGGGCACTATGAAAGCCAGTCAGGCATACCCTGTGTACTCACAGAATGCATTTCCGCCCATTGTTGGTGTTCAAAACCACTGCACTTACTTTGGTAGAACACCCAGGCAGCCTGCAGTGACCCTCAACCCCAAGCAGCTCCCCCCTCAGCAGAAACACACGTCTGTTGGCAGCTTGTCACTTACATCGGAATCTTCCAGAGATGACTAACTGCACTGCCAGAAACCGTCTTTGCAATATCCGGTACAGAGTGGATTCAGTGAAAGTAGAAGCCAGGTCCAGACCAGCAAAAACAGTGTCGTAAATTTCATCCAGTAACAGCTCCAAACCTGAGCAAAGGCAGCCAGTGTTTCAGGGATGAGCTCATTTGGGAAGAAAGCCCTGACTTTGATGTGCTGGCAAATATCAAGGGGGGCAGAACTTTCACCAGCACAATTAGGGCATCAGATCTGAACATTAATAGTTTTGAAAGTCAGGACTCCTGTGTCTAGTCATGCGGATCATTCATGGCACAAAGGCGCACTGCTTAGAGAACGAGAGGTTGAGATCCACCCTGTGTTCTACTCGCCAAGCTTGGAGCTGCATCTGCCCAGAGGTGGTGCCTCTTTCAATGTGCATAAAGGCACAGGACGGGCCAGCAGAGCTGCATTCAGAGTACCACGGGTGCAAGTTCTCTGAGGCTACATTCTCTTCCTTACCCACAGAAGCCTGTCCAGGGAACCAGTGGTGATTGCTATTTCAGCTTCCCTGGCAGTGAGGTTAAGTCTTCGAGCCTGGGGAGTGCAGTCCCTCCATTCCAGTTCCTGAGGATGGGCTGCTCACCTGTCTCAGCCAGTTCCCGCCCTTGACTGTCAGCACAGTGGCAGTACCCGGACACCTCAGGGAACCTGCTCCGGAAGGCACTGAAGGTCACAAATGCATCTGGAAACCTGAGAGAGAATGAGATTTCTAGCCACCATCACATAAAAGGCAAGTCATCATCAGTTCTCCTGGTCAAAAGAAATGTAGCCAGGTCATCATCTGTGGAAGAGGAGTGTCCACTTTTGGCTCACAGGCCATATGCCCCATGAGTCCTGCAGTAAGTGCATTTCTTTCCTACACAGGTCTTACCCAGTCAGAGCAAGGCTGAAGCTTGTAAAATGTAGCTTTCATCTACCAATTAGTTATTTTCTTCATTTATAGAGTTTGGCCAATTTTGCATGTGTTTCTCAGGGCAAAGAAAAAACATACAGTGAGCACATCTCATTCACTGGAATCTTTATTAGAATATAACTCTAGAGAAAAAAGGCTTGGTCTGCTGTAAAAAAGTGGTACACTGCATGTGATCTCATTTTGTGGATCAAATATTGCAGAGTTCTACACAACTTCTCAAGAGCTTGGAAAGCAGCCAGATTCCACCATAGGACAATTGTAAGAAGGAAAATTTCCAGTTCCATAGTTGCAAAAAACACAAAATTAATATGTTGTCACTAACAAGGGCATCATGGCTTTGTGTAAGTTCAGGAAATGTCAGCCTTAACCATGGTCAACCTGGCAGTTGAGCCTGGTGATTGAGCTGGGTGATCCCTGTCCTGGAAGTAATAGGAAGCTGAGGTTTGGAGAGCTATATAGAGTTCTCCCCAGATGCAAGGATTAACTACCAGAGAATTTTCATATTTATATAACACTGAGGGATTTTTAAAGTCCTGTATAATTAGTACTTGAAGCCCACGTATGTCTGGAAATCTATCTCCAAGTAATATATTAGCAGGAAGTCAATTACTTCTGCACAAACAGTAACCTTCTGAAATCTCTTCTACCAGAATGCTGAAGGTATCTTTAGTTCCAAAACTGAGAAAATTAAGAATTATAGCAAATCCCTTAAATGAAATAAATTATTACCGTTAACGATGATACTTATAAACTACAGCCACAAGGAAGCATGTGTAACTGTGTAGAAAGTGCTACACAAAACGCTGTGTATGCTGCTGGCCTGACTGTGTAAATAGGCCAGTACTGGAAGGAAATATGCAGAGTAGCAGCCCCCCAGATTCTGAATATGGGGTCAACAAGTCTTAGTTAATTTGAATGGAAATAAATATGCAAAGTAAAAGTTATGAAAACTGTAGCATTTTGACTTCTTTTGTATTATTGGCCCATTGTTATATATTGTGGGTTATATTAAAAAAATGTTACAGAAAATGTATTATATAATAAAAACTGAAATTTCATTTTGCCTCTGATAGGGAGCGTATAACAAAAAGTTCATTCACTGGAAAGTGGGATAATTCATTTCTAAAATTGTTAACAATAGTATAATTATTGCTTCTATTTACAGAATATTATTTTACAAGAGTCAACCTGCACAATGTCTTACATACGCTGACTCATTTAATCCACTTCTGGCCCCTAAAAGGAAGGTGGTATTAATTTGCATCTCATTTTAGAAATGAAGAAGCTGAGGTATGTGGGCTGCCACCTCAATCTCCTGGTGGGAACTGGGGCTCCCCATCTGCTCTTACCCACCACATGATACCTGTCTCTGCCAAAGCTGTCACCCAGTGTGCATTTGGCTAGGCCTGCTTCTTGATCCATGTCTCGTAAGGCATGTTCCTGTGTCCTGACCCTCTTTTTCCTATACCAGCACCTCACTTCTCCTGGTGTTTAGTAGGTACTCAAGACAGACATGGGAGGTACACGCACTATCCACCAACCAGCTGGCCAGAGTGGATTCTGAGATGTACTCTGGCACAAAGAACAATAAGTGTGAATCTTGGGGCTGGGGATTTAGCTCAGCAGCAAAGCACCTGCCTGGCAAGTGCAAGGTCATGAGTTCAGTGCCCGGTACCGGAGAAAAACCAAAAAACAAACAACAACAACAAAAAAAATAAGTGTGAATCTCTCCTTCCATTTTATAATCAAAATCCCTCTCCTAGGATTTCTGGTTCCTGGTCTTATAAATTGCCCAATACCTAGACCTACGCGTGCTCTGGGAATGGACAGTGTTCTTGAGATCTCCCCTTCAGGTCACCCTGGCTTCAGCTGGAGGTAAGGTCCTTCCTGTTTCCAGAAAGATTGCCCTAAGGCCAGTCACTGCTACTTAGACTCTCTAATGCCCCTTCACTGCCTCTGTGGAACATGCTCTGTGTTGCCATATGCAGTCCCTTCTTTCCAATTCTGTATGTGGTGAGAACAACTAAGTGCCTAGAAGCAAGCATATCACAATTTCTTCCCTCACCTAGCCACACGTGATTGATATTAATTACTACTCAAAAATAGTACTAGGTGTTATATATTAACAATCAAACATTATGCCAAGTGCTGTCCATATTTTACCTGATTTTAATTCTCTAAACAATCCTTTTAAAATGAGAAATCTGAGTGAGATTTAAAATGAGAAATTAGAGTGGTAATGCGCTAAGTCAAGTTCACCTAGCCAAGACCAGTGAAAAGGTGTCTTGTATCCTCTTCCAAGGCTCTTTCAACACCGAATGTGGCCAGGGAGGGAGACTACCACTTAAACAGGACATAGTCCTCCAGGGGCCGTACAGCAACCAGCAGTGAACTCAAGCTCCGAATCATCCCAAGTTCCTATGTGTCCACAACTCTAATTAATACAACCTGATTTTTGTAGGTAGCTTCTGACATGATACCACCACCTACGACTTTGGACTCCTCCTCCAATATAATACTTTGCATTGTTAGGATTATTTAGTTGCTGCTTCTGCTGTTGTCATTGGCCATTTATTGTCACTGATACCAGGCCAGGGCAAGAGGGTTTCTGTCATGCTTCCAATCATCTTACTATATCTCCTACCCCATAACTCAAGGAGAGTTGGATTCTGAAACTGACGGGAGCAGGACAGCACTGTTTCATCCTGACACAGGGCAGAGTGTAAGTGGACAAAGACTTTGCTAATAGAGGTGAGAGAGGGTAGGGCTCTAACACCAAGAAAGGCCATTCTACCGGGAGGAAATGGAAGAATTCTGAATGCATCCAGAAAGATCATTACCATGCTTCCAACTTCCACATAGAAGACAGACCCCAATCATAGGCAAAGGAGAACACAAAAACATTGGTAGTCACAGAAAGTAGTACAAATATGGGAGAGAATGCCAGCACCCCTGCCTCTCTGTCACCAAAATGTGGTGTGTGGAAACTTATGTCTGTGGCTTGTTCTGGGCACTAAACTTAGGGAACTGATACTACCCCTGGCAGCAGGTGACTGTCAAGTCCTATCGCATAGCGCACAGTACTGTCATCTTTATGAGTGCCTGAGGACCAGAGTTCTCTTGTCCTCAGCAGAAAAAAAAAAAATTGTATTCTTTTGAGAAACTGAATCATTTTTATCTAGCAGAAACTGAATAATTTAACACTTTTTCACCTTCACACCTTTTTGTCATTTTTCTGGGTTTTGGTGTTTGGAGATAAATACAAAATTTCTCCCACTTTGTATAACTTTATAAAGTGATGGGCATGGACTCATCTTTGCTTTGACTTATGTCTATCCTTATTTTGCCTTCCTCATGATTTCCTGCAGTTCCTACTTTTATTATGTTCTGGGCATACTGGAAAAAAGAAGAAACATAAAACCAACACAGTACTTGAAAATAAAAATACCATGCATTTTGTCTAGTGGAGAAGGTTGTTTGCCTTCTGTTGAAAAATAAAAAGCATTCCTGTTGGTATTATAGGGAAGGGGAAGGGGATTTTAAAAAGAAAGAAAGAGAAGCATGCTATAATATGTACCACTCCCCAAGATGCCTGTGAACTACATGAACTGCAAACAGGTACAAGTAAAATAAAAAAAAAACTTAAAAAAGAAAAGCAAATTTTCAGAGTGGTCAGGAAAAAGTCCCAAAGAAAGAAAATTCTAGGGGTGGAGAAAGTAATGGTATTTTTGAGTTTATGTTTAGATTGTGGCCAGTATAGACTCAGAGAAAGTACAAATAAAGCTTAGTAGAATCTAAAATGCGGTTCCCCACCAGCGTTAGGTCACTTTGCAAAGTGGGATTCATGTCCCTGGGCCCCACGGTGATCCATGCTCGGACAGATTCTCTCACGCCTGCAACCAGTGGCCCCTTCAGAAACCTAACCATCAATTAATGAACAGGCAATGCATTTGACTGTCTCCTGCACTAGAGTAGGTATTCCCCAAAGGAGAAGTCATAGTCTAGCATGGTGCCTGAGGCATAAACACCACTACATGAATCTTGGGTGGAGCTGATCAGATGACACATCAACAGGGGATTTTCGATGTGATGTCTTCTATACTTCAACTAGGGCTATTCTTCATCACCAAGTGCATCATTAAGATGCCCTAACCCATTTCACTGGACAATCAGGGAAGCATATATTACTGAGGCATTCGAGAAGAGACTTGTTGCTAAGAAGTATGAGTAGCTGTGTCACTAAGGGCAAGTGCTGATAAAGAAGCCAATTCACTGAATTCTAATTCAGATCACCAAAGTCTTGATAATGGCCTCAGCCCTGCTTGAAGACTCTGAAGATCTTTACGTGTGATCTGGTTAGCAGAATGTATCTCCATAGTTAATGTTTGAACTAGCACAATCAGAAAGGGGAGGGGGTGAAGATTATTCTCCATCACATGTTTTTTAAAAGTCACCAGTCAAATAGATGTAGTAAGGAGTGGCCTCAAAAAAGACAAAAAGACATACTTCGAATGGACAAACACTAAGGACAAGTTCAAGTATAACTCACTACCTAGCACATTAAGAACTCACAATAAGCTGGCAAATGAGCTACCCATAGGTTTTACCAAGGAAATACTCTCAGATTCAGAATTGTGGAGTAAATTTGGTAAAATTTAAAAGTATGTACATGCACAAAGTAAATTTTGTGACTTTCCCTTTTCAAATTCAACCTCAGCTATCCACCTAGAAACCAGATAAAGGAGTCATCCCTAACTCTTCCCCTCCCTCATCTCTGCAACTGTTCCTTCACCATGCTGCAGTTTCCCCCTGGTAAATATTTCTCAAGTTCCGCCCATCTACCAGATACCCTGCCCATCATCTGCTCTGACCTGAGGCAACATCATCTCCCCGCACCCCAAGCTAGGCCAGCAGCCACCAAACTCAGAGTCACTTCTCATCAGCTACTCTGTTCTTCCCTCACCCTAGTCCATTATTTCCCAGTCTAAGCCCAGTGGTGGTTTTTTCCTACCCTACCCTGACTCCAGCCTCAAAAGACTTGATACATTGAGGCCATACACCAAAACGATTGCTCTTTGTTTATCTGAAATTCGACTCTAACTGGCAGTCCTGCATTATTTCTGGCAACCCAGGTGCTAAACTTAAACTCTTTCTGCAGCCTCCATGGTCCCGGCCACTTTGCCAAGAAGAGTCACTGGAACTAGGACTGGGTCTGGCCAGGTCAACATAATTATTCAAAAATCTCCTGATTACTAAACCCAACCCTTCTCATGACCTTCCTAAACTGGAATTTGTTCTTAAACATGCTTACTTACAGAAAATAAAAGGTTTCCATTTCAGAAGGGATTTTTTTTGCGTGTGCTGAACAATGGACGTTTCATTCTTAACTTTTGTGTTGAACTAGACCGCCCTCTTGTGGAGATAGCTATGATCTTTGCTTCAACCTCATCATGGCACCTGCCAAGTTCTTGATAAATCTACCTATTCATCAAGCATTGACTGTAGACTTACTGTGCACAAAACTCTGTGCTACACACTGTGGAGAATATAGAAAAGTCATAATAGTGAAGGACAAGAAAAGAATCCAGACATATTGAGAACCTACTACCTACACTTCATAGGATGAGTTCCTTAACTGCTGAGTTTCAGATTCCTCATATACTAGAGACTAAAACTATGAAATTATCTTTGTGGGTGTTGAAATAAGTAGAAGTGTATGAAATTCCATTCAGTGAACACTTGGCTGAACTTGATCTGAGAACACCTTGGCTTACCTTGATAGGTATTCAATAAATCTTGAGAATTTTACATGCTCACAGGTAGGCCATTTTCTAGTTGCCTGGGGGTAAGCATCTCACCTAAATTTTCTGATGCATGAGAATTCCCTACAATGAATGATAACTTATAATTTTTAAAGTTCTCAATGGTTTCATAAATGAAGTCTCATCAGATATTCAGTGACCTAATGAGAGGGCACTGCCCCTCCCCACTTCATAGATAGAACACATAGGCCTGAGAGGAAAGGTGACTAGGTGTCACGTGCTAAGCAATGACAGAGGCAGAATGAAGGTCACAAAGGTAAGTGCCAAGCTGGAAGTGATGCCACACACCTGTAATCCCAGAATTTTGGAGGATGAGGCAGGAAGATTGCAAGATTGAGCCTAAGATAGGCAACTTAGAGACTTAGTGAGACCCTGTCTCAAAATCTTTCCCTGAAGGTTAAATGCAAAGGCCTTAACTTCAATCCACAGTAGTGCAAAAATAAAAGTAGACAAAGGCAAGTGTCATGAGGCCAGACAATAATGTGAATGGATGGATTTGGTAAGACGATGGCCACAGAGCTCCAGGGAGTTGAAACACAGAGAGTAAGCCTTTGTCTAAAATGGGCAGCTTATACCTGACTTCTCAACACCATGGGAAAATACAGCCTTCCCTCCTTTACTCTTTAAAACCAGGAATTCATAATTTCGAGTTTTAGGTTGAACATATGAAATTGCTGATGCTCAATTAAATTTTTTACCTGCAAAAATAGAAACTCCATAGTGTATGAGCTAATAAAAGTTCCCAGTTTTTCAAATAATCTGAGCCACCAAGCTCACACAAGGTCTATCTAGAAACTCTCCCTGCACACAGGCTACTGGTGTGTGACTCCTGGCACAGCCCAGGAGAACCTCCAACATCACAGGGTGAGAGATAGGTTGCTTTGGAAGCCAGCTACACAGAGACTCAGGTTGTGCCACAGGATGCTCCTCAGTATTCATAGACCTGAATTCTTATTTCTTTTGACTCAGAATGGCTTAATTATGTCCGAAGCCTGTGTATGCCTTTTACCCTAGCCAGGTAGCCATTTCAAATAGCCAAAAACTACCAGGATGTTTGGGTCAAGATTTATAATTCATCTCTCTTTTTCTATTTGTTATCTAAGTCTACAGTTACTTATCAATGAATATATATAATTTATAAAAGCTCATGATATGATTACATCCATGGTTTTTTCCTTCTCTGTGACATGCTTTCTACCTGCTCCTTCTCTATGCAGGCCTACCCTACAAAGCGGCCATTGATAACCACATATGTGCTTCAGATGGCCTTCTGTGCTCCCTACATAGCCTAGCACAATCACAAAACCATGTAAGCCCATCTAAAGATTTTTATTTTTGTTTCTTAAAAATTAAACCATATTATATTATAATATCATATATTGAATCATGTTATCATAACATACTTTGGACTCCTTTATAATTCAGCTATTCAAGCTCTAATGCATTCCTTTAAGACTGCAAAAATCTTTATAGTGCCTACACATTTACTCGGTCATCCATCACTTTTTTCTAAGACAGTCTTTCTATGTAGTTTAGGCTGGCCTTGAACTCACTTTGTATGCTACACTGGCCTTGAACTTGCAGTGATCCTCCTGTTTCCACCCCCAAATTCTGGGATTACAGGTGTGTACCACCATGTCTGGCCCTTCCACCACTTCTGATAGTCACCTTTTCTTCCAGTTTTCTGCTACAGTGAAAAGTAATGCACTAGACACCCCAGTACATACCTTCAAATTCTAGTGTTTCCATTTGCATGAGCTGGCTGGGCCATAGGGTGCATATGCTTTTAAATTTACTGGCTGTTAGAGCTAAAATGCCCCTCAAAGGCTCATGTGTGCCAAGGTGAGGCATTCAGAACATGACTAGATTATGAAGGCTCTAATTTCATGAATGGATTAAGCTCTGGATAAAATCATATTTTTATGACATTACTGAAAGGCAATGGAAATAGGGAGAAGGGCTATTTCAAGGAAGTAGTTCACGGAGGTGTGACCTTGGGGACCGTATCTGGTCCCTGGCCCCTTCTTTGACTCTTTTCCTTTTTTCTGATTCCTGCCTGCCACGAATTAGGCAGCTGTTCTCTACCACATCCTTCCTCCACGGTATTCTGTCTTTCCATAGGACTAGAAGCAACAGAGCCAAGTGACCATGGACTGAAACCTCTGAGACTGTGAGCCAGAGAAAAATCTTTCCTCCTTTAGGCTGGTTTTTCTCAGGTATTTGGTTAGAGCAACAACAAGCTAACTAACACAGAAAATAGTGATTGTGTCTTGCTTTGTTAGAAAGGTTGAGATACTGCAGATGTCCATCAGCAGCATCTCATAATTCTTCCCTGTGAGCAGGGGTGTTGGCCCAGGGGTGTGCACATCTCAGTCTGTTCCCCTTACCTGTTGTAGGTATGGATCAGATCGAAGATCATCATGTCTGTGGTGTTGACAAATTTGCACTGAACAGGCATAAACTCCCCCTCTGGAGAACACTGTGGGGGTGACTTGTCTCCCACTCCGTGGAGAAGACGACGACTTCTAATCTCACAGCTCCTCGGACCTGAATATTTTCATGAAACAGTGTTAGGTTTTTAACATTGTTAAGTTCTTATGGATGAGTAGGGCATATGTGTCTGTGTCAAGATGCATTTGTTTATGCTACCTATGACATATACAGACCTAACAGCGACTAAGAGCTACAAGAGCAAAACCTCAGCTCACTGAAATCCTGTTTGTACTTTTAATGGTCACGCCACAAGAGGATCATCTAGCCCAAGGGATGATCAGAACTAATAAAACCTACTTTCACAACACTTCGGTCACTTCAAGGCCAGGCTCTCCACCCACATGGACAGGCAGATCTAAACCATCTGGTCTACCATAAGGAACCCCATTGTGACTTACATCGTGTTGGTCTCCCCAGCTGGCGGGTACCATACACCTCCATCCCCTCTGTGTCCACACACCAGCACTGTGCCTGCCACAGGTCACACTGCACAGATGCATAGTCCCCCGAGTCCTGGCACTGAGGGAGATAGGATGTGGCCGTGCTGTTAATGTAGCCATTCAACAGGATCTGCTGTCTGTGCAGCTGGCAGAAGGACAGGCCTGAGGGTGCAAAGGGAAGCATCAGAGGAGTGCTGTTGGGAGGATATCCTGGTGCTGAGCCCAAGAAGACACTCACTCCCTCCCTGAGGGACAGAATGGAGAGGAAAATGACCAGCTCAAAGAAGTTCAAGACCAGCATTTAAGCTAGGCCTGGTGGCACACGCCTGCAATGCCAGAGCTTGGGAGGTGGATACAGGGGGATTGTCACAAGTTCAAGGCCAGCCTGAATTAGAGTTAAACCAAACCAAAACAACAACAAAAACAAATCGACATTCAAAAGGCTTTAGCATCCTGGATAGTGAAGGCATATATCACTAGTATATTATTAAACACATGCTGCATCACCCTGGCTCTACAGCTGGGAGATTCAGATCAGTGTTAACAGAGCTTGTCTGAATCTGAATTTTTGCACATGCCTGGCATGTGGCCTTGGAAAACTATTTCACTACTCTATGCTTCCCTCTCCTTATCTACACAATTGAAAGGTACCTGCCTTCCTCCAGGTACATGAGGGAGAGTGGTCCAATCACTGAATACCTACTATATCCATGGTTATGTTGTGTGTTTACATCCTCACATCACTAGGAGGCAGATTCCCATTCATGTTGCGGAGGAGCAACCTCAGATCAGTGCAGGTGTATGATATGGCCAAGGTTATGCTGCCCCAGAGTGTAAGGAGCTAGCCTGAGCCCCAAGTCAGCCATATCAGCCACATAAAACCAGAGCCCCGAACAGACCTGCTATTTACTAAAGAGTGACTTGCTTTTTAGGCTCAATTTCATCATTTTAAATAATCAATTTAAACTCACCTTAGTTTTAAAGCTATGCCATACCTTAAATGGAGATTGTCTTCTTTGATTACTCACCATAGTGATTACTTTATCTGTAAAGCTTTTACCTAAGTCCCAAAACCTATAGCTACCCTATACCATGGGTGAGCAAACACTCCTGGTTTTCAGAACCACTTTTTGGCTCCAGGACACTATTATGTCTTCTTGCCAATATTCCCTCAGTGCCTTTCACCTGGGAGAACCTTGGCAGCTTCTTGCTGAAACAATGACTCAAATGTCTCCTTCGATTCTCACAGTGATGCTCAGGAGTGATAGCGTTGCATGGTGTCCAGGGACTCTTTTTATTAAGAGAGGAGGAAGCAGCAGCCCCAAGGGAGATAGGGCTGTGATATTAGCCCATGTCCAGTGCTCCTGCCAGGACATGACATGCCCCAGCAAGGCCCCTGCTATCCCACCAGGTGCCTGCTTCACACTTACAAGCTGTTGGCCTCCCTGGCTGCCTGCTGCCTGGAACCTCCCTGCCATCAGCATCCACGCACCAGCAGGAGCGGCCGTCATTTTTGCACTGGATGGTCCTGAGGAGGAGGGACACAGCAGATGACACTTTTACGGGTTCCTGAAGTTACTACACAGCCTCTAAGATGGTGAGGCTGGAGACCATCAGACGAGATGGGGCATAGCAGGTGGGGTGGAGCCAGGCAATGGAGTTGGTTCCCAGGGAAGTAATAGCTAAACTGAGACCTTCAGGGAGACCAGGAGTGGTAATGGCAACAAGAGTCCAGGCAAAGAGAAGAGTGTACGCAAAGCTTACTGGGGACACGGCAGGCCTGAGCCTGCAAAGGCCTGGAGTAAGAGATGTGGGAATAGTAACCTGGACAAGGTTAGCCAAAGTGAGAAGTCCATCTAACTAACACCCTCCTAGCAGAGGTTGCACTAGGGTCATTGCTTTGCACTCTCAGGAGAACAGGAGAATGCAAAATGTGGTTAGACCCATAAGGAATTCACAGGATGGGGGCGTTCACTGCTGCTTTTTAGAGCACAGCCATACACAGAGTTTCCCAAATTCAGCATATCTGCACAAAAAAAGGAAATTTCAACTGGATACACTCTATAAGGATTCTCATGTACTCCACAGGGAAGAGTTATTTACTTATCATCACACTCTGCATGGAGACAGTCTCAGGAACCAAGCTTGTGTGAGGTAGCTGTGAAACTCCTCAAAGAAGTATGGAGACTGAGAAGCCCAGATACAGCAGGAAGAACTGGATGAGCTGGTCAGGCAGCCGTGGACCCAAAGGTACAGTCAGCATCTGCTTCCCTCTATCCCAGATTTCATAAGAAAATAGCTTGTGGGAATGAGGGAGGTGGCCAGGAGCCCGCTTTTTGTGTTTTACCAAAGGCCACATGCATTTTTTATTAAAGCAACCCAGGACAGTGTATTGGCAGAAAGAGAAAGGCTGCCCTTCCTCAGTGGGGAGGGGAAGGTTGACCTATCTCAGTCATGCTGACCAGTGTCAATTTAGTCTGGAAAACTAAGAAGTAGCCCTCTAAATGACAGCAGCCACTTCCCAACGCACACCAAGTAGCTGGGGGGTACAGCCTGGACAGGGGTAGGAGTGGGGGGTAGGAGACCTCGCTGAAGTCAGCCTTACTGGAAGCTGCCATCCGCAGAGCACTGGGGAATATAATCCATCTGCTTCAGAAAGGCCTTCTCCCTCTGCAACTCACAGGGACGAAGTGGCTGGGCATCCACCTGGTACTCTGTGCAAAGAGAAGCAATTCATGAGAGTTGGGTGCAGGTGGATCCAGACAGGCTCGCTGAAGGATGGCTGCTTTCTGGCCGCATCATCATTAACTCAGAGCACAGCCTCCGAGGAGAGTCTGCCAGCCGTGCGGCAGCCATGCATTCTGTTCCCAGTGGGATATTTGCTCACTTTAATCCTTTGCACTCTATACTGGGAGGTGATGAGTAATACCTCTGTTTACCCTTGTAGCTTCAAGGCTCAGACAGCAAAATCATTCACCCGAGGTCAACAGCTGAGGAGGGAAGGATTCCAGAACAAACCCTGAGATACTGCGTTTACCCAAGCCACTGTGGCTGAGGTCAGAAAATGATCAGGAGGTCGTTCTTGAACTTATCAAGCCACTTCCTGCAGATGCAGCCCCTTCTTCACACACAGCGGGAACGCAGAGCAAGTACCGACATCTACATGCCTATCATTCACTGAGAACCATGTAACACGCAGGCTCTTGCTCAGAAATCACCTCCACCAACAGAGGCAAGTGGTATCTGGCACTTTTTAATGAAGAAGCTGCAGCTTGGCAGTTTATCCAAAGTGAGAAAAGTAGGAATGTGAGCAAAAACGTAGGTCTATTTCATTCTACAGGTCAATTTCTTTTTTTTTCCTCTACTGCCTGCTGGCTACTTCTCAAACACTCACATGGATGACACAGACTTTGGGAGTAGCCAAGTAGATAGAAAACCTCAATGTTAATACCAAAAATTTAACATAGGCATGAGGGGAGCTAGACTTCAATTAGGAAGATATGGTTTCCTCTCTCCACTCTGTGAATAACTAGAGCTGTGACCTTGGGAAAGTCAAGTCATCTCTCTGAGCCTCTATCTCTTCACCTGGAAAAAAGAAGAGAAAGTAGCCCACCTCTGGACCTTTGTGAGGATTAAAGTAGAACATGCATCTAATTAAATCCCCAAGGCAGAGCCTGGTTGACCCTGGAACTGTGTAAGGCTCCCTCCCTCCCCTGCTCCATGGCTTCAGCCTGAGAACTCACCAAAGATGTTGGCTGACACCAAACAAGCTGAGCCCAGCAGGCCAAAGGCCCACAGGACTAGGGCCATTGTTCTGGCCCCTTTCTGGGAGGAAGGAGGACTCTCTTCTCAGGTCCTCTGGGGCAGGGAGCCTTTATAGAGCTGTGGCTGGCACTGCTCTCCCACTTAGGGGCTCTCAGCTGGGCAGTGGTTCATCCTGTTTTCTGTGCTGGTCACAAGGAGATCTCTCTTCTGCAACTGCACCCTCTGAGGGCACTTGAGCAGCCAGTGGGGCAGGAGAGCTTTGTCTAGACACTTGGGAACATAACTATATGCGATAGCGTCAAAATTCTTTCTGGGCAAAGGCCAAAGTTTAGTGGCTTTGGGAGTGACAAGATTATGCCACTATCGGGGAGAAACCATCCCTTCCTTCCTTCCTCTCCCTCCTTCCATCTCTCCTTTGCCACGTGGAGGGAGCAGGAAGGAACTTCCCCCACTGACAAAGCCTATGCCTCAGTGCGTGCCTCTGGGCTTGCTAGCATCCGTCCTCCACTCCTGTTTGTGTGGAACCTGGGAAATGCAGCTCATTTCAGAGCCACAGTCTCCTTATCCACACAGCTGAGTGGAAAGGTAGATACCCTTGTGTCTCTGCTTTTCAGGGCAACTGGAAGAGAATAAATGAGATGATCAAGAGTACTTGCTCAGAAAGTGCTGTTTTCATTATTTTCTCATTTTGTGAATGGTATAGTGCCACGTCATGCCAAACGGAAAACTAGCCCTATAGGATAAGAGGCAGGTGATGCATGCGTGTGTTTTCGGGGGGTTCAGTGGATGACCCAGAGGCTCATGGAAGACTTGGTACTGAGAGCCAAGGGGGGGGGGCACATCACAATCTAGAGGAGCTTTGTCATGGGGAATGGGATGGAGTCAGGTGGGGAGATGGGCAGGCCCTGCACTGGGAGAACCCAAGGGGCCCCAGAGCAGCTGTTTGGTGGCCATCCCTGGGCTAGAATGCTATGGAGAGTAAATAGGCTAAACGTGGAGATACTTAGATTAGCACTGAACAGGGACTAAGTGTCCATTATTGGCCACTGTATCATTCTGCTCAGGATTTATCATGTAGTATCAATGACTGGGGACTCAAATCACAGGTGTCCATCTTCTTGCAGGTCTAGAGGTTGGAAGGCCCAGACCAAGGTACTAACTAGCAGGGTTCAGTTCTCTCAAGGATCCTCTCCTTGGCTTGTGTGTGACTGGTTTGTCCCATAGTTTTTCCTCTACAACTCCGTGTTCTAATCTCCTCTTCTCATGAGGACACCAGTCAGGTTGGATTAGGGCCCAACCTAACGGCCTTATTCTAATTTAGTATCTCAATTACTTTCTCATGACTGGGACACAAATCCTGATAACCACAACTTAAAGGAGGAGAGGTTTATTTTATTATATTATATTTTATTTTATTTTATTTTTTTTGGTACCAGAAATCAAACTCAGGACCTTGTCCTCGCCAGGCAGGTGCTTATGCTGCTGAGCTATCTCCCCGGCCTGAGGTTTATTTTAGTTCAATTTTTAGTCCATAGTTGGCCAGCTTCAAGGCAGGAAGGCAGGGTCTTGTGAGTAGAGCGGCTCACCTCCTGGCCACCTGGAAGCAGACAGCAAAAGGAGGCTCTGGAGAGGGAGACATACCCTACCACGACATGCCCCCAGGGAACCCCTCTTCCGACCAGGCCTACTTCTTAACATCTCATAGCTGTAGTGCTTCCTGAATCACCTTCCAAAAGCCATCCTGTGAGCACATGAGGCTCTTGGGGAACATCTAGATATAATTCATAATAATTAGTTACATTTTAATGATCCTGTCTCTAAATAGTCACACTCTGAGGTACTGGGAGCAGAACTTCAACATATGAATTTTAAGGGATCTAGTTCAGCCCCAAACAGCTACTGATATCATTACTATCTTCATGATACAAAGTATAGAAACTAAAACTCAGCAATCATTTTAAGTTTTGGGGTGTGGGATAAAGCATGGATGAGGAAGCCGGGGCAGGGGCTCTGTGGTAGAGCGCTGGCCTAGTATGTATGAGGCTCTGGGTTGGATTCCCAGCACTGCAATATATTATAAATAAATAAATAAATAACAAATGTGCAACTCTGCTCTGCACATCCATCCTGGGAACTCCATGGACCTGGGGCTTGCACATCTCTTTCTGTCTCTGTCTCTAGACAGCCTTCTCTGCTGAGCTCAAGTCCCCTTCAGTTCAACACATCATCCAAAACTGACCTCTGAAACACATTAGATACCCAGGTGGCTGCCTGTGCTGAGCCCTTTCTTAACTTTTTCCCCTCCCATCTCCACAGGGCACAAATTCTACCAGGCAAGTGATCATCCCCTCCCTTTGTAGCTCCTCATTCCTCTGTCTTCATTTGTCCATCCTTCTTCAGGTGCTCACAGGACAGAACTAGTGACCGGAACAGCTGCTGCCCTAACCCTTACAGAAGCTTCTAAGCTCCTAGAAAATCTGACCTCACTGCAGAGATGGAGGTGCATCCCTCAGGTGCTAAAAGGGCCAAGGCAGCAAGACCCTCTTGCCCTAGAGAGTAGGAAAAATAACACTAACACTAATACTTAGATTTCAGGCGATGATTGGTGGGAGGAATTTCATTAAAAATTGAGACTGAGAGGAAGAACTCCCCACACAGCCTCTGCTGTGGTTGCTGTACAGAGCCCAGTCACAGTATGCCATGAAGTGGCCAGCAGCATCCTTCTCACTGGAATGACATTCTCACTGGAATGACAGAATCACAACCACATTGGCTGGGTACGTATCATCTCTCCACTTCCAGATAAAGCAGTGAGTCTTAGACAGTTAACCTGGTCAGAGCTTACTCCAACTCAAAGCTCACTGCCTTACCATACCCCAAAGGCTTATGCCAAGCTCGGCAGGTCGGTCTCATGCTGAGTCACTCTTGTTGGCCTGGCTCCCAAACAAGCAGAGTGGGTTGATAGACCCAGGCCTTTGCCAGGGGTGTCTCTGCTCCACTGGGTTTGTACTTTAGCAACTCTAGGCTCAAGGTTCATGAAGCAGGCCAGGGACAGAAAGGCCACAAGGGAGAGGAAGAGTAGCCCTAAGAACAGGCTCCAAGTCACAGCCTACCTGGAGAAGAGAAGGAGCTGTGCTCTATGGGCCAGAACACATGGGCTTCCTGCAGAGCCTCAAAAGCACCTGCAGGAGAGCACTTCACCCCAAAGTGAAGTGGTGAGCCTAGAGGACCAAGCAGTAGCAAAACTCTCTTCTCACAATGACTCAGCTCCTTGTCCCTGCTGTCACCACCTCTCCTCTGAACTCGAGAATATGCAGGCTTCCACAGCTACTTCCCATGCCCATGCCAGGCTCAGGCTCCATCACAAGAGTGGGGTCTTCATTACTGCTTCCCCCCATCCTGGGCCACAAATGCAGTAGTAGAACCTTCCCCTCATCACCTGCTTTCCCTAATAGGAAGGTTCTATGGATAATAAAGGCTTGTTACAGATTTAGGAGCAAATGGACAGTCACTGTAATACAGAGGAGACTACTGCAAATAGAACAGCAGCTACCATTTTCTCTGAATCCAGCCATCAGCTGAGACTCACCAAGGAATTGCTTACCAGTCCTCTTTCTCCCCTTGTCCAGCCTGTACCATATTGCTGGATTCCAACCTACTGTGGATTGCTTTTCCCTATCAACCACACAACCCATGACTCAAAGCCACATCCCTCTAGGTTGCCAGGGGAATATCAAAATTCTTGGTACTTGATTTCTACAAGTAGAAAAATGTAGTAGAAATACTTTCCCTTATTTCCATCGTACTAAGTATAGCTGAAACTGCGGACATTATCTATCAACAATCACAAGAAGATATTGAAACCTGGGGAGAACAAGACCGACTAAGTAGCAACCTCAGGAGGAGATGGAAGTAAGTTTTGTGAAGCTTATTTTTGTCACATATGTGTCAGACTGTGTTTCAGAAAAACTGGCAATTTGTACATGCCAATGGCACAGACAAGCAAAAGCCACAAAAATCAAGAAAAGTTAAGAAAAGGAGGTAGCCTGGTAAGACAGAAAAGTTTAGATAATAACTTCTCTTCAACAGCAAACATCACAGAACAATTGGCTCCAATCCCACCCAGACAAGAGAGGCCAAGTACAGGGCCCAGAATTCCACTACTGCGAGCAGAAAGAGATTTCACAAGCTTCTGAGGGGTAACATTAGAAAAGGAGGAGCTGGGATGTTCATTCCCAGTGAGAAGTAATAAGTCCCCTCTCTTTGTGGTTCAGTAGAGACCTCCTGGGGACCCTGAACTTCCATCCCCACTAGTTAGTAATAGATGTCATTCTTGCTTTGCCATGGAGTAGAATCAAAAGAGGCCTAGTGAAAAGGCAAGGCCTTCCATTGCCCAGAAGTAGTAAGGCCTTTCCCCAACAGTGTCAGTGGAGGCTACATGGACTGCCTAGTCCCTGACCCTCTAGCCAGGAGGCATCAGCAGAGGTCTCATGTCCACAGCATTCAAGCAAGAATCTAAACTTTCAGTACTACCTGGCAGTACTGAGATGGCGACCCTTTGCCCCCACTGCAGTAATGTCAGAAGAATTCAGTTAAAACAGAATCAAGTAAGATCCTCAGTTCTTTTTGTGTAAACTCTAACTGTGTAAGCTTTTATCAACAACTACTCTTTGTATGAAGAACCAAGAATATGGTAATTGGCATAAAAAAGCAGATAGATGTTATCAATACCTGATATAGATGTTACAGTTATCTGATATGGATTTTAAAGAAACCATCCTTAAAATGCTTCAGTTAGGAATTAAGAACATATTTGAAACATGCAAAAAGTAAAAAAGACTCAACAAGGAAGCAGAAGGTACAAAGAATAACCATTTGGAAATTTTAAGGGGAAGAAAATGTTCAATGAGAAGGGGAATAAGGGAAGGGAAAGGAGAAGGGAAGAGACAAGAAAAAAAAGAATAGAAGAAACAAATGGAAATAAAGCATTTTTAAATGAGGGGAAGAAGGGCTAATGGGTGAGGAGAGAATGAGAAAAAAAGAAGCAGCAAGATATATTACGTACAGGTACAAATTTCCTATGATGAATGTTACCATTA